GGAAGAGGGTGGTACTAAAATTATCAGTGTAGTGTTTACTGTCGTGGGTATTCTGGTCGACAGGTAAAAAGCACTACTACCAGGCTTCATCCATCAGATAAGCTAGTGGGTAATTCCATGATATCAGATGGCATAGCATGCGAGGATTGGATACCCTTAAGTGGCCAAGCTTTTTTAGGGCGATTCTAAAAGAAGAACGTGCACTGATTGATCGGACTAGATCGCACAATCGTTCATTTTGATTGAGAATACGGAGTATGAGTAGTAATGACCGGGTAAGCGGCACGTCCACGTTAGGCTCGCTTTGTTTGGCAAACTAAAGTAGATCGACCAGCGAATCACCCCAATAATCTACGTATTACGAAGTTGAACTGCATGACGCTAAAATATAGATAAGGGTATCAGAAACCCCGTGATATAGATGGACAGGTGTCGTTTGCGAATCCACCAGGGCTTTGGGCTGCCTAAAATCCCACTATCAAAATTACCTGTCCCAACCGTAGTTTAAAGCTCGTACAAGCCGAATACAGGGCAATTGAATGCTCCTTGCCCCTACTTTAATTCGACTGGGTCGAAGTCCACGACCGCAGTTGACGAAAATATCAATACCACCTGATCCCACTGCATGAGCTCTCAGTTCAGGGATCAGTGCATGAAAGAATGACAAGGTTCCCTTCACGTCCACTCATCCAACCATCTGTTAAGCGGAGTGGTTTTATTAGATATTATTGGTGACTTTCACAGCGCCGCAAGGCCCGACTGGCCTACTAATTAGGAACAAACACATACTAAAGCGAGGGGTCTTGATTTTTCATTATAGAAGACAATTCCCTGTTCGAAGAAGAATACAAAGAAAACAGAATAAATTGCAGGCCATCAGCACCAACGACTATCTGGAAATTTATTGTACTGACTACTAGCTCGTGAGCTCGGCTCCTGATGGTACCATAAGTGGTAAGACGCGATCTTTTCGCTCAATCTCGTTCTATACCTAGACTTACTAGCTGCTCTACCAATTCAAAGACACGAATCCTGTCTTGTATTGGGACAATCGAGATACAAAGGTAACCCCAATAGCTATAGACTTTACAGTAGCAAACGGGATCTGCAGAGACTCATTGTCTACTCACTACGACTAAGTACAACCCCAGATGTTTCAAGCCGAACCACATTGGGAAAAAACCACTGTTCTCACCCTGTGACCATCTGCTCCATCATATTGGGTGTCAAAATATCAAGCCGGCTCAACGATGACCTCCTAAAAATGATCACATCGACTGACTGTGTGCTATTAACATAGATCGTTTTAATTTTACGTGAATGGTAAGTTGCTGAGGAGATTTGATATTCTTATATACGTGCTAATGAGTGATATCCACTTTTATGTCGAACTACCATTGGTCCACTAGTAGACCACCCCTTGGTATGAAGACGGTCTTGCAGACTTGATGTCGCGGGTTACAATTGCCGGCTAATATCGCTCGGTTGACTTGAGGGATTCGGGAAAGCTACCTAAATAGCGAATTCAGTTATCGAGTCATTGTCCTTTACTTTCAAGGATGTTCACGGAAAATAAGGTAGAAAGGAAAAGGCTTAAAGAGCCACGGAATGCATCACCATTACTGTCCATGACAGGCAACGGTTTCTCTATATTGAAGCCTTCCATCTTCCGTGCTAGTATCTTTAGGTGGATTTCATAACAAATAAAAGTTCATCTCATCCAAATACGTAGCCCCAAGTGGGCCACGTTGAACATTAAAAGTTTTCAAATGCCGTCACAGCCAGATTCAGGCTAGCTGTACCGGTAATACCGTGATTTTACCGTTCAGCCAAATCCGCACGTACCCCCTTTTTTACACTCTGGAATCATTACTCCGCCGACCTAGCAATAATGATCACCCTATACTATGTACAAAAGAGACCCCGTCTCGCTGGTATCGCCTATGATTCAAAGGAAGCAAACCACCTGCCCAATGTTCCGGTACTTAGCATCTTCCAGTTCACGTTTCACTCTGGCGTCGATGTCTCGGATCCATCGCAGCTAGTGTCTATACTATGGCGAAAGTCTTTGAAATATGTCTCGACTATTCCAGGTTTTCAGAGCATGTATTGGGCTCCAGAGGATCCTGCTTCCTTAGTTAATCAACAGCAAGTTATTATTGTCTTGGTTCAGTGGGAAAGCGGCCATGGTTGGAAATTATTTCAATCCTCACTGGGCTTCAGCATGATGCTCGGTTATATCAAAGATATTTCCAACCGCTGTGTCCAACTTGGTCTTCCTCATCTCCTCCACCCTGGCAGCGTTCTCGAAATTGTCTCCTTCCGATTCTCAGCTACACCGTCATCTAGTGCCGAGACTAATAGAACACCGGGGTTTAAAGATAAATGGGAAAAGACATTCGCTCTGCTCCTCAATAATAAGACTACTGAGTCTGAATTGACATATTGTTGTGGACAATGGCTTGAAGCAGACGAAGAATCCGAAGATCGATACTTTGTTGGTTTGCTCTTCTGGAAACCAGATATATCAAATGATCCACTTCGATCCCGAGAAACCAATATTCAAATCTAAAGGACCAGACAACAGATCTTACAACAGATGCAACAGCTGTAGTCTCAATCTTCACAACCCAGCTCAATCATGTGGTCTCGGAAACTTCTAGGCTACAGCTATCGGGTCATCCTTCTGACTTTGTGCAGTCTCAAACAAATCACCCACTTTTCAAAGGTTCTGTAGAGCCCGAATACAGCGTGAATGAATCCACGTACTCAGGGGTGCTGGACCTGATCCATGTGGAGTCTATAAGACAAGTGAGAGAAATCATTCCTAGGCGTATTGCCTGTGGACCTGCTGGTATTTGGTGCCCCATGGGAATTATTTCCCAACATCATTTACCCAAGCGACAACAATACGGCCCGGGAATTCCGGGGATCGAAATCATCTCCTTTCGCGGCCAGACTGACAATCCACGGATAAATGGTTCATTCGAACGTCTTCGAAAGAAACTCTGGGATTTGCTGGKAGATTGTCCAGGAATGTGCTGGGGCAAAGATAAGGACAAAGAAGGTGATGTTGACAAAATTTCACTGTTCGTTGGTATGTATTAGTTTTATGGCTCSCYAGGATATTGATGATAATAACGTCTCAAAGAGACCAGAAATTGGAACCAAAAAATTCGAACACATCTTCAACGATCTATTCAAGAATTTTCAGAGGAATGTGACGATACTATACAAGGCCTATTCCATAGGAGAAATATCAGCGTAGATTTGAGTCGCCTTGCTCCGAACATGGACATCACTATCTTTGAGGTCTCCGAGAACGAAAGAGACCAAGAATCATTTGAATATGCATTTTCGAACTGCGTGGAGTGCGTTAATATAGTCTCTCATTGGATAGTCTTTCTTGTCTTGGAGAAACAGTGTCGACTAACAGGCCAATATATAGAACTACGCGCCCCAAGCTAGAATTCGGAAGGTACTACAATTTTGTATCTAAGGTGACATGCCTGAGCCGTGGATGGGTCACCAACCATAAATCCCCGTCAAATCAAAGCGAACAAGACAGGACGATATTACAGTTCATCTCAGTGTTCAGTTACGAGAAGGAAGGTGCTGGAGAAGAGTGGTATAACGACTTTGCCCAACGAGCCCAAACCCAGTATGATCTTTTAGGCCATATTGTTGACTGGATCCGGACCTTATCCAAGCGCATCACTATTCAGCGTTTCGCCTTGGAGAAAGAGGACCCTTGGATGACTCCATTAAGATGGAAAAAAGTGAGGCAGTTGCATCCGCCAGCTCTGCGTGCCTTATTACCACCATCGTTACTACCACAGTCTACTCAGTCTATTCCTGAGCGACCACCTTCGCCACCGCCACCGTCTATTTTTGACCTTCCCTGGGCTAAACGGCAAGGTGAGTCAGATGAAAGAAAATGAGCAAGCCTCCCGGGTTTGTTCGGTACAAGAAGGAGAGTCGGTTGAAGATATTTACTAAAGTGCGCCCGATAGCATCCAATCCAGGCCAGGAGTTCCTGGCGCACGATACATCTTCCTCTTATTAGTAGTAGTAGTAGTAGTAGTAGTAGTAGTAGTAGTAGTAGTAGTAGTAGTAGTAGTAGTAGTAGTTAGTTAGTCTGTTAGTTAGATTTGATATACGCTGTAGCTAGCTGCTGTCTAAAAGGCCGCTATCCAGGTGTGTGCCTGAGCCGGCAGGCACAAATACAAATCGCTTGGACGCCAAGAGAATTCGCCAAAGGTAGACTCCAGCTGTTGTTTCAGCTTGAGCCTGTGGGACTGTCGATACATGGTCGATGATTTATTGAATACAGGGTATGAATTGTAGAATAATCAAGTATCGTGTCTTAGTCAGAGTACTGTAAAGAGCAAATCCCGGGTGGATCCTTCAATGTTTCCCCCGGAAGAAAAGAAACCCCCACGGCCACTCGAGCTTTCCCTCTTTCTTACACTTTCATTTCTGTTTATTTAAATCACTGTTCTATCCCGACCAGAGTGATCATATGTATCTCATCCTGTCTGCCATTATCGGCATGTGCAGCTCGTGCTTCCTTGGTCAATTCTAAGGGCAAGGGTCGGCATGCCACATTCCCAACGCGGTTTGTACTCGGTGGATACGAGATAGCGTTTTACGTACTTCTGGCAAGATAAACATGTATTTCATCCCACCCTTCGTGGGGAAGACGACGGGATTCCTCCCGGAAGCGGCCTTTCGTCCTGTGCCTACTTTCCCGATGACTTTTCGGCTGGTTTTGCGAAAGCTCGGCTTGATTTCTCGGGGTATCCGGGGTAGATCCTTGCTTCTTCGTCCTAGTGTGTGCGGATATTCATTCGCCCGTTGCTCTGGCCGCGGGGTTCGTGTCCCCCCATGTTTACTCTCGGTTAACTATATAATTTTGTTATAAGTTGGGGGCCCCAGAATATTTTTCTTCCATCATCGCCCACCATTTTGTTCACCCAGTTACACCTGATATAATCAAAATGGATGCGGAACGTTCGAGTCTTGACAAGCAGCAGGATTTCATTGAAACCGAGGAAGCTGGTCCTTCGAAGCTTCCTGGAAACGATGAAACCTCCATTCCCCCAGCCCTCGCGGCTCTCAGCGAGGAGGAGTATGAACGGGTCAAGAAGTCTGCCGTTCGGAAACTGGATCTTCGGATTATGCCTGCCGTTGTGTTGATGTATATTCTGAACTACTTGGATCGTCAAAACATTGCCAGTGCCAAGTTGGCCGGTCTGGTGCAGGACTTGAACATGACTAGCGTTCAGTATCAGACTGCCGTCAGTCTGTTGTTTGCTGGTTACAGTACGTTCCCTCAGCTCAAGTGAAGTTAGTCGCTAATTTTTGTAGTCACCATGCAAATTCCCTCCAACATGATCGCGAGTAAAATCAAATGGCCCGGTATCTACATCAACGTCGCAATGGCGGTATGGGGAGCCATCTCCGCATGTACCGCCGCAGTCAACAACTTTTCTGGTCTCGTAGCAGCGCGATTCTTCCTCGGAGTTGTCGAGGCTGCCTTCCTACCCGGTGTTGTCTACTACATTTCTCTATTCTACAACAGACAGCAAATGACTCTTCGTACTGCCATTTTTTACTCTGGTTCCCAGATTGGAAATGCCGTCGGTCCATTGATCGCCATTGGTGTGTTGAACTTGGATGGTAAAAAGGGAATTTCCGGATGGAGATGGTTGTTCATCATCGAGGGAGTGGTCACTATCTTCTTCGCAATCATTTTTGCAGTCATCCTGCCCCATTCTTTGCAAACCATTCGTGGATTCACGGAACTCGAGAGTCAGTTCCTGCAGTACAACTATGCGAAGGATATTGGACAGCAGGATCACAAGGATGAGGCGAGCGCATGGAAGGGTCTTAAGCTTGCTGTGTCAGACCCGAAGACATGGTTGCTTCTGGCGACTTTATGGGCTGTACGTATTCAATTCCTCTTTTGTAACAATTTTTACTGACGTACTAGACTTACGTGTCTGCTGCCGTGGTCAACTGGTTCCCATCGGTCGTTGCTACCCTGGGTTACTCGCGCAACACTACATATGGTCTTACTGCACCGCCTTACATCCTCTCTTGTATTGTCATCAGTCTCGTCGGCTTTCATTCTGACAAGGTATGCTCTCTCGCTCGGGAGTTTCTAATCAAAATCTAACTGTCGCAGAAACAAGAACGCTTCTGGCACGTTGCTATTCCTTTGGCAGTGGCCGTCGTTGCAAACATCATTGCTGTGTCTTCATTGAACACGGGCGCTCGATGTATGTCTTCCCTCCTAGCTCAAGACTAGTACTAACATGAACAGACTTTGCCATGATGCTCATGCCCGGAAGCTGCTACTCGGCTGCCATTGTCATTCTATCATGGATCACCGGTACACTGTCGCAACCCGCCGTCAAGCGTGCTTCAGCTATTGCCTTGATCAATGCCGTCTGCAATACGCCTAACAGTAAGTTCTTTTCTGTACTCTTTCCGAGCAAGTATACTGACTTAAAATACAGTTTGGACATCGTACATCTACTACGGCGCACCTCGCTACCTCGCAGCGTTTCTGCTAAATATGGCTATGGCCGCGCTAGCTATTGTCTTTGCCTTTGCATTACATATGTATCTTCGCCGAGAGAACGCCAAGTTGGACCGCGGCGAGGACCCGGGAAAGCATGGCCCTACTGTTGCCCAGCAAGCTGCCGGATTCCGGTACTTGATTTGATCATTGCCTCCGATCTGATGTATGAAGAAATGATAGAATGGTGTCTCGATAGATATATAGCGTGGGACGAATGATAGCTATATGTATGAATGATAGACATGATTATTATTTCGTTATTTTAATATCACTTTATCTACTATCAAGTCCTAACGCCATCATATGCAAATATACAGATATCGACAACATTGAACACTATACCACCTCATCTACATCATCAAAACGGCCCCGGGACTTTATGTATACACAGACAACTCCAAATCATCTCGTATCATCCCCCGTGCTGGTATAATAAATCCAACTCTTCAAATCCTCGATTCTGTCTGGCGCAAACTTCACCGCCAACAACCCCATAATGCTCAACACAACCACAAATCCGATCAAAAACAAACACAAAACGCCCGCCAAGCGTCTCTTGCGTGTTTTGTATTCGTTGATTAGGCCGCCTGCTGCGCGAGCGGAGAAGCCGACGATGCGGTCGTAGCCAAGCATGTAGTAGATGAGCCCGAAAAGGGCGAGTGTATAACCGCCAACTTGCAGGGCGGTCATGGGCGAGTGCCAGAGGATGAGTGAGGAGATGACGATGAGGATGTCTTTGAGAATGCCGCAGAGGCGCATGACGAGGGAGGATGTTTTGCTTATCTATGTCGATTAGTACCGACTCAATGATAACGCAGAAAGATGGGAGGAGGGGAGGGACGCACGAGGAAAACAACCGAAATATTCAACGCAAACGCCACAACCGCATTCAAAACCAACATCCAAACACCCACATGCCACACATCCTCCATCTTGAATCGCGGTAATTCGACTGCCGCCGCTACAGCACCATTCATAAGGGCACAGACCGGCGCAAAATAGTATAGCGACACGAGCGGATCCATCTTGAATTCGTCCGACGATAACAGTCTCTGCACCATGACGAGTCGGATAGCCTCGAAAACGATTCCGCCGATCTGAAACAGCACGCCGACGACGACGAAATCGACTTCGCCGAAACAGGCGATCATGACGCCCAGCACGATTACGCACACGTTCATGAGTTGTCGGAAGTTGTAGGGCTCGAGTTTGAAGGCCCATGTGCAAAAGAGGATTACGACGGGAGTTGTGGACTATCCAAATGTCAGAACAATGAACTACTGATTCAAGAAAGACGGAGATGGCGGTGGGGGAAGTACCTTGAGCATCTGAATAAACGGCACACTCAGATACAAATACGTCACATTTCCGCAAATCAGACTTAGACTAAAGAACACGCCTATCGGCACGATGGCGCGCAGATATACGCGGCCCGTCATCTTGACTCGTTTGCGACCGTCGAGCAACGACGTAAAGCGTGCGAGGATTTGGGTCATGATCGTTGCGAAGGTAAGATGCCATGTTGTTAGGATGATGGCTACATTGTATTAGTGTTAAGTTAGTTGATTGCGCAGATCAAGGATCGGAGCAGGAGGACGAACGGTATGCTGTGACGGTATTAGTATTTATTCATAGTTGAGGGGTTAAAAAACTGACCGAAATGCCCGTATCCAAGGACTTGTTTATTAAATAGAATCAATGTTGAACTCAACGCAATCCATGCTCTGTCGCCAGTCAATCAATTTGAACTTCTTGCAGTATTTTCGGATGGTCGACTAACATGATAAAGAAAGCCGGATGTAGACCCTTTCTGGGCTGATTATTGTCTTCATATTGAACAGGTTTCTCAACAGGCGGCAACGTAGGATCCAGGCGGGCTGATTCTTCGTCAATGTCGGCGGGCATGATGCCTTTTTGGCGGTAAAGGAGTGGATAGAGAGCAAAAAAAAGAGTAATGAACGAACGATAGTATGTATGAGTAACGAAAGAATGTATGCCAATCAAATGGTCTCAAATCCTATGTAATACAGCGAGTGCGTAGTCTGAACTCCAGATTCCCATCAACTCACCGACGTACAAAGTACAGAGGAGAGTGAAGACTGGAACCAGTCTGGCATGACAGACTTGACCAAGACCCAGCTCAGCATCTTGGCAACTTTACGTACAGCTGAGAATACGTCGTACAAAGGGGTCGAAAACGACTGTGCGAAATCCATCCGGTGTACGGAGTACAGATACGAGGTCTAAACTTGTTGCGGCTCAGATCGAGGCTTCATCGCATTAACTCGTTCCGGAATGACGGTGGGTGCATGGAGGCGGTGATTGGGTAGTCGAGGTCTACCGATGAGCAATTCACTTTATCCGACGGCGGTCATTGGCTTAAACGAGATAAAAAGTCAATAAAAGACTACGAACAGTGGGCCTAACAGAGCCCAACTGTCTGTCAGTGTGTTGGCTGTTGGCGACTAGCACGCCGCCGCATCCGGCATTTTCGGATAGCCAAGCCCAATTCCCAGCAATGCCAAGAGATTCAGTTTGCTTTTTTGCTAGGGAAGTGAGACATCTACTAAGGCCGGCCAAATTGGATCAGTCGACTGATAGTGAGCTGACTAGTAACTACGTACATAGTAGATGCATAATACGAGATGTGGTTGGGCAGGACTTACTTTGGCTGACTCGACTGTGGGTAATTTATGTATTTTCCGTATTATAACTAGGTAATTATACCGTCAATACGGACCGTTCAGGTACCCGCCTACTATTTCTGTCTGAACATCCACAATATGTCTTTAAACCACGACAACATCGCAGGCTATGGAGTACACACTACACCGATAACGTCAAAATATCGAAACGAATAGTTTGACATTGGAGATGGGCTTTTGAACCCCGTATCCCCCTCATCAAGGCGTCGTCCTTTCGGGGAAAGCGGATAAGATAGCCGGAGTCTGAGTAAAAGCTGCGGCTTGAAAGAAGGTTTGTACCTGAACACAATCATTGCATCGCTTCGAAATTCCACTTTCTGGATGAGCCATGTCATTACACCTTACCTGTTGACCTTGATAATGTCTCCTGAATAGATAGACGAAGCACTGGATGGATCATTATCAGACAAAAGCCGAATAGGAAAGTTTCCACTGGAATGTGAAAGTCGCTTCTCTATCACGATAGGGAATTTGAGCGAGATCTGAGTCTTCAGGTCTCACGCACACGGGTTTCAAATCCTCCTTGCTGTCTTAGCTCTAGAAGAGGAGGTTGGATGTTTCATAGTCCCGAGCTTCTACGGGCTTGTGCGAGGGTCTTCCTGAAGAAGCCAAGACGCACATACACACCAACAAGGAAGTAGCAAATATCGACAAATATCCACAAAGGCAGCGACGGGGTTACTGTGACATGCGCAGACGGCACGACCTTCACCAGCAGCATCATTATTGGTGCCGACGGCATCAACAGCCGTGTACAGAGCGTAATGCAAAATTTAATCCTCGACACTGAGGGAACCAAATCACTGCACCTCAACGATTAAAACCCATTCGAGGCTAAATTACAGACGTCTTCTGTTATATGGCGATGCACGACGTCCATCAGACCTAAAACCGGGGATGATGTATGACATGTATGGCACAGGCCGAGCATCAGGACTCTTCGTCCTGCAAGACCACGAGCATTTCTTCTTCTACACGAGACTGAACGACTCAAGGCGGTGCCTACTATGGTGAGTGTCTCTGGCAATTTTCAGGTACGTGTCGTGGTATATTGAGCGGTATTTCATGGAGCGCATCATTACGAATGGGATCGTGCTGGATCTGTCGAAGAGAAGAATCTCGTCGGCGACACAGTGCCGTGGAATATCGGCCAAAGTTGACTGAGCAGAGTTGAGACAGGATACGAGTTATAAATACTAAAACAGTAATACGAATACCGCCTACCAAGAGGATGGGTCAGACAAGAAACTCGCTTATCTTGATATCTTGGAGGCCAGGGGGAGGCGATTGCGGCTGACCTGCTGGGCTCAACTCACAAACACGATAAACATTGAACGGTTATTGGGTGCTGGGTCAAACTAGCCGGTGGTAATTAAACAGACCTCTTGGTGGCGCTTTTAGGGCGGATGATTGGCTTTGTTTTTGATGCGGCTGATTGTACTAATTCTAGCGTACTACCATGTACATAGTAATAAGTTGCAGACGCCGTGCGATGGGTTCCATGTCGGTGCTGACTCTGAGATCGTTCGTAGACTCACTGACTACTACGTCTATTAAAGTATTCTGCCATCTAACTTGCTACATAATATTGTATGTATACATTAGTCATACGTAACAGTACGTACTATCATAGTATGTATGAATGCGGCGTGATCGACTTCCGTGGCACCCTCCCTCAGCCGAACCCCTGATTGGCTGATCTGCTCTTAAAAAAGCAACGTTGCATTGCCTGTACTGTAAGATTACCAGGATGTGACGTGACTCCCAGCCACTGACTGCCGTATAGTGTACGGACTTTGTCACCGCGTAATTTATTACTCCGTCTCTTCTCGTTTGGCCTCATTTTCCATTTCTCTACATCCGGCCCCCTCTGCTTCTGACATATTGCCTCTGTCGATCGTCTCTCGTTACTCCGTCAGCCATGCTCTAATAATACTATGTACCTTTGATATTTGTCTCGTTCCATGACTTGTACCAAACATTAATCGTCTCGTCACCACCACACTCGTTTCCGGTCTTTCGTTCCGCTCCACCTGCAATTTTGTCTCAGACGTATCCATTCCGGCGATTCCTCGACCCTACTTAATGTCTGCTATGTCGCGCAAAGCGGAGTCGTTTGATTTCATGGTATGTTTTTATCTTTTGATCCATCTTCAGTGCGACCCTTTCATCGTGATGAAATCTCACCACCTCTGATATGCAGTTTCCAACACCCGAACGAAGGCGCAGACTGCCTGCAAATTGTCGATGGCCGTTATCCATCGCCCTCGTGGCCGTCACACTGGCTGTCATTTTCTTCGCATATCATAATACGTCTCTGAGCGATTCGAATATTCTATCGTACGTACTATTGTCATCCCTTGCGTCGACACGTGCTGACCCGTACGATTACAGGGGCTATTCTCTCGAAGAAATAAAGCCATCCTCGGATGCCCATCATGGTGGCGACCTGAACCGCCTAGTTGCGCAACTCTACAAACCGTTCCTGCACCCCATCGACGCTGAAGTGTTTATCGGTGAGAATGAGGTCGAATACAAAATCGCCCAGAACCCACCTCGATTCACAGAGTCGCTGGGGCGAAAGGTCCTGTTGCTCGATGTTGATACTCGGGCGTTGAATGGGGAGGGTGGTATGATGAATGAGCACATTGATTATCATGCTCTTTCGCCGCATACTGCCGGCATGTTGAGCCACTACCTATATGGTATGTCCCCCTCAAATGATCTGTCTTGATATTTTTATTGACGACGACAGCAATGATCCACGGCTACGACTACAAATTCATCCAAGCCCCCTCCTACACTGACCGACACCAGACATGGGTCAAAGTACCCATGATCCGCGAAGCGCTCAAAACATACGACTATGTCGTATTCATGGACGCCGATGCCGTCTTCCACTACCACCACCTCCCCCTCGAATGGCTCTTCAACCACTGGAACATCACCGACCAGACCATGCTCGCCATGGCGCTCGACCCGAAGGCAGACTTCAACCTCGACGAGCGCGGAAACGTCAACCTTAACACAGGCTTCATCATCGCACAGGCCAGCGAGCGTACCACCCAAATGTTTAACGTTTGGGAAGACTGCGTAACCGACGAGAAATACGCTAACTGCTCTAAATGGCGGTACGAATGGAGCCACGAACAAGCCGCGTTCAGCAACTACCTTCGCTATGAATACACGCGGCCCAACGAGGTCATTTCCCTACCCTGTGCGGAAGCGAATGGATACCCTAGCAAAGCTGAGCTGGGCTGCACGGGCGAGTTTGTGCGTCATTACTGGCTAGACAAGGGCGCCACTGTCAGCGCGTTGCAGGATGCTGTTACACAGTATGCGGCGTTGAGGTTGCACGATCAGTTCCATAGGCATATGGATCATACCCTTGTCAATGCGACAGGTACGACTTTGCCGTTGAAAGATGGAGAGACGGTTGCCGTATAATCCTTTTCCTCTTTGAATATACATATTTCTATTATTGTCATGCCATATGACATTCGATTACAGCGGTTGGTTCTGTGGATGAGATAAGGAGTTGATGTAGAGGTTTTCTGTCTATGTTGTCTTCGTGACATCCGATTTACGTTCTCTTTTTTCTTTCGGTGTACATATTGATACCAACATAACATACATTAGAAGGCGAATATATATTCTTTAATGAAACCATATGACTATCACTTCACTGGTTGCTATGTATGTAGACACTCGACCTAGGTGGCATAGAGTCTAACCGATAGAAACACTAAAACCCTCATCCAATCCCCTGTCCACACTCACCTTCTTACCATACCCTCCTCCCTTTGCAGATCCGAGGGGACTCTGCCCTTGCCCCTGTCCCCCAGGAATAGCACTACTACCACTCTCACCCAGCACAGTCACCTTGCTGATTTTCACACCTGCCTCATACCCAAATCGTCCTCCAACCCTCAACTTCTTCGTCTTGCCATCATAGTCAAACACAATCTCACTTGTATCACTGCCCGTATCAACACTCTCTCCATCATCAAGCCACAACCTTCCCACCGCTTTGCCGTCCTCGTCAGGTGCAACAATCAACTCAAAATCGAGCTTGCGTAGTTGAGTAGTCGTATTTGCGCCGTTTGTGCGCAAAGGGATAATGCTGCCTCCACGGATGTGGACTGGTATTGACGAGAACGGGACGTTATGCTGGCTTATCCATTCTCCTTCTTCTTTCTTCTCGGTTGGACTCGTGGTTGAGGAAGATGATGAGCCGATGGTGAGTTTTTCCCCCGTCCAGAAATCGTACCATATCCCCTTCGGCAGGTAGAACGTGACGCTGGTCGATTCATCGTCTGTGACTGGCGAGATCAGCAAAGCCGGGCCGTAAAAGAACTGCAATTCAATATCCAACGTCACGGGGTCATGCGGGAAGAGGTAAAACACAGGTAGGATAGTACTCGGCGTCCCATCGACAGTCTGGTAATGAAATTCCGTGTAGAAATAATCCAGCAATTGATACCGAGTCCTTATCGCATCGCGCGCTGCATCGGCGACTTGAGGCCAGCGATAGAATTCTTGAAATGGCGCGGTGATGTCGGCATGGTTCCGATAGAAGGGGTACCATGCCCCGAGCACGGCCCAGCGCGTACAAAGTGTCTCCCAGGTCTCGAAGTTGAAGCCACACACGTCAGCGCCGATGGTGGGCATTTGGAATATGGCGGCGAATTCCATATTTTGCCGGATGGAGATGCGGTAGTGGTCCCAGGAGGAGATATTGTCGCCTGTCTACACGTTAGCATGAGGTAATAGGAGGAAATGGGCTTGAGGGAGGGCTTACCGGTCCAGTGGCCTGATCGCTTGCCGTCTCCTGCAAATGAGGATCGCGAAATGATGAGTGGGCGTTTGTTAGGTCGGCGCTCTAGCATGGCGTTTCGCGTGGCTTGCATCATGCTCGATGCAAAGAGGTTCTTGGTGTCGTAGAATGCGTACCCGCCGTATTGATACCTATCAGTGAATATCGTGCCGCCGTAAATGATGCCATCGACCGTACCGAGTGGGTAAGGAGGATTCAGCAGATCTCGCCCGGGCAATCCGATCCGTTCTCCGCTAGCTGATCGTTTGCTTATGCTTTTTGCGCTGGGTGGTTGCAGATCATCCGGAAATCCGGGTAATTCGCGCCACGAGTCGCGCAATGGTGGTGGTGAGGGGGGTACTCCTGCGGCTTTGGACCAGGATATTGCGTCTTCGCATGGATATGGGCAGAAGTTTGCGGGCTATTGAGCTGTTAGGTCTTGTCTCTTCTGTGAGGGGCTGTCAGCAAACCTCATTCATATCGATCCAGATCGCATCCACGTCGACACCTGTCTTTTCATCAAAGAATGACAAGATCAGACTGCTCCAATAGTCCTGTGCGTTTGGATGGAACCAATCCACGAACGCCGTGGCACCAGACCACATGCCCGCAAGAAACACCGAGCCATCGTTATTTCTGAAATAAGCCTCACTCTCCAGGAGTTTGTCATAAGTGGCTGGGTCGTCGACTGATATAGGTGGATCCACCATGACTACATAGTGTTGGTCATTTTCATGTAAATAATCAACAAGCTCGCGCACTTTGTGGATTGGAAACCGCTCGGGATCCAGCGTCCAAGTGCGGCGTAGGTTCACTACACAGTCAGTTTCGACGTTAATAGCGAATTTAGAGTACTAACTGTAGTCAATGTCGGACCATACGGTCTCAACAGGAATATTTGCCTCGGAGTAGTTGTACACCATTTCAGCGACCATCATGACATCTTGATATCCGTATTTACACTGGTGGAATCCATACGTCCAGTATGCTTGTTCCGCGGGCTACTTCCATCAGTATCATTATCTACGTATAGGCCATAGACTAGGTAGTACTTACCGCACCAACAACCTCTGCATATTGTCGTCCAACATCAAACGGACTAGGCCCAGCAAAAAAGTAAAAATCCAAAACTCCGCCGATCAAATTATACTCTAGGTACTGCTGACCCTTGTCGGTTTTGCTGATAAAAATGTCCATTCCGTTACTGCTCGCAATGTAGACGCCATGTGCTTGCCCATCCCTCATTTCGAGGTATATCGGATGACTGCTGTACAAGTTGGCATTTTTGGGTAAAAATGCATCTCCCACGTTGTAGATGGTCCGCTTGTAATTATTCGTCTGACGACGGAACGAATCTACGTCTTCGCCTAGTCCATAGATATACGGATCTGTTGGCATCCAGGTGCGCAAATGGACGAATTGCGGTTCAAAGATTAGCGGGTTAGCGGATGTATCGAATAATGTCTCATTAGTGTCGCTGCGTTGTACTGTGAATGAAAAGGGTGATTCGGTGTATGAGAACTTCAGTAGCGGATCCGCCGTGTCGTTGCTTCCTTGCGGAAAGGAAAGTACTTCCGGCGGTATTTGGTACACGTCTTCTGCGGCATCGTAGATTTTGACGTGAAGGCGGCCGTCTGTTCCGTCAGTACATGTGAATCTCAAAACGTGAAAATATCGACTCACTATTTTGATACTCAACTAACAATTTCAAGTCTTTAATATCTGGACCATATACATTACACGGCTCACCGGCCAGTTGCAAACTTGCGGTTATCGACGATGTCGTCTGTGCGACGTGTTTCAGCTCATAGCCAGAACATCGGGAAAGATCGGCTATTGCTGAGGTCGGAGACGTTGATGTCGCTGTTGACGAGATAATTCCTGCTACGCCGGCCAGTGTCTTGAAAGATGTCTGGTCAATGACATCTCGCGTATACGACGCCCATTTGTCGAGTGAATCGACCAGATGGGCGAAGTAAGCCGAGATAGGAGGCATGGCCTATAATTTTGTCGGGTATTATTGGAATTTCATGTAAAAATGAATTTGTCGAGAGGAAATACATGTGTTTCAAGGTTCAGTGGTGAAGTGAGAGAAGAACTTAAGAAGATGTCCGGGGAGCCTCAGGTACCTGCTCGATAATGCGGGGGGGCCGAATACTATTCCAAAATAGGAAAAACCCACCCATGTTAAGTGAATATGATTTGTCAGGCTGAGTTGGAGAAATGATGTCACAAGACCAGGATCAGACATGGAACTGTTAGGGCTCCCCTGTTTAGGATTGGAAAACTATTGTCATGTAGAGTCTATCAAATAATTTTGGTATATAGGAAGATGGAACCCAACACGTTCATCAACAAAGAGTCGCGGAGCAAGTCGTCTCGCAACGACCTCGGTACGGGAGTGTTGGAGATATATATTCCCATAATAGGGCACTTCCATGTACAGAATATCATAGGAGTCAATTTCCATCCATGAAAAACGCAATTTAACATGGGCAGTGGATCTTGGAATGATATTTATCGAAAACGCCTGAAGGGCCGTATTTCTAGACCTAGGAACCAAGCTGTCCAAAGGCATAGACTACAGAACATATGTGTTTCCTCTGATGATATATCATGTCGCACAGCCTCCATTTTGCATTTCACAGAATGTACCACCTTGTCCACTTGGGGAAAGTGGTGATCCATATTTTTATCCAGGTATGAGCGGTAATTAAAAACCCAAATCCAGAAAGTGTTGTCACTCGGATACTTTGATGTACTGTCATCATCACCTAATGCTACTTTGTATCATTTTATGTGAAGTGACACTTCAAATCTTCTGAATCTATCTTAAAAAGCGTACAGACTAGACAAGAAATGGAGGAGCCTCATGGGATTTTGTGGACAACAACTCTAAAAATACATGGTGAAAAGGTTGCTCGAAAATGGGAGCAGATGGAGTAGGAATGCCTATGGGGCTTGCTCATGAGTGCAATTATACTGCCGAGCTTCGTCGAAAAGTTTTTCTCCGGCTTTGTTTCTGACAGCATCCACCCAAAGGAAGCTTTTTAGGAGCTGTCTACTCTCAGACCAACTGTGGAGGTTCAGCGCGCGGCTTGTTTGGAGCACCTTCTGGTGTAGCCAGGCAAGGTCATGTGAGATATTATGGCCAGGCCCAACAACATATATCACCCAAAGACTCAATTCTAGCGACTGTTGATCGTTGCAGAGATTCAAAAGGTCGATATTCTGTCCGAAATCTCTTATTAAATCGCGATGGATCACCGAGACCAAGTCGGGATATAGAAATGTAGTAGTTGCAAAGATGAGCAATGTCTTTCTCAAAAGCTCATTCCGGTCATGAATATCAAATGAGAGTCGTTCTAGACGATACAGTACCGATAACAACGTCTCTTGGAAAAGAACCGGTGACAATTGTCGTCCAGTCTCGTGTGCAAGGTCCACAGCCGTGGCAAGTTCACGGAGATCAAGCCATACATTCATCAAGCGCTCGTCAATCGTTTGGAACAAAGCATCCAGCTGTGGGGTCATAGCAAGTCTCTTGGACTTGGCGAGGTATGGCTCCCATAAACAATCATTGTAAGAAAAGAAAAGCGGCTTGGATCCTGTCCTCAGCGCAAATCGCAAATCGAATCTGCAGCATTTGACTTGTAGTAGATGTTTCCGAGACAGTGTATGCATACCTCCATGGAGATCGATTAGTTGATATAAACCGTAGAGATGCTTTTCAGCGGCTTCAAATTCATTAAACACTTCTGAGATCATAGCGAGTGCCAGGACAAGAAATATCATGGAGTCAGTGACCAGTATGTCGACGTCCACTAGCTTCCGCCGAAGCATGGCGATACCTCTATTCATCTGTGTGATAGCAGTCGACTCCAATGTCTGACTCGTGATGGTATCAAAATACGCCCGAGCACTAATGCAGATAGTCTGGGCATACTCGGGATCATGGACTAGATCTTCATACCAATGGCGGTCATCTTCGCGAGTATCTATGCAGTTTTCAATGGGATACATCGCCTGTTGCATGATATGGACAACTGTTTATTGCTTTGTATTAGCAATTTCGCCTAACCATGTTGGATGAAGTAGGCGTACACGTAAACGCATCTTGCAGCATGTCCGAATCGATGCGATCGTCAAAACCAACCAGCAACGGCGAAACACTCAATTGAGGACACAACCGAGCCCGTGACACTGCCAAATCATTCTCCCGGTTGAACCAGGACTTTAGCACAGACGGCSGAGCCACATCGCGTTTCCTATTCTTGTCTTTCATGACATGATATCGAATGAATCGTCGACGGCGGCCATCGGGCTTGATGCTATTCTTGTCGGTGGCTACGATAAAAGGGTCGCATGATGACCATGCCAAGGATTGAGCTGTTTTCCCTTTGTGGTTGGTCTGTGGGATTTGATTTTCAGCAGTCATTTGGGTGGTGGCTATGGCTACATGTTGATGTCTTCAACTTGAATCGTTGTTAAAATGAGATCAGATGAAGTCTTCCGAAGGCCCTGGCTGAAGCGGGCCGATGCCAAGAAAGCGATTGCTTTCCAGATTGGGTTTGGTGCGTTTGTATTTGGCCAATAAAACGAGAAAAGCTGCTGCTGGTGACCCATAACGCCAAGAAATTGTTATTTTCCCTTTTCGGAAACTTAGGAAAGATCAATTGTTGAGCGAGGAAGTCAGCCAACGAGTAGTATATATATAAGCTCCACGTACTTACAGAGTTTTATTTGTGCCAAAATAAATTTTGAATTAAACTGTAACGACGTTTAAACTCTTGCTCTCAGCTATGGCGTCTATGTCAATGGGACTAGGCCACGAAGCAGGCGCTAGCCTTATGCGATCCTTCATCAAATCTCAATTTCTCACCAAGACTCAACGAGCGCCGGTAGATACAGATATCACCGGCCAAGTGGCAATCGTCACCGGTGGCAGCTCTGGACTCGGTTACCACGCTGCTCATCATCTCCTTAGCCTAAAATTGTCACGTCTCATCCTCGCCGTTCGATCGATGGAGAAAGGCAACTCTGCTGCCACGCAGCTTCGCGCCAAGTATCCTAATGCAGAAATTGATGTTTGGCAACTCGAAATGACCTCGTACGAATCCATACAAGCATTCTGTCACCAGGTGGAAAAGGATCTTCCACGGCTGGATATCACAATACTCAATGCCGGCATTGTCAAAGGCCACTTCAAAAAGTGTTCCACCGGCCACGAAGAAGCACTGCAAGTCAACTACCTCTCAACATTTCTTTTGGCAATCCTCATGCTTCCCTTATCCAAGATCAAAGCTCCTGCCGGCAAACCGGGTAGGCTTACAATCGTAAGTTCCGGTACAGCACTATGGGCCAAGTTCCCCAACCGGGACAAAAGACCACTGTTACCCTCCTTCGACGATACAAATATCACACCATGGGATGGTGTGGAGCGATACTTTTCATCCAAGATGTTGGGTCACTTGTTCTTCGTCCGATTACTGCCGTATCTGAACCCGGATGAAGTGATAGTGAATCTAGTTGAGCCTGGCATGTGTAAAGATTCGGATCTACATCGCGAAGCTACGGGTCCAGCAGGCGTTTTTCTAAAAGTATACAAGGCTCTTACGGGACGAAAGCCGGAAGATGGTGCTTGGACGTATGTTGATGCTGCTGTGGTCAAGGGGAGGGAGTCCCATGGATGTTTTTGTATGGATTGGAAGATTCATCCGTAAGTTTGCCTGTTTATTTGCGAGGATTTCCTAAAACGTTGACAATATAATCAGGTTCACTCAATTGGTTTATTTGTCTGAGGGTCAGCCCATTATGGATGCCCTCTGGGAGGAGACGATTGCTGAGTTTGAATTTGCGGGCGTGAGAGAAATACTGAAACTGACCAAGTAGTGACATGTCTTGGTGTGCTTTCTAATTGCTATTTTGGTAGACGCAGAATAAGTATTTCATCTTCACTCTTCATTAGATCTTTTCACATGCTAAATATATGCCATATATTCTATCCTCGAAAATTCAACGCATATCAATGCCCCTAGTCTAAAATTCAGATCACTCATATAACCACGTAGCAACCCGGCGTGGATCCTTATCCATCCTTGGCGAATCTTTCTTCAACTGATTTGGTCCTCGCTTTACGTATTGTCCATCACGAAGCTTTCCTTTTAGTTCACCATTGGCCCACATCACTTTTCCGCGAAGGATAGTGTACCTAGGCCAATTGGTGAACTCTTTGCCTTCATAAGGTGTGTCTGTGAACATGAGCTTTCATAATCGATAGGAAAAGGTATTGAAGAACTTACAGTCGACGTTGTGGTGAAGCATAGAGTTGGTGAGATTGAATGGTTTAAATGATTTCTCGGGGTGCCACTGGAAATTCATCTATAAGTAATTGATATCAACACAGGCTTGTAGGGAGCTTACAATAACGATATCGGCATCAGAGCCAGGCTGCAGATTCTACTTGTTAGCATTCACAACCACAAAGTTGATCCATCGGAAGACACACCATTAATGCCCCCTTCTTGGGATATAGTCCATACTAGAGCACACAATTAGACTTATCATATCTTTCAAATCTTTATTCTCAACATACCAGCTTAGCAGGATTCGTAGACGTTAACTCCACAAACTTCTGCGGCGTAATCCGTCCCGTCTGCAGCGCTCCTGTATAAAGCAACGACAATCGAGTTTCTACACCAGGGATGCCGTTGGGTACATGTCGAAATGCACCGTTCTTTCGTAGTAATAAGTCCTGTAGTTCCTCGCCATGGCAGTCGTGGTTCTCGCCTTCCATGCTGGGTGTGTGTTCGAGGACACCAGATGGTTTTCCGTGAGGGTGGTCGTAGCGGAAGGGGCAGTGGTCGGAGGAATAGATGGTGAAGGTGCCGTTTTGAAGTGAACTGTTACGAGACTCGTTAGATGTTTTGTGCAGATATGCTGCTGGTACAAGTCACATACACAAAAAGGTCTTCGTGGTCATTTGTGTCTGGCGGAGGAGGTGGTGAGCATATCATCTTGCTGTTTTCGAAGCACGTAGGTGAATGAAAGCGTTTCTGTAGGAGATTAGCCCAGAATGATCAGCTATTCGTCGTTGATATTGCTGGCTTACAAGGTCATCCCATGTGAGGTTGAAATATTGCGGACACGTTTCTGCATAGACTGGAAGACCCATGGTCTGTGCCCTGCGTACGTTGGCCGCTCCCAGCTAGAATATATTAGACACCATCATAGCTCTATATCTCTTTGGACGAATTAGTTCTTACCGCCGATCCAACATGGACGAATAGAATAGGGTTCTGAATCAGTGTAGCGAGTGAAATGGCTCGGTTGGTGGCTTCGCCTTCTGCTATCGGGGGACGGGAGAGAGCGTGGTAATACGGTGCTAGATGAATTGAGTAATCTGTTATGCTGAGGCAAATGAAGTTAAGTACTCACCAACCATTCCTTTGGCTTCGAGCTTATCTGTAGTGAAAATTTTAGATCTTGCCGTTGAGGTACAACACGACAAGAACTTACCAGTCAGCCAGCCGATCATGTCACCGTTCTCTGCGTGGATCATCTAAGGCATGTCAGCACAACTTTCGAGTAGATAAGAGAAATCTTAATCACTAACCGTCGTAATAGAATGTTTTCTCGCCGCGAACATAACATCCAAAAGCTGCGAATCCGTCAAACGCTGCGTTTCATACGTCAAGAACAGCTTGCAACTGCTAATGCCCCAGTCTTTGATCAAAACTGGTAGCTCATTCTCCAATATATCGGCATCATTGCGAACGATAATAATATGAAATCCATAGTCGACATAACTTCCCGTCGACTCGGCGCGTGCATTGTATGCTTCGACGACTTTGATAAGACTTCGGTCTTCTTCTGCGCGCGTTTGGGTAGCGAAGGTGATTATTGTGGTGGTGCCGCCGGCTACTGCACTTCTSGAGCCGGTGTCGAAGTTGTCGGCGCATTCGCCGCCGAGACCGTGGGGACCTGCAGACAGTTAGACGAGTCGTTCTGTCAAGGGGCATTCTGCCAGTAACCAACCTGTTTTCAAATCTTGGCATAGATGGACGTGAGCATCGACACCACCGGGCATAACATATGCGCCCCTGCAAAACCACAATCATGTCAATGGCTATTCTTAAAGGGTCATGTATCGCAGGAAATGCATACTCGGCATCTATAATTTCGACTCCCTCGAGTTCATCTTGGTCAAATGCATATGCCAGAGCCTTGATCTTCCCATCTTTGATTCCGACACAACACGTGCTGCAGATTTTAGTAGTCAGTCAAACGCTAAGTATATCGCGATGATAGCAGACATACCTAATATCACTGGCCGTCACCACCGTGCCGTTGACAATAACCAGGTCGAATCTAGGTGCCATCTGACGATAATGTATTTTGCTGTCCGTATTCTCGAGTAATCGGTGTTTTTCAGAAAGAAAATGCTGGCAAGTACAAGAGCTCCAGAAACTTTCGACAAAGCTATCATCTTATCGTACCTTGTACCTTCCAGGTACCTAGCTTATCGGGCGCAAAGCCCTAAACGGTTAGATCGTCGCCAGCTTTGGTAGCGACAAAGTGCGGCCAACTTTAATTTGGTCTTTATCGGCCCGCTTTCCGCTTGTTATCAGTGTGTTTCGGCCGGATTCCGATGTTTATCGACGCTGCTGATAACGCGCGCCGATGTGCGCCGGATTTGATGTGTGAGACATGCGCATTAGGTAAAATTGATCAGATATTCGTACTATAGTAGTTTCTGGGAAAAGTCTCGGGATACTACTAGTAGTTGGCCGCGGTAGATTTCCAATTCTAGTAAAATGCGGTAGATTATTTGGAGTCGACTTTAGTGGTCGGTCTAATCTTACTGACACTGGGGCGAGAGTCAACGTTGGTTAGTCGCGCTACCTAGGTATCTTATTCATCTTATCGTAGACAATAATTCATAAAAAGTGTCAAAGACTGTAGGCGAAACTTCCGAATCTACTGCACTTGCATTCCCTCTGTGATTGATCGGTTCATTTGAATTGGCACATATCCAACACCATCGTACGAAATTACTAGCCCCTTCACGATCAACATGCGTCTACTTCCAGCAGGCATTTACACACCATTGCCGTGTTTTTTCCATGATAATGAAGATCTCGGTATGTTGCAACTTGATGGCCTCAAGAGCAGCTGGCTAATATGAAGCAGATCTTGAATCATACGCCAAACATGTTAAGTGTATGTTCAAAATTTCATGTCATGGGTATAATGGTCCTAACACATTGTAGATACCGCCGAAGCAGGAACAATCCCTGTTATTTCAGGGTCCATGGGAGAAGCTGTCCATCTCGTAAGTCTTCCACTCTTCCCACTTTGAATAGTACCGAGTACTAATTCTTCAAATTCAGAGCCACGCGGAACGAAGTCAACTAATTAAAACCGCACGAACTGCCCTTGACGAAATCGAATTGACAGAGACACCCATTGTAGCCGGCATTGGTGCATCGAGTACTCGCGAATCCATCGAGCTCGCAAAAGAGGCAGCCGAGGCAGGCGCTGATTTCGGCATGGTTATACCTCCTGGCTACTACGCGGGAGCACTTCTCTCCAGTCCTGGTGCACTCAAACAATTCTTTATTGATATTGCTACGGCATCGCCTATACCAATGTTCGTCTTTGTCTTTGATGCGATGAATTCTCTTATTTGTAAACGACTGCTAACCGGCGATTATAGAATGATATATAACTTCCCCGCCCTTACGAACGGAATAGATCTCGACAGTGACTTGATCGTGGATGTGGTCAAGGAAGCACCTAATATTTGCGGTGTAAAATTAACGTTAGTTGTATCGACCTCTGCATGTTTATGAAACACAGAAACTGAGGAATTGTTCTGCAGATGCGCCAATGTCGGCAAGCTTACCCGAATCATGGCTGTAATCAACAGCGCCGAATTCCAATCTTCGTACCCTCGCAAATATCCCGAAATACCATTCCGCGCAATTGATGGATTTATTGATTTCCTTTTACCTTCTATTCCTGTCGGATCATCTGGAGCTATCAGTGGACTGCCAAATATTGCACCAGTGAGTACAATTTCTATCGCGGAACTCCTCTCTCTCCTGACAATTTACGTTTGCAGAAAATCTGTGTCAAATTATGGGAGGTGTGTCAAGACCTTCATGATCCTAGCAGATACAAAGAGGCGCAAAAGTTACAGAACCTCATTTCACTGGCGGACGGTATTGCTCTGAGAATCGGAGTAAGTTGATCTTGCATGCTATTAACATCTCACGGGCAGACATGCTGACATGGGTTGATGCCATTAGATCTCCGGTATGAAAAAGCTACTGAACCAACACTTCGGATACGGCGATAAACCACGACGACCACTTCTTCCCATGAGCGACGAGAAGGCCAAGGAATTTTTTGCATCACCGTATTTGAAGGATTTACTTGACGCCGAAGCCACGCTGTGATTTGTCTTTCTTTCTAGCCGATCATCTTTCATGACCAAATAGTATCCTTCCTGTAGTTCAATGTTGACTTTTCATCAATTAAACAGAAGTATGTGTCACGTATTACTTTCTAGTTAAAAGAAGTCGGGGATGCTCCGATGCGCGCCGCAGAAGTGGGGCGGCCATATCTTATCTCGTTTGATATGGATCTCTTCCTTTCTATCTTGAACTTACACTAACACGCTTTCCTCGCGTTTACTTCCCAGACGTATCGACAAATGTCCGACTCTCAGCAAAAAGGCAGAATCTACAAGTCACGCAAATCCAGGCCATGCGATGCCTGCCGACGCCGAAAGGTGACCTGTGATATGCCCAATGGCCCACCATGCAAGCGATGTGTACACATGAACAAAGCATGCACATTCGAAGAGCCACCAAGCCAGCGAAAAAGACGCACCGTACCGAAACTGGACGATATCGACTCATCAATCCTTTCTTTACTCCATGGTACCGAGAATGATATTTGGCGCGGATTCGCAGCCAATGCTATGTCGCCATTGCAATTGTACAACGATGGGATGTTCCTTGGTTCTCCCGGTTCAAGGAGCGACGACAACGTGTCGCCAAGGGGTTTGCAAATGCCATATTTAGGAGAAGGTTTTGCGCATCTACCGGGTCCGTCGGATTTCAAGAATAATCAGTCCCCTCCAGATGCAAGTCAAAGAATGTCTCCCGCACATCGGACTCCTACAAATGGGCCAGCCTACGATACTTCCTTTGGTCGATCACATCATAACCGTGAGACCTCGTTGGAATTCGTTCCGGATGCATTCACATTTTATATCGGTCCCACTGGCGTGTCTGATGTCCATTTACTCGACTCACAACCGTACGATGATAAGAACGTGTCCAGACTCAATGTCAAAGGTTTGAGATACCGACTCTTGAACCCCAGTTCGCGGGGTGAAAGAGATACATCTACAATATTCGGCATTACAGACAGATCATTATTAGATAAAGCTGAGCCCAAAGTGGACTATCAGACAACCGAGTCGGCTTGGTCGGATTTATGGCAAGCCCTCGACCCGACCGCAGCTTGGCACTTGATCGCCCTGTATAGTCGCTTTGTTGACCCCTACTTTCCTATTGTCTCCCAGGAACAGATACCTGATAATCCGGATACTCTCAGCAATATGCCATTGGGCTTGTTGACAGCAATGTGCGCAACCGCGCTTCCATTCATCATGTACGACGAAGCATTATACACTCTCTTGCTACGGCCACCTTCGATTCAAGAACTCTATCGACTTGCCTGGCTTGGTGTCACATCAGAACTACACGCACCGACATTGACCACATTGCAAGCTTGCCTTATTCTTTTGCAACGACTTCCAACAAACTTATACCTTTCAGATACTGCATTTACATGGTCACTTATGTCAATCGCAGTTTCAATAGCTCAAACAATCGGATTGCACAGAGATCCGTCTGCATGGCTTTCAGTACCATCATGGGAAAGACAACTCCGCCGACGGCTGTGGTGGGCACTGTGGACAATGGAAAAATGGATTGCTCTGGCGCGTGGCATGCCCAGCCACCTGCACGAAGATGACTCGGATGTTGCTATGATGACTATGGACGATATCAACGACACACTTTCGGAACCATGCGAGAACCACGCCCATCTCCCTCACTTGGTGAGCTTGACTGGTATACTATCTGATATTTGCCGTACTTACTACACTGTACGCAGCAGTAGTGTCACATCCAGCGATTTGCAGCATTCTCTCGATGCAGCCAGACCACTTCGAGCACGCTTAAAAGCATGGCACGATAATCTGCCCGATACGCTAATATTTCGAGACGGCCGAGGTCCCAAAGACTCAGCAGGATATAGAGACAAACCGGAATCACATCATACGTATTACCAGCAGCGAGAACATCTAGATGGCAATGGGAGTCTACATCTTTCGTATATCGTTGCTCACATGACTCTTTTCCGAGCATTGTTGAGACCCTTGAATAAGTGGCCGTCTATTCTTGCTCGGTCTCCACCTGATCAGGCAAATGCGATCAACGAAGGGGCACGAGCGGTTGTTCGAGGGGCGTTGCTTTGTGTGAAGGAGTTTGTTGAATTCATGGAAGCCTTGACAGAGACACAATGGAATGCATTCTGGCACAGTTGTACGTTCATGATAATCATCACGATTTGGATTATAGCTTGTCTGACCATATCATAGGGAGCCGACCGAACTTTGCGATAGCCGGCTCGTTTATGGTACATGTTCTACATACTACTGCACCCCACGATGCTACAAGACACCAAGAAACGGACGCAGCTGGGCTGCCTACCAGTTACATCACCTTTGAAGAGGAGTACGAAGATCTCAAAATGTGGATTCGTCGATGGCGATGGGCGAATCGCGTCTCTGTAAATGGTGCTGCTGGCGTTAAGGGTCTCACTAATCTTGGTCTCATGAAAGCCGAGACGTTGATGGAGAAGATGGAGTCGAGCCATTTTACTACAAACTCACAGAGTGGAAAGTCTACTTAGTTTATACCTAGTGATTCACTGACGATATCCTTTATGTAGATATGGACATTAATATAACCTCAGTAATTGACCAATAGGCTAAAGAACAACGTAAATGCAAGAAACTAACAAACGCAACCATGCAAATTATCCCATCTAACACAGATTCAAAATAACTCTTTCCTCTTCCTGAGCACACTGACCATCATCCTCCTCAATTTTAGAAGGAATAGGCACATTAGCCAAAGGAGTCAATCTAAACGCATGTCGTCTATTCCCAGGCTGATAATCCAGCGTCTGGGAGTGCTGCGTAATCCGCTGATCCCACACAACCACAGTACCAGGTTCGTAGCGCACACGACAGCAAAAATCTTGACCGCGGTTGACGTGATCGAACAGGAACCTCAGAAGATATTCAGACTCTTCGTCGTCCCACCCGATGATGCGTTCGGTGTATGAGGAGTTGACAAAAAGTGCTTTCTTGCCGGTTACGGGGTGGACTGTGACGACCGGATGGATGGCGCTGTTGATGGGACGGCGGAGGACGGCGCCGTTGCCGTTGTCGCGGAGTTCGCGGGAAACGGGGCCAGCAGTAGTATGAAGGGCTTGGAGACCTTCGAGGCGTTTACGGAAGGATGGGGAGAGTCGTTCGAATGCGCGTGTCATCTACTTTGGTCAGTGATTGCGTGGATGAAGTACATGTTGGGCGTAAACTCACGCTAGAAATAAGGGTATCTCCACCGGCACCGGGAGGTGACTCGAGCATACAGAAGAAAGTCATGCCAGGGGGCTGAACCTCTGGGGACTGGTCGACGTGGAACTGGATAGGGCTCTTTCTGGCCCAACCTTTACGTATACGGAGGTCCCTACAAACTGGTTAGCCTAGGCCCAAATAGTGATGAGTGACAAGGCTGGACATACTCCTTTGAGTCATATACAATGACAAACTCCTCGGTCTCTGAAGAGTGAACCGCGGCCTTGGGGTGAGGCATCCATCCGTGCTTGTGAAGAGGTCCTATCAGACTATGTGAGCCATGTCACTTCCGAGTGACGTCTGTAAAGGAATTTTTACCAAAGTGACGAGCAATCTCCTTTTGCTTCGCGAAGCCAATATTTCCAAAGTCTTGGTCACGGAAAACCAAGCAGCCGCGCTCAGCGCACATCAAGGCCATTTCATCGAGTCCTTCGGTAGTAAGTTCAGACTGTTCATGTCAGTAGTCCATACAAAATTGCTACTTGGAAGGTAGTTTTGACTTACAATCTGAACACCCTGGATCTCTGTACCACAATGAGGACTCAACTCAAACACCTTGGTAGCATTCTTGAGAAGGTTGGGCTTGTTGGGGTCGGCACGGTGACCGGGATCCTCATGTTCAAAGCGGCCGACAGGCACGATCTTCTCAAGAGGATCATAGTGTGCTGTTACAAAAAGTGAGTACACATTCCATCAACTGAAAAAAACATGCCATACGTAGATAGTCAGGGTAAAGAGGCTGCCTCTCCTTGGCCTCTGTAGGTGCGGTGACGTCTTTGGCAATCATTGTAACCAAATTCGTATAAAGATAATATGAACAAGTGAAGTCAAAATAAAGTTCAGCTTTAAGATAGAATCAGGCTTGAATTGTTTGGATGGAACAGATAACTAAGTTGGATCAGGATCGCATCGTTATAAGTATCCAGTTCTCACGCGACCCCAACGCGGCTGAACCCTTGGCCACACCCAGGTCCATAACGCCCCCTCCATCATGATGTCCACGGCCAACAGAAACCACTGCAAGAGCGGGCATTGTGATCCCCCGCACTGCGACCTCATGTCGGAGTGGATGGTGATAATGGACGAACATCTACAGGAATAGAGTTGGCCGCGGTGGAGAGCTCTAGAATTGGCCGCTCCCACGTTGCCGGCGCGGCCAACTTTTCGCGGCCAGATCTAACCGAATGCGTCCGGAGACTTTTGACACGTAAATTGGTCGTTTTACGCTGTTCGCTCCGGTCTTGTCCCAAGTGACTTCGGTGAGTTGTTATCAATTATGGGTCGCTGACCTTGGGTAAACCTGTGATTGGCTACGATGCATCTTTTTCTGGATGTAGACTTTGGAGATAGGTTGAGGCGATAGCGATAGGTAGATAAAGTTTGAAGATTAGGACTTTTTGGGGTAGGTGTTTATGCAGTGAGAAACTATGTATATAGTTCATGCATCCATCTAGAGCGGATATTCAGTTCTCGGACTGAGTAAATTATCATCTAAGAATTTTGGTCTTTGTGGAAGGCGTGTTTCATCGTTCGTCTTCAATTGACAACACTCGACATGGCCGCAGAAGACTCTATCGCTCCCAACCGGGATCAAGAAGTCATCACCGATGAGCCCAAGGGCACTATCCTCACCGCTGAGTCTGCTGTCAAGGCAGTGAAGGCTGGCGACAGAGATGTCGACATCGCAGCCCAGATTATTGCCGACTATACAGAGGAGAATGGCGATAGAACCTGGACGTCTCAGGAGGAGAAGAAATTGATGCGCAAGGTTGATTGGTGGTTGATTCCGATTGTATGTTTTTTAGTACCGGACAGACTCATATTGTACATGAGGTTAATATTTGATTCTAGTTGTTCGTCTGTGCCACTCTTAGTGGTTTGGACAAGACTGCTATCTCAGCAGCTGCTATCTACAACATCAAATCGGATTTGCACTTGACTGGCCAGCAATATTCATGGGTTGGATCGGCACCTTTCTTCGGAGGATTAGCATTCATGGGACCCTCTGCATACTGTCTTCAAAGGTACAGCATTACCCATCCATATTTCTTACAGTACGAACGAATAGCTAATTCTGGCACAGAGTTCCCGCTGTCAAGTTCTTCGCTCTCAATGTCTTCTTCTGGGGAGTTCTCGAAATGTGTATGGCAGCATGCACCAACTTCGCAGGCCTTTTCGTGTGCCGTTTCTTCCTCGGTGGCTGTGAAGCGCTACTCATCCCGGCTGTGACTTTAGTTGTGTCTATGTGGTACCGACCCGAAGAACAGCCGGCTCGCAATAGTATCATTCTGAACGTCATTGCTCCCATCCTCAATGGTTTTATTGCTTGGTTGGTGAGCTACTACCACGGTCCCTTTGAGTCGTGGAAGATTATATTCCTCGTTCTCGGTGCCTTTACAACTCTATGGGCTTTCGTAGTGTTATTCTTCCTGTGAGATGACACCTTTACTGTATCCTCTATTCACATCTACTAACACGCAACTAGTCCTGACAACCCCCTTGAGACTCGCTACCTCACTTCTCGCGAGAAGTACATCATCATCCAACGCAAAGCATCAGACAATACCGGAGTTGAATCCAAGACCATGAAACCTAACCAAATCTGGGAAGCAGTCTTCGATCCCAAGACCTGGCTTATCTGGTTCGCCATCGTGGCCTTGCAGGTCCCCAACGGTGGCCTCACCACATTCAATACATTGATCATCTCTGGTCTCGGTTTCGACTCGCTTCAGACCTCGTTGCTTGCCATGCCGCCTGGTGCTATGAGTACTCTTTCCGGTATTGGGTTGAGTTATTTGGCTGCGAGGACCAGAAAGTACAGAACCATTTTGGTTGCTGGCAGTATTCTCTTGCCTTTGCTTGGGGCTGTGCTCTGCTATGCTCTTCCTCGAACCAACTTGGCTGGTCAGCTTGTCGGATTATACATTCTATAGTACGTTTGAGTTCTTCTAATTGATTTGAAAACTATACTAATAACATGAACAGCACCTACTGGGCACCTTATGTCACTCTTGTGTCCGTCTACCAAGCCAACATTGCCGGTCATACCAAGAAGTAAGCCTCCCTCACATTGATTTCCATTTGACGCCAATCTCTAACATTCAAACAGAGTCGGTCTCTATGCCTGGTACTACGTCGCCTGGGCCGTCGGAAACATCATCGGCCCTCAGACCTTCCGCGCAAACCAAGCGCCAGCCTACACCGGAGGCACAATTGCTATGATTGTCTGCTACGTCGTCGCAATCGTTCTGATTTTGACGTATGGATTTATTTGCCATCGCGAGAACAAGCAGCGCCAAGCTGACATTCAGAATGGTGTTGTTACTGCTGATGGCCAGGACTGGTTGGATTTGACGGATAAAGAGAACCGGGCGTTCAAGTACACTACTTAGGGAGCATATTAAATATGGGTATTGTTCTAAAGGAATGTTTTTTTTTGGTTTTAATAGCGGGCTATGTTAGCTGTAATCTTTTGTATTGTGTATTGTTATCCACAATTCAAATGTCAGTCTTATATCTAATTGTCCCCTACTCAAGAGACTCAAGCACGATGTCGCATAGGACCACCAATGTTGTGCAAAAATAGCACTCAAATCGCTGCCAAGCCATGTACGAGATAGCCGCGATACTGAAATCATATGTTCTAGCCAACGACTGCAATTTCGGAATCATGATCTTGTGTGGTAAAAACCAACAGCCTACCCTGTATGTTAATGTACTATGGTTTATGAATACAAAACTTAGGTTGGCAGTTTTTTAGTCGCGCGGCCACCTGGCTTGTAACTAATTCCTACATTCTCTTCCAATACCTGGTAACACAGGTCTGGTCAATGAAAATTCATGAATCGATCGGTTCATTTTATTCTCTACTGAAAAGGGGCGCAAAAACATGCTTGAAGGGCTACCTAGAGAGATTCTGATACTTATCAGCGACTTCCTCGATCAAATACAACCCAACAGTGTAATCGATCCAGCATGTGTGAACAACCAACTCCCTGTCTATTTGCATGCCTTTACTGCAGGTTCGTACCCTGCAGTTCTACGTTTATGACGATGGAGAGCAGCTAGCCGAAGACATACTGCGTTATTCCCAAATGCTACAGCGCCTGGATGGTTTCCGAGCTGTCCGTCGTTTGATAATAATCACCAGCGACGATAAAAAGATTATCAGAGAACAGATGCATCAGCACAGATCCGAACAGCAATGGCAGCGACCGAAAATATCTCCTCTTGACTATAGAGGTCATGAGTATGATGTCCTACGAAAGCATGCCGAGAAGCCCGGCGGCCCAATCAGGGATAAAGACACGGCACATCAGAAAAACTGTCTTTGGATGCCATTGGCAGACTTTATTCTACGGTTACCTCTTCTGGATTCTATTTTCTATTCAAGCTATTATCAAATCCCTCCCTGCATTCTGGATAGCATTCTCCGAAGTCGATCACTATGCAGGCTATATATTACTCGATTTGCGTTGTGGAGTCTGGGACCACGAGGGATAACAGATCCTTACGAACTAGAAGTAATAACTTCACCGTTTTTACATGGTATCGGAACAGCTTCCACAGGCACCTATGGGTATAGACTTGCAGATCACCCACTCCGGGAGCATATTTATCTTGATCAAGCTCTTAGACTTATTGTCTCAGGCCTAATACCTCAATTGAAGAAAATGGTTATGATACAACTTGAGCGCTCCAACCCGCCCATAGCAAGGAATAACAACCCGCCCTTTTCGATGGAACTTGCGCCACAAGCAGACCGTCAACCTGATGGGCTCTTGGAAAACCTTGAGATACGAGATAACACTCATCCTGGCTGTATTCTTGGAAGAGAGAATATAGAGGTTTGGAAGCAAGATGCAGACCTCTCTCTTCTCAAACCCCTGAAAATTGGGCCTAAGTCAACGTTGGAAGCCATCGAGTACATGACAAATACCTCATCGAACTGAGGGCGAAGGAGTAAGGACAAATGTGGACGGATGTCTCCTCAGACTGGAAAACATTCGATGGATTTTGTGGGTGATGGCTGAACGGTCCAAACTCGTGTCTTTATTAAGTATTGTTTGAATTTTTGTTTTTTGGACGTTGCCAGTCGACCTACATGGAGGTCATAGAGCTGTTACATAGTGCATCTCAAATCATATTTATTGTCGGAGTGTATGTGCCGTTCATTATTTCTTCTTCTACCTCGATAAGGACGCTGCAAAGGAAATATTGGGCGTGTCTATAGTAGCACTAGAAATGTCAATTCTGAAGGACCCCGTAGAGGTGTATTTTAATCATAATCCGAGATGTCAGAATAAGGTTCACTTCCACGCGAGATTGAGTTCAAGTATGACGTAGTGATGTACAAGATTGACCTTAGCGTTGATGCAAGAGATTCTTCAGGAGTTCTATATGGCTATGGTAAGTTTCCTCGGACAAGCGTTGGCATATCAAAGACGAATGAAAGGAGACACTGCTGGGTTTAATCGCATGACAGATGTCCAGACTTGAAAATTTTTCTACACTAGTTTGGATGTATCCTTACCATGCGCGTGCATAAAACTTTCATCCAAAATTTCCTCGAATCAGTCGCTACGTCAAGTATCAACTTTAGATGCGGCTGAAATGCCACGTCTCCTTACCATAAGCGGGTTCACGAAATCTGATCCTCTTCAGCTTGTTGAGGAGGAGTCGCCTTATTATCAAGCTGATCGATTCTATTCCGTTTATCTGGGTCATCTTTCAAGACCGCTACCAAGTACTCATATTTAACGTGACAGATCCCATGTATATGTCGCACTAATGGTGTATGTCCATAACTCATTGATCCATCGTGAACTACTATTTTAACGCCATATTGCTAACCAAGTCTCTCACGGTGTATATAAAGGGCGTGGTAACATTTGGAAACTGCTGAACTTCTTCGTTGTTGTCGGTTCACATGGCAAGTATAGCATCCTTACTCTCAAAGCAGTCTAGAAGAGTCTTTGTGATATGAATCAGTATTTCGGTTAGATAAATTAAATCAGGATTTTGTAAGAGGTGCTCTTATTAAGCTTAGCATGCTCTCGGCTTTTTTTATTCTTATGTGGGAGTTTATTATACTATTAGTGTCAACTGGTCTTGTAAGCCCTCCTTCATCTTTTAGTTTGTTTCACTGGGTAGTTATTTAATTATAAATATCTATTTCAGTAATATGCTTCTAGATTTATAAGATGGAAGCCTGCTGAGACGCCTTGCGTAAAAGGACTTCACATCTCCGGTACCCTGCAGAAAAGATTCATCTTCTCTGACCACCTATCTCGCTTGGGACCGGCTCCTCCTGAGTCCGTCGCAAGAAATTCGAAAAGACGGGCTGGCTTTTGGGACGATCAAGGTGCATTTTTTTACAAAACCAGAGGTAATTTATTAATTTAAATGTCGATTGCTAAAGTCGCGCAGGACACTACCCACGCCTTGCGCTATATGATATGCTAGAACATTACAAACCTTGGAAACGCGACTGGCAGTCGGACTTTCTACAGTTCATCTGGACGGCACTAGATTAAGACACCTGAGAGAAGAGCAACCGCCAAGACCGCTGGCTGACCGGAAAAAGCGGTTAGACTCAAAGACAATTGTTGGGTGAAGAAGGGTCTTGGGCTGAAAAGGGAACAACACTGCTGCGTCGATATGAGATGAACACGAACTGATCGATAAGACTTAAAATAATGTAATGTCATGACGGGTAACAAGTACAATACATACGGTATGATGCACGTCTGCCGTACGGATACATTCCACTAGTAAGTTCGATGGAAACTCTATCGAGCTCGGGAGTGACGTCATGACACAGCCGAGCTTCTGATTGGGCGAGATTGGGATCGCACCAAGTTCCGCGGATACCGGATCGGGACCCAGTGGAGACGCAGTGCATGCATCTAGGTCTTAGCGTTGTTGCTGTCGTTGCTGTCCTTGATAATTTTGGTTGATGCATTGTTGACGCGTTGCACGAATATTTATCTCTTCAGGCCGGACTGTACTTCTGTCCCGAGTCGGAGTTTGTACTTTGAGTAGCCAGCATGACTTGCGCGTGGGGGCAGTTCTAGGAATTTTGATTGTACATTGTTTAATTGATCGCAAAAACTTCTCGGTATCTGTGTCTTCATGACAAAATTGTCAATTGACACCTGACGGAAGCGAATAATAAACCTCGAGCAACCAGAGATCATGGGCTACGATTATGCCCTCGTGTATGTGAAACTGTCACAATTGGAGCAAATGTTGTGCGATTAACTGATGAGATTGCTAGTCATTTGACATGGACGATTCCTCCAGCGGTGCTGATGACAGCATTTTACTGGCCATTTTTTACGCAGTATGACTACTACAAGATCGGATTCCTTGTTACTGTAAGTCCTCGCGCTTTCATGTTCACAGCTGTAGAAACACTTACAAATGTTCTTGCGTCCAAAGGTTGCTATGATCTCTGCGACACCATGGGACTCGTACTTGATCCGCAATAGTATCTGGACATACCCCGAAGACGCAATCGTTGGGCCGACCGTATTCAAGATACCCATGGAAGAAATATTTTTCTTCTTTATTCAGACATATAATACATCCCTTATCTATTCTATATTGACCAAGCGACTCGTGTTGCCATGCTATCTTCGCACGAGTGCAACAAAAATATCCGAAGCTGTGGGAACGATCATTATTTCATGTGGTGTGATTTATGGAATTGCAGGTTTCTGGGCTGGGGGAAAGCATACATACATGTCCTTGATTCTGGGCTGGCTATGCCCATTGATGCTTATACCATGGTAGGTGTCGCGATTTATTTTACCGATCACAAACTGAGCAACCTATTTTAGGATTCTTTCAGCGCGCTTTATTGTCGCCTTACCGCGAAAAGAAATAATTACAGCTGTATTGCTACCGACTATATATTTATGGATAGTGGATGGGATTGCACTGCAGCGTGGAACATGGGTCATTGAAAGTGGCACGAAGCTGAATCTCGCATTAGGCGCATTGGACATAGAGTCAGTATCATCCGAGCAGCCTGGGATTGCAGAAACTAACTTTGCGCAAGGGAGGCGATGTTCTTTCTCTGTACCAACCTTATGATTGTCATAGCTTTGGGAGCTGTTGACCACGGCATCGCGATCGCCGAATACCAGATCGCCGCAACGCCCCGAAGTAAAAGAGACTTTCCATCGTTCTCCGAGCTGTTTATAATATACTTGAGGGAAAGGAATGGCCCTTTTGATCAGGATTTTTTGCGATGTGTATCCGACGCTGTGCGGACCGTTGCGCAGAAAAGTCAGACGATGTATACAGGCAGCGCCATGTTTCGCGGCCAGCTGCGCATTGATCTTATATTGCTGTGCGTAATAATTCGACCACATATTGTAGGACTGTATTGACCGTTATTGATTAGATACTCGTTTTGTCGGGTTATGGACGACCTCGTCGACGATGCACCAGATGCTCAGACGTCACGCCGCGCCATCCGACAATGCCGTATCGCATTGCACCGACAGTTCACCTTGACATTCCCCGACAATAATCCACGTCTTCCGCCGACCAAGAAGGGAACCGCCAAATCAGAGGCGGAGGCCATCAAAAGCATTCCCCCGGTCCTTGTCACTTCAACTGGACTCCTCCCTGTTTCGCGCTTGACTATCGATCCTCTCCTCGATCTACTTGATGGCTTCGAATCCGATCTCGCATTTACAAACGACAACGCTACATCCCCCATTAAAACAGAATCTGATTTGGAGCTTTACGCCTATCGCGTTGCCGGCACTGTTGCCACGTCCGTCCTCCAACTGATCATAAGCCACTACCAACCCCAAATGTCTCACCAAGACACCGATCGCATCATAAAAGCAGGCTCAATTATGGGCGAGGCGTTGCAGTACGTCAACATTGCACGCGACATCGAAGAGGACGCTTCCATCGGCCGAGTCTACATTCCGGGTATCTGGCTAAAAGACGAAGGATTAACGCACGCCGATATTCTTGCTGATCCGCAGGGAAAATCTATTGAGAATCTCAGAGAGAGAATGCTGCGCAAAGCCGACGGGTGTTATCGAGCGAGTTTCGATGCGATGAATGAGCTTCCGTCGGATATACAGGGCCCACTGAAAACTGTGGTCAATTGTTATATGCTCATTGGCCAGGTTTTGCGGGAAAATAGAGCCCAGGGCAAGATTGTTCATGGTCGCTTGAAGGTCCCGATATCACGGCGCCTTCGCGTCGCGTGGTCATCCATGATGGAAATAGATGCGAGACAGTAGAGTTGCGCACAACGATGTACAAAGCGCAAGATAGCATTGTTTTTAGACTATACACTTTCCACTTTTTAGTTCCTTCATAATATGCATTCCAATTTAAAACACTAGCCACCCAATGCTATCTCCTAGAAATGCAAATATCCTTGAAATAACCTTGTGCATGATATGCAATGTATGACATTCGGAGTTTTTAGAATTAGTGGGTACAAACTCCGGATCGTGTTGATATTTGCGGGCGGCTGGACGGAATTATACCCTAACCAGAACATTCATTACTTGGGCAAATTCAGTTATGTATTTTACACCTGGCTGGAGCGTGCTCTTCTGTAATTTTGAATTGATCGGCAATCACATGAATAGGCCTAAAAGTAGGCTGGTATGGCACTGTACTGGTAACCATCTTTCAATACTATACCGATCGCAGTACCGTCACCATACGGATCCCCATTAGCCCTAAACCCCGATTGCGGTTCGTGTTTTCAACGGCCGCAGCAACTCACCCGGATCGACGACCAACTTTTTGAACTCAACCCTGGAACGGAGCTGCTTCTAGATCGCCATATTGTATGCTTCACGTATCGATCGTAGCAGCTCTCTGCCTAAATTCCTCTTAGCATGTTTGAGCTATTATTTGAACGAGGCTGGGTTTGTGGCTGTCGCGTTATTATTGACTTATGCAGAGACTATTAATTCTGGCTTCGTACAGCTTTTAAGGCCCTGTCAGCTAGTTAATTGTTGCCTAGGTTCGTTATTTAAGCTAATATTATATGTTGGTATTCTGCGCGATTGCGAGCACTTCACCTTCAGCAACACATCAAGAAGAAGTCTGGGTAGAATGTCTGCCAAATCAGTTATCATCGTGGGTAAGAGGATCCAGTTTATGATCTTTTTGACTCGAATACTTACATGCTTTCAATTGCAGGCGCCGGCGCCGGAGGCATAGCTACCGCAACAAAACTAGCAAAGGCAGGGTTTGACGTGACGGTCGTAGAACAACATGACTTTGTTGGAGGGCGATGCTCCCTGATTCGCCATGACGGCTATGTAAGTCCATTGTTCAAATTCTTTTCAGTAGGAATCCCCCGTTAAACATAAATATGACAGAGATTCGACCAAGGCCCATCCCTATTCTTAATGCCAGAGCTATTCGAAGAAGCCTTTGAAGATATCGGTACATCAATGAGCGCCGAAGGCGTTCAATTATTAAAATGCGAACCAAATTACCGCGTCTGGTTCCCAGACAACGACTGTTTCGAGCTCTCCACCGACATAGTCAAAATGAAACATCAAATTGAAGCCCATGAAGGCAAAGACGGCTTTCACCGATTCCTAGCATTCATGCAAGAATCCGGCAAGCATTATGAATTATCTGTAAAACACGTCTTGCGGAAAAATTTCTCGTCGTATGTGAGTATCCTGAGACCGGATTTCTTTGCGACAATCTTCGATATGCATCCGTTTGAGAGTATTTATGGCCGGATTACGCGGTATTTCAAATCGGATAAGATGAGGAGAGTGTTTACGTTTGCGAGCATGTACCTCGGCATGAACCCGTACGAAGCTCCGGCGACGTATTCCTTGCTGCAATACACGGAGATCGCACATGGTATTGCATACCCGGTTGGCGGGTTTCAAACGGTGAGTCAAATCTTTGATGCCTGTGAAGTTGCTTGCGCCTAATATTTGCCATAGGTTCTGCAAGCTTTAGCCGACGTCGGTAAGCGAATGGGAGTAAAATATCTCTTTAATTCGCCCGTCAATTCAGTCATCCTCTCCAAAGATCAAAAAACCGTTGAAGGCGTAAAGCTTGAAAACGGCAAAGAGCTACGAGCAGACCTCGTTGTCATGAACGCCGATTTAGTTTATGCATACAACAACCTTCTCCCCCCGTCAAAATATGCGCGCTCACTCAAAACTCGCGCTGCATCATGTAGCAGCATATCCTTTTTCTGGTCTTTCGACACTGTCATTGACGAATTGGACGTACACAACATCTTCCTAGCGGACCAATACTCGGAAAGCTTTGATGCAATCTTCAAAAAGCATTCTCTACCCGAGGATCCATCCTTTTACATCAATGTGCCTAGTCGCATAGACAAAACAGCTGCTCCGGCAGGAAAGGACGCTGTGGTGGTTCTAGTGCCGATTGGCCACTTACTCGAAAACCAATCTGACGTCAAGGATTGGGACGCGCTTGTTGCTAATACGCGGAACTTGATCTTTGACACAATCGAGACTCGTACGGGTGCTCGAAACCTGCGACAGAGATTACTGCATGAAGATGTTAACACTCCTGTCACCTGGCGGGAGAAGTTCAATCTTGATCGAGGCGCTATCCTGGGTCTATCTCATTCTTTCTTCAATGTCTTGTGTTGGCGACCCAAGACCAAACACGACGATATCAAGGGTCTCTATTTCGTCGGCGCGAGCACCCATCCGGGAACTGGTGTGCCGGTATGCTTGGCCGGAGGAAAGATTGTGAGCGAGCAGATCATCAATGACTGGATGCCAGAGAGGAGGACGAGAACGGTATTGTCAACGCAGTTATTGGGGCCGTTAGTGTTGCTCATCTCGCTTTTGTTGGTGTGGTATAACTTGGGGCAGTCTGGAAGTCATTGGCAACGCCGATTCGCGGTGGCGTCTGCTTGAGATTAATATAGATAATATGCACCTGGTTTACCGGCGTTTTGATACTAGACTTTTTGTTTTCATTATTATTGAGTCATAGCCAGCATGTGTTATTGCTTCTTATTAGCAAGCTGTGCTTGATATTCAATCAGTATAAGGAAAATCGACATTCAATACCTACCTACGACCCACTCCAGCCCTGTTATATATCAATCGAATCTGAGAGATTCTCCTGCGTTATAAAACTGTATACGATTTGTTGCTGTGATACCGGGTCCTAGACGAGTTTGCGGCATAATCTAGGGTCGCTGGCAAATATCCCTGCATGTAATAATTTCGTCGAAGCTGAATAGGACGAGGCCGCTCGGTTTCTTTAGGAGCACATTCATAATTGTGATCGGCGTATTCTATCGTCACGCAAAATAGCACCATTGTGATTGTGGACAGATCTGTCGCCTTGTGGGAGACAACCCTCGGTGCCTTTGCCGTTCCTCCATCGTCTCTCGGACTTCCCAGATCGGCCATCAACCAATTCACTCCAGATTTACCTGGCCATTGCTAAGGTAGAAACTTTAGACCCTGCTCTGCCAGGATACCGACATGTTTCCGAACTGTAAAATTAGTCTTCTTCTCGGCGTAGACGGATAACATTATAGAATGGTTCACGTAGACAATTGTTTCGGTGAAATAAGCTTCATACAGATGTGGAGAAACAGTCACTGGAAGATTGAATGACCTCGTCAGGATAGGGCAGCCCAGGTGGTAGGCTTGGAATCTTGATAGAGATCATACAGCGGATAGAATGACCGGGGGATCACCGGAGAGTTGTCGGAGAAACCTCCCCATACGTACCACCGCTTCACCATAGGGCACGGATCTCTCCAGCTGCATTTCGCCGGCAGCAGATTTCTCCAGATTTTCCTGGGGTAATCAAGCAGAACTAAGACCATGGGGAGATCACTTCTTCGTGCGTGATTATCACAGTTATAAATATAAACCCCATCCACCACACGACATGTTGTTTTACTTTGGATTGTCTCATGCGCATCGCTTTCTCTCATTTTCCACCAAACCAAGTTTTCGGGACACTAATACCTATTACAATGTCTTCAACTACGACTGAAAAGGAAGATGTCGCTGCTATTGGTGACAAGACTATCCAGACTCAACATGTAGATGCAGTCGATCCTCAGCTTGAGCCCGCGACCACCGGAAAAGGCGCCGTCAATTCGTTATTGATTCTGGCGTGCATAGCTTTTGGCTCAGCTTCGTTCTTGTTCGGATATGATGACAAAGTCATATCACCGATTGCAGCTTTGAGCGCGTTTGTAAGCCTAAGCCTTTATTCCGACGAAACTGTGGTGTTTGTGACTGACCTTTTCCAACAGGTGGAGGATTTCCAAGGTCCAGATCCGATCAAAGGAAGTCTTGCCCTTACGGCACGCAATCAGGATCTGGTGTTTTCCGTCCCTCTGGTGGGATCTATCATTGGCGGTCTAGCAGCTTCGCCCTTGAACAGTCGATTAGGTCGGAAATGGACACTTCTAAGTGCATACCTCTTCTCTCTCGGCGGCGGATTTTTACAGCTTTTTGCTCCAAACCTCGCTACATTCGTCATCGGACGATTTTGGAATGCTACTGTTATCGGTATTGCCAACGCAACTGCACCGTTGTACATGTCAGAGGTGGTCCCACCGTCGATGAGAGGCCGGAGTGTAACGTCTATTAATATCCTGTCCTTGTTGTCTGGGGTTGTATCAACGGTCATAGTCAATGCGACACACACTATGGACGGTCGACGACAGTATCAAATCCCCCTTGCGGTCCAATGTGCGCTACCCGTCCTTTTATTCTTTCTCACAATTGCCCTTCCCGAAAGCCCGCAGTGGCTTGTCAGCAAGGGTCGATTGGACCAAGCTCGTCACAACCTTCGCAAATTACGAGGCTTCTCAGACTTCGAAGTGGATGATGAGCTTCGCGTCATGAAAATGTGCGAGGAAAACGAACGAGCTCTAACTTCGAATGTGCGATTCTGGGAAATATTCAATCGTCAGAACCTCAAGCGTACCCTTACAGCTGGATCGTTCTACTCCCTCAACCAAGTTTCTGGTATCATTCTCTCAACCACATATACAACCGTCTTCCTCACTCAGCTCGGGGTTGGTAACCCTTTCACCTTCACCGTGGTCGCATCGTGCTGCACGCTAGCAGGAACCATGGCCGCACCACTCGTCATTGATCGCGCTGGTCGACGTCCTACAGCCTTTGTGGGAATGACTTTACTCCTGATTATAGATATTGCAGCTGGCGCGCTGGCCTTCAACACTAGCAACAAGAATTCCGCACTCACCATCGCTGCCCTCGGGTTTGTCTTCAATTTCTTCTGGGGCGCCGGCTTTTACTCTCTATCTGCCCTGATGCCGTCCGAAATCGCCACACCAAAACTTCGGAATCACACCATGGCATATACAATCGCCTGCGCCCAAACAACAGCCGTCATCACCACATTTGCTGTGCCACAACTGACGTCTGCCGACGCTGCGAATCTCGGAGCCAAGACTTATCTTGTCTTTGCAGGGTGTATGGCCTGTGTTTTGGTATTTGTGTATTTCTTCATGCCGGAAACGAGAGGTCGCACTTTTGCTGAGGTTGATGAAATGTACGATGCCGGAATACCGATGTGGAAGTGGCGCAAGTATCAGACTACGACGACTGCGAAGCAGATGACGGTAGTTGATGTTATTCAGAAGGTCTAGATAGGGTTTCGTTGTATTGATAGAATGTGGTATCAACCATCTTTCATTTCAGTGATACAATTAGTTGTATTTCTAGAGATCTATACCTAGATAGTCCACAGATAAGTTGTATTATTGGATGAAGAGTAACTATACCTATTCACTGTTGATTCTAGCTTTTAGCCGTAATCACTATAGATCCCATTGGTCACAGAATCTCGAGAATAAAGGTATCAAGGCTCATGAATCTTGCCATAGCATCTTCCTTTACTGGACATCTGGAGCCTATAGATAGTGTCAAAGTATTTGATCGAACCATAAATCAAGAACATGAATCAACACTTCAGACGGCGGTTTGGTTTAGCCTAAAGACATCAAAGGTGTTCTGAAATTAAGCAAATAAGAAGCCTGTACGAATGCTTACCAAATCAAGATCCTTGCACGTAACTAATGCAGATATCCCAGTAGTCATACTCAAGTCCTGCGTTAAGGCAAATACTGTTGCCTAAACCTTTATTGACATTGATAAATTACTCTTATCATATTTCCCTCAGAACAACCTTTCCCAGCAAACATAGAGAAGTATCGGCATCAACCTATGTCCTGTCCCGCTTCGTCGATTTACACTCACTATGGTCAAGATCCTACCAACCACCCAGACCAGAAAGAGCTAACTACCATCGTTCAAAACCTGCATACCCTCTCTTTGGGCCGTCTGGCATTAGGTAGCGATGGCGTTCTGCGCTCCCTCAACCTAGAAAATGAAGTCGTCGATGCTGTTGGACTACCGACTCGACTGATCAAAGCGTTTATGGATCGCTTCCCATACAACGAAGAACTCGAGGCCCGATTTCACAATTCTGATGGGACCTCGGTACCTGAAGAGCAGTGGTGGGCACCAAATGCATTAATATTACCACACCAGTACACTGCTGAGCAGAAGGATGCGGCTAGGAAAGAGCATGAGGAGAAGAAGGATATCATTGAGGAAATAAAGCAAAAGAGGAAGAATGGGGAGATACAAGGATGTGGTGTTGTTATTCGGGCTGACTATAGGATCTGAAATGGAATTCTCAAGTACATATGTAAGTAGCGTTTTAGAAACTGGCTTGTTGAATCAAACTTTCATTGAACATGCCTCGATGGATTAGATGTATGATAAGGAGCCAGGGTAAAAATGGTTATTCTAGATCTATGCTCTAAAGTATTTCGACTTCAAATTTCCAAGAGTATACCAATCCCTGAAGCATTAGCAAGGGGTATCAATCAAGCATCATCCGATGGAGGACTCGATGCAATAACCTTGCCTTCTGGCTCGCTCGTCTTTTCTGTATATGCTCTCTTTTCCTTGCCCTGTGCATACCATGTTTGCAGACATAGCGCCACGACTTGTAACCAAGCAACACCCGCCAGGGCACAGATAGCCGTTAGAGCATGTCGGTACAGAGGCGCATCAGAGGTTCGGAAGATCTGTGATCCGGAGATACCTGCGCAGTTTGCTGCCATGACGATCAATCTAGTTCATTTGTTAGGTAAAATGGTCGAAGGAGAGATAGGAAACGGAGAGGGACTTACGCCATAGCGACGCTACGCTCCTGGGGCGTCTTGCAATACACAGAAAGCCAACCAATATTCAAGACACTATACAGAACGCGAAGTTAGACGAGTACATTTGCTAGGAGTGGGGTGAGTTACTTACTGTACTCCAGCATAGAACAGATTCGCCACGACGATAACTCCATATCTGTGCCATTTTGAAGAATGAACAGACGTTTGCCGCAAACAGACGTAAGCAATTAAATTCCACGTAGCACCAAACAGAACGGCCGGGCCACGATGGCCGGATTTATCACTATGCATCCAATCAGCACTTCTCATTCTTTGCTGCAGTCAATATCTTGTTGTTACTCACCTTAAATACGAGATAATAATCAGCAAAACCCCAAAACAATAAACCGGCACCGAGGCCAGAGCATTCGCCCGCACGGCGCTGAATCCTAGGGACTTGATTAACGTAGGAGTGTACTGTCCCAGACCCTGGAAACCGGACATTGACACCAGAGTGATCATGAAATGCTGGATAATTCTCGGGTTTGTAGCGGTTTTGAGGATGTCTTTTCCACTAATCCGGATATGACCGCGGGCCTTGACCGGGTCATCGAGTACCACGCGGTCCTTGATGATTCGCGATTCGCGCTCGGTGAAGTAACTCCATCGCCCGAAGTGGGCTGCCAGAGGCCGTCCATCGCCGACGCGGGGAGGGACAAAGAGTACGAAAAGTATGGCCGCGAAGATGGTTATTAGTCCTTCGACTGTTGCCTTGTTGTTAGCTTTCGCCGGATCAGATGTCTTGGTTAGGGCTCTGCGGGAACATACCCAAGAAGATCCATTGCCAACCAGCCAACCCATTTTTACCGGAGAGTTTGAGAAGTCCGGCAGATATGAGACTTGTTGTGGCGCCGGCGAAAATCTGGCCAAAGAAGAATAGACTGATCCGAAGAGTGCTTTCGTCCTTGCGGTACCAGGTGGATATGTAGTAGAGAGCGCCTAGTATCACATGATTAGCGAAATGCTATCCCAGAGATCAATGAATAGAGACGAACCAGGAATAAAACCGCCCTCAAACAAGCCTAGTAAAAGTCTTGTTGCAAGATACGCAGGATACGTCTTGACAAAAGCCTGGAACGTAGCAACGAGCCCCCAGGCAAACAACTGCCCAGCCAACCATCTCTGTGGACCAATCCGCTGCAAGATAATGTTTGAGGGTATTTCCGTAATAACTATACCGGCGGATAACAATTGAGTACCGACATTGATCTGGTTTGTGTTTATGCCCAGGTCTTTTGTGATGGTGGATGTTAACGCGGCGCTGATGTTGCCGCGGTCAACTTGTAGCGAAAAGAAGGCGAGGCCTAGGATGGGGAGGAGGATGAAGTCGACTCTATACAGAGTTTGTTAGTGAGTAATTCAATTGTTGTTGAATGGGATTTAAGTTGGATAGGTCACCTACTTGCGTCTGATACGAGCTTCTTCCTTAGCATCCCAGTCCACGACAATGTCAGACTCTACCGGAGTAACATCGCCATCGGAGACTGGCTCTGCTTGAGGAGGGATCTCTTTCGAGTGCTTTTCGAATATTGCGCTCATTGCAAAAGCTTCTGTCCTTGACTACTCGAGACATTTTCCTACAAACAAGATTCTGCACCTCCATATTTATAAATTTTTTTCCCCAGCCGTCCACACTAACACCAACAGCCCACTGTCCACATCACTCGTCAATGGCTTATCGCGATAAAAGCAGAGGTTAGGGTTTGCAAGTTTGTTTGCGACAATGGACTCCAAAATGGCGTGATATTTATACCTATCGGGCGCTTTGCCGGCATCGGATAGCGGACACCACGTTCGCGGCAGTGGAGCTGCGTCGTCCGCTATTTGCCGATTTAAAGCTCTTAGGGTTGGTCTAGAGAGGCTAAATATTAGTTCCCCTTGATTTACTTGTATTTGGTAGTTAGTGCTTGCTGTGAAAGAGAGGGGTTGCAGAATGCTGGGTGGTCTAGGCAGTCTCCGGACCGAACTACACGTGTTTAATGGTTACAATGACTGTTCAAGCAGCTATTGGGAGTCGGAGCTAGCTTTTCTAAGGCGAATGGTTTAGTTTTGTAGGCCATTAATACAAAGGACATGCTACAGTTAGGTATCAAGTCCAAACGTCCCAGCTCAGCCCATCGCGGTATACAAGCCCCTCCTGCGGTCCCTCTGCATCTAGGATCTGTCCCAACTCGCAGCGACTAAATGACACATTTGGCTGGGACTGATAAAAGACATCATACGTCTGGTGTAGAGCGTCCCTGAGAGATGATACGTCCCCATCGCTATGAAGAGTCTTCCATGGATGGATACATGTATCGCCTTTGCAAGATTTCAGGACTAGAAGCAGTGCGTCGAGTCGACTGATAATTTTAGGGAGTTCAAATCCCTGTATCGAAACTTCAGAAGAGTTAATATTGTTGTAAAGATTGTTTGTTTGATAGCGATCGGTCTGCAAAAGAGTCAGAACGGGTCTCATTTCATACTCGCCTTTTTCCTTACTGTAAGATCGTAGAGCTCATGTTCGTTGGTACACCACACGGAGTAATACAAGTCAAATCCATCACCTAGTAACCGGACGGATTTGTATGTGTTGTTCGGCACTATTGGTGAGTTGCCTTATCAAAAGTTAGTAACTCGCATCGAAGTGAATATCTAGACGCGACGGTATACCTATAGCTCCCTTCTCCCCCTCGTGATATGAGCGCCCCCAGAATTCTACTGTAACATGTTCGTGTCGGGTATCATTGCCGTTTGGATGTACAGGTATCGGCGTTCCGTCCAAGTCATCACGCAACGGAATATTAGCCAGTTTCAACAAGGTCGGCGCAATATCTATATGTGTCGTAACCTCGTCCTGAGCGACGCCTTTTGCAACACCTGGTCCCCGAATAAAGAATGGAACCCTAATGTCCTCTTCGAATCCACACGTCTTGCCTGGGGGAAGACGGTGCTGCCCAATGTGATAACCGTTATCGGAAGTGTAAATGATGTAGGTGTTGTCCAATTGGTCGCTTTCTTCAAGACGAGTGACTACGTCTCTCACCAGTTCGTCGACGCCTTGTAGTGCGCGCAATCTTTGGCGGTAAAAGTGATCATTATAATCAATGGTGGCTTCGTCCTGCTTTGGAAGCGTACGGACCCAGCTCACGCCATTGGGCTTGTAGGGTTAGCCGGAATCATAAAAAATAAATCAATCGAAGGATAGACATACTTCGTCCGGATTGAAATGCGTCGTCCGCGGTACTTTGACATCTTGAAACAGATTTTCATGCCGAGTCAACGGAATCGGCTCGGTCATGACTGGCGGCACTACATGGCCGCCCAGAGCGCCTCCATCGACATTAGCATGCGGTGCGATTGGCGCAACGACCAGAAAGAACGGCTGATCTCCAGCCAGTCCATCCTCCAAAAACCCCAAAGCCTTTTCCGTGATGATATCGGTAGTATGATAGCCCTCATAACTCACCGGAGGCTCGCGGTTTCTCTGATAGGTAGAATTAAGGTAGGAATACGTGAATGGATCTAGCAGAAAATCGGATCCGTTGAATCCATTGACGTAGGGTTTGTCGTAGTTGCCTACGGTATGGGAATTAAACAGCTTTCCCGTGTAGAATGTGTTATAGCCCGAGTTTTGTAACCATACAGGAAGAAAGTCTTCATTGAACCCACGTTCAACGAATTTAGGGTAACCGCCTGAAGGCTGTCAGCGATTTATCTTGAAATCACCACAAAGTTTGACTCACCATATGGCGGATTGACATCAGTCACATTAGTGTTATGTGCCTGCTTTCCAGTCCACAGACTCACTCGCGATGGACAGCACAGCGCTGTGGTCACAAAATGATTTTTGAAGAATGTGCCTTTATTTTTCATATGCTGCTGAAGGAGCGGCATGTATTCCACCGAACCCAGCTCGAGATCTTGGTCGTCGGTGATGATAAAGACAAAATTAGGCGCTCTTGCTGGTTTGACCCGGTCTTTTTCCGGCCATATTGAGCCTAGAACTTGCTGCCCTGCGCCGTTTGTCAATGCAGCGACATCGGCCGCCACGATGCCGCACAACAGCGAGGACAATACTGCCGACGAGACTTTCATTGTGCAGGGTTCTTGGAACTATATTGCTCTTCCTCACCAATTGAGCGAGAGCATTTCTTTTATATTAGCATGCTGGTAATTGCAATATTTCGCTGAGTGATTTATCGGCTATGTCCCCACTAACGTGTTGGAGGATAAGCATCTCGGGTGTTTTTTGGCGCTAAGAAAGACGGCCAAAATCACGCGAGGTGGAGTTTTGATGATGCCATTCTTAGCTCGACGGGACATATGGCAGCCTATCACAGCCCTTAGGGTTATTGCCAATCACTTATCTCAAATTTATTTGAGTCAACATTAAAATCTCTCCCAAAACAATTATCCTGTTGTGTCCGGACGACAGCAAGACAGGTGAAGATGGCTTACGGCGCGGTTGAATCAACTGCCAACGAGCAGAGTCACGACGACATCCAAACGACTCCGGGAGATCAAACAATACCATCAGACTCACATCCGGCAAGCAATGATGAAGAAAATCCGCTGCTTAGTCCGGGCGACACAGGTCAAAAATTGACCAACATTGGCAGCATTATCGCAGTGCTTTTGCTCGGTGCGACTGTGTACACCCTGATTTTGTTGCCTAAAACCACTAATATCGCATACAGGCGAATTCATCTCCAATGCAGATGCCACGATCATCATGGCGGCTGCAGCGCCGATCGCGTCCCAATTTGGCCGACTACACGATGCAAACTGGCTCTCTACTGCGTATACACTAGGATCGTGTGCCTCCCAGCCTGTGGTATGTAGCACTCTGCGACATGTGTAGAGTATTTGGACTGACAATCCAAGTATGGGAAACTCAGTGACATCTATGGCCGAAAGGCTTTGCTCCTGGTATCCTACTTTCTTCTCGGATTGGGCTGCCTTATCTGGTGAGCTCCGTACCGATTTTATCGACTTCATCGGCTGACACAATTTAGTGGAATTGGGCATGTTATGCCGATAGTAATTCTAGGTCGTATCATCAGTGGCATGGGTGGCGCCGGTATCATGGCCATGAGTTCGATCATTATCACAGGTACATCCACCACTACTAGTATAGACGCACAAATACTGATATCGTAGACATCGTCCCGCGGAGAGACGTTGCTTCCTGGAGAGCCTACGTGAATATATCCATGACTCTGGGCCGAAGTGCCGGTGGCCCGCTTGGCGGATGGTTGACAGACACGATCGGATGGCGCTGGTAAGACTTTTCTCCTGCCTTTTTTTTGCGTCGCTCACATTGGATAATATGCAGGGTTTTTCTTTTACAGACTCCCCTATTGGCACTTGCCTCGCTGCTTGTCGTGATTTTTCTCAAGGAAATTCAACAACACAAAATTTCCCAAAATGGCAAGAACACTTCATCCATCCGTCGAGTGGATTTTCTCGGCACTTTAGTCCTGGCTGTTGCTATTGTCGCAATAATCCTTCTCTTCGACCGCGGCGGACAAGCTTTCCCCTGGCTGTCTCCGTATGCATTCGGTCTTGCTACTACCGGTATTCTGTTTTTGGTACTGTTCGTATATGTCGAAAAACACGTCGCTTCCGAGCCTATCTTTGACTTGGGCATCTTCCGCAAACCCAACATCGTGCCCAGTTTTTTGATCGGCGGACTGCAAACATCCGCTCAAGTTGGTATGATGTTCACCGTACCACTGTACTTCCAGGTCGTGATGGGCACCACCTCGACCGTTGCCGGTGGACATCTCGTCCCAGCCGTTTTGGGTAATATGATAGGGGGCTTATTCGCGGGGTTCTTTATTCGACGCACTGGTCGCTACAAGCCCGTTCTCATCCTGGCTGGCCTTCTTGCTTCTGTCTCATATGTTCTCCAATACTTCCTTTGGAATGGACGTACAGTATTCTGGGAGTCGTTTTATATTACTCCCAGTGGTATGGGAACAGCGTTTGCATCCGCTGCTGCTTTTGTTGGTATGACATCTTTCTTGCAACCGACTGAAATTGCCATGGCAACGGGAGGGTACATTTTATTCTCGACCTTTTCTGTGACTGCTGGTGTGACTGCAACGAACACGGTCTTGGGTATCACGTTCAAGAGAGAAATGGAGCGGGGACTACGTGGACAGCCAGATATGGAGAAGGTAAGACGGTTCGATGATAGAAACTATAATTGTTACTGACCATGTTACTCAGATCATCCGTCGTGCCATGTCCGATACATCCTACATTGCCAGTCTCACAGGAAGAATCCGGGAGATTGTTCTACAGAGCTACCTGTCTGGTTTACGCCATACATACAGTAAGTTCAACTTAGTCCTCAGGTCTTAAGTGGAAGAAAGTTACTTAGATTTCCGGCAGTTATTTCATTCGCTAGTTCGATCTTGGGTTCTCTGATCGCATGGACAGTGCGAGACCGCCGTCTTTGATTAGAATGTCATGTACTAATGGAATGAGCATTAAGCACTTGCTACATAGAAAAGTGATCCTTCGAATTGCCGGGTCCTTTAGTTGGATACTGCAATTATCTACATACCTCTACCATCAGCTATTCGCCATGGATCAGGTATATGCATAAACACATGGGCGTACATATATATTCTTTATAATTAGATCACTTGCTACAGGTATATTGAATATCGATTGGGGGACTGCGACAAAGAGAGGTCAGCCCTAGTGCTCTGGGAAACCGTGTTTTATTTAGTGTGTTCCTATAATTTGCACATGAAGCCAAGGTTCAATGTTTTTAGTACATATACCGAGTTATATACCTTTGCATTTGCATAAAGAACTTAGAAAAACCTGTCACTAACAGGGCAAAACTTAGATATATGTATTGATATCGTGAACTCCCCACAGTTACGAGTTATTCAAGCACAAGCAAAAGTACTAGAATAGTCACATCTTTGTCATTTTAAATAGGCATGGTGTCGGACTGTGTCACATTTTACCCGATAAGAGTCTCTGGGAACTATGGTACCATGGGCTGGGGTACTATCTTGTATTACTTTAACGAATCTGATGTGGCTGCGGCTCGGGCTGCTTTTCCGTCTTGGTCAACCGCGGGATAGTCTCCAGTGGTCTTGTTTTCTATATCCTTTTCAACAGTGTGGCACCATTTTCTACAACCATTCCATTCTCATCGTCCGTGCCTACTTCCGCAGCAATCCATTCTTATGTCTCATCATAAAGCGCATCTTCTACAAATTTGTCACCTTCACCATTGGCACAGTCTACGGTTCACCCTTCTCCAGTCTCCTCATCTAGAGAAACTTCTTCACCGGCACCATCATGGGTTACCGCCTCTGCCTCAGACGGCTGCTGCAACGTAGATCTTTCCACTACCGAGTCCGCATTTAGTCATGAGACTGGAAGCCAAGATGTACATGGACATGGGAACGGACATCGACATCGCCATCGCCATAGAACAAGGCTCCCGTTCGTGCTACTTAGGGTTCGAATATGTTCCAAAGTATCATGTACTTTTGTTCGAGTAGGACGACGTTTTTAAGATCGTGGGGTATAGGTGAAGATTATATCAGCTATTAAATTTGAAATAATATATATATTGGTAAACACTTCGAAATAGAGAATACGTTGAAAACACCGGTAAATATTTCAGTAAATTGATCAGCCATTGGCCCTGACACAATGGCCAAGTAGCTTGGTACTGCTCCGAACATTCAACGTGTCTCAATTTGTTCATCATGAACGCTCAATTGCCATCTATATATAACCCTCCAATGACCCAGAAACAAATACAATAAAGCGCCCTGCAAATCATGCCCATCATTCCACTTCTTTTTCATGCGTTCTTTACCAAGCACCAACAATACCAGCAATAGGAATATCAATACCCGTCGTATAACTCGCTGCATCACTCAACAAATAAACATATGCACCACCCAACTCTCGGGGATCAGCTAAGCGTGGCATACCGCCGTAGTATTGCATCTTTAGGTCCCAATCGGGAGCAGTCTCAACGTAATATGTCATGGCGGTGCGGACAAAACCTGGGGAAATGCTGTTGACACGAATGCCGTGTTTACTCCATTCCATCGCGAGGGTGTGGCAGAGGTTGCGGACGGCGGCTTTTGTGGCACCGTAGGGGGCGGAGGGGGCGGCCTGTTCATGTCAGTCTTAAAGCAAATAAGATCAGGCGGAGTTGAGGAGACTCACGCGATTGGGTCTATAGGAAGTCATGGAAGACGTCATAACAATCGAACCCTTGATCCCCAGCTCGATAAATTTGCGAGCAACAATATTCGCACAGAAATAAGCACCGAAAACATTCAACTCAAACAACTTTTGCAGCTCAGGTCTTTGGAACTGAAGCGCAGGCTGATGCTTGGTCATGCCGGCATTAGCGACCAATCCATCAATTCTGCCCGCCTTCTCAACAATGGCGTTAATCGACTTCTCCACGCTCTCTTCATCGGTGACGTTGGTCTGGACATATTCGAGTCTGCCAGGGAATCTGTCGGCAAGAGCCTTGAATTCGTCGCCGGGCTCGGTGATATCGAGCGAGAAAACTACCTTGGCGGCGTTGGAGAGACAGACTTCGGCGATTCCGAGTCCGATACCTCTGTTGGCCCCGGTGATGGCAATGACTTTTTCGGAGAGGGTGATTTGCCAATTGAATGATTCAGAGGGCATGGTGCTGAGATAGGGTTGAGCCGAAGCTTCGGTAGCTGACGGGGATGCCATTGTTATGTGTTGTGTATGGGAGGACCTCAATATTCGGCTTGTAATTCAGGAGGAAACCTTGGAAGCAAAAGAAGGATTTATAATTGACAAAAATCTATATTCCAAGAATGATTTGCAGCTGTCTACTCTTTATATACCAACCGCTTCTTGCGACGAGTCACAACCAATACCAAACACAAAAAACAACTAATTATAATCGGCGAAACTCCGAATACATTATTGCGGGGTCTGTTGGACATATGACCACAGCTAAGCTGTTGTAGCTATACTAGAGCCAATGGATATTTCTCGGGTGGAGGCACAGCATCTCGGCACGAGGCACATGCGGGGGTGGGGTAAAAGTTCCCCTTTAGACATCGGTATGCAGCTATTGGCTTATCCCACCTAAATCGAGAGATTTATCTCATCACCCTTGCCATATCCCCCAATTTCCGCACGATGTCCTGCTCTAGAGTCCTCTGTAACCGAATTGTTATTGAGGTTCTTGACTCTCCATCATAGGTCGGTCTCTCCACCTCATCGGCGCGCAAACACAGCTCAACAATTTCCATATATGCATTACCAAGTGTGCTAGACATACGATGTAAAGAATTACCGTCTTCGAGCAGCTGCCGTTGAACATTTAGCAGAACTGAAGGCTTGGCAGAAGCTAAATCAGTTAAACCAAGAAACTCATGAATGGGCTTCCAACTAGCTATTTCTATCAGCAAAATGCCGAGACTGTATATATCGTAAGATTTGTGGTAATTGCCGGTGGAATGGCTGGACTGTGCGAAAGGGTGTCGATAGATATCCTCGCGGGCATTGAATCTCGGCTTCTCAGTCAACTCATCTAGGATATTAGGTCGAGACAGCTCGTATCCCAACACGTAAGGCACTTCGAGGTCAGGCTCAGATGATTGTTGCGAAGAGAAGACAATTTTTTCACTGCGTAGCCCCTTGTGGAGCCAGTTAACGGTATGGAAGGTATAGATACATTCCGCCACAGCAGCGCACAGAGATAGCCGCGCAGAGAGTGATGGTACCGGCAGGKACTGGAAGAGCTTTTGAAGTGTCACGACCTGCGTTGAGACATCATCTGATGGTTTCTCGAAAACAATACCGAACCAGGTCGTATCATCTTGTCTATTCGAGGTAACATATCCAAGACAATATGGCGACCGAAAGGCCGCCGGCATCTCGTCGCAGAGGAGGTCTACCAAGAGACGAATTCGATCCTCTGGCATAGAATTAACCTTATCGGTGTTCGGCTGGTTGGAAGAGTAGCTGCTCCATTCGATCCAGACACTTCGACTTTCATAGGTGGCAAGGATGTGGCTTTCAGGGAATTCTTTATGAGGGTCCTGAGAGTTGAAATTAAAACGCGAAAGATCTAACGGCTTCCGGTCGCTTATAACGGACTCTGTGTCCATCTGATCATGAATGTGTTTGTACTGAATCTTCACTTCTGTGAGTTTCTTGAGATATCTTTTCTTTTTCCTTTGTACTTCCGTCTCTTGTAAGAATGAATTTCCAAGAAGATTGTCATTCAAGGTAAGTGCATCGAGCGACTTATCCCTCTCATCGGTCTCATTACTTAATGCTTTCACCAATCCAGTCAAGCTGTTAAGGTCGTCACGGATCTGCAGAATTTCATTATAACTGGTATCCATCGTAAGTTGTAAGCGTTCAATTCGTGTACTGTCGAGGAGAGCTATAAGAAACGAATTAAAGTTCCCTAGTTTGGCAATGAGACTTTCGAAACTTGATTGATCTACAGTTGCCCATACTAAACGTTTGGGCTCCAGCGCAATAGTGCGAAGGTGTCTTCCGGTTTGTACTATTCCTTTCACGATCTTGCGAACTTTTTTCGAGCGTTGATTTTTTCCCCGATTTAAGACAAATGAGGAGTCATCCCTGGGTAGGAAGAGCATGGTAACCAGATCAGTCTCTGGTTCTACCTGATCATCCCTTCCGATTGCAGCTGAATCTGTGTGATCCACATATTTTCCGTTAATTTTTGCATAATGCTCAAATAGCGTCTTTATCTCGGCGAGTACTGCTAAAAGTAAGGACCTGTTAATCCGTAGTGTTTCACAGAGGACGCCATCGGTATAGAGGACTCCGGCTTCAAGTCCGAAGTTTAGAAAACGCTGTTGTTCCATCTGGAGACGGATTTTGCAGTGGCGGTATTCATTTGGCATGTTGACTGCTCTGATGTAGTACCGGTATGCTGATAAAGATTAGTAATAATGGTACAATAACAAACGATGGGCTCGCACCTTTGATGCACTCATCCATGGTCTGAATGATTAAAGACGTTACACCCACTGCCGCACCTAGCACAGAGAGAGGGTCTGCCATGGTAGAAAAATAATCGTTTTTGATTATCTAGGGTTTTATATAACAATGACTGACATGAATCCGTGATTACGTGCGAGAACCGAGAAGATAACGACGAGAGCTTTTTGAGTGTGAAGTTTGAAGCTTGCAGGGATTCGTTACAGCCACACGAGCCTAGATGATGGATGAGTAAGATTGGGCAGAAACAAGATTACATAAGCATGACTAGCACGGACAGTTGAAAGCTGATGAGTAGCAGACTCGGCGACCTGATCTACGATAATCCAAAGATCATAACATCACTGTAAGTAACCGTGTAAAGACATGATCCTGTTTTGAACTAATAATCTTTCAGAGTCCCGAACAGCAGACTTTCCGATCGTTTTTCCCCACCCGATCTTTCGTGGAGCATAGCCGCTGTGGTTCCAGCCCCATTTCACCGTTTATTGCCCACCGCGCTATAATTTAATTAGAGATATCAGGGGACAGTCACACAATGGACATTTACCGGGACAAGGATCAACTGGTATCGAAATTGTATAATCAGATTAAGTCTAAGGAAGCAGAGAAGATGTTCGACCAGACAGTGCGAAGCCTCGAGCAGATATTTGGCAAGGACCATGATTTAACACTTCAGACCAAGCATTGGCTGGCATACGAACTATATAATCAGAAAAAGTATAAGGAGGCAGAGAAGATTTTTGACGAGACAGTGCGAAGCCTCGAGCAGACACTTGGCAAGGACCATGAAGATACGCTTAGGAGCAAGCATTATCTGGGATTAACAATATGGAATCAGAAAAAGTATGAGGAGGCAGAGAAGACGTTCGACCAGACAGTACATAGCCGCGAGCAGACACTTGGCAAGGACCATGAAGATACGCTTAGGAGCAAACATTGGCTAGCATGGACACTATGGGATCAGAAAAAATACGAGGAGGCAGAGAAGACTTTCAACCAGGTAGTGCGAGGCCGTGAGCAGACACTTGGCAAGGACCATGAGAATACGCTTAGGAGCAAGCATTGGCTAGCATGGACACTATGGGATCAGAAAAAATACGAGGAGGCAGAGAAGATGTTCGAGCAAACACTGCAAGGACGTGAGAAAACCCTTGGCGATCACCCTGACACGCTGGAGAGTAGACGCCTTCTGCAGAACATACGGGAATTTCGGTCTACTGCAGGTTCGCGGACTGTGATACATGACACTATCGAAACCATGGCGGACCGGTTAGGTACCTTTTTCCAAGGACTCAGGGAAAGTCGACCACCCTACAATGACTCAGAGATATATCAGATATCGGCATTACTACGACAGAAAAAACCCGCTTGGAGCCGAGTACCTCGCACCTATATCATACTACGGACTATCGATTGCTTGCACCTTCTGGATGAATTCATTGATCTTGGCTTTTCTGATTATTTTTTGCCATTCAATAAAAACGCCATCCTCCCGGAGTGCCTATCATCTACGGAGCGCTCCCGCTTCCTAGATGCCCAGGACTTGGTATTAACGAAGTCAATAGATTTAGAGAAGGGTTTTGAGGGCCGGCATCAACATTTTAAAAAGGGCGAGCCGCTTCCATTTGAAAGCAAAAGAGAACTAGGTAGCGGAGGGTTTGGTCGAGTTGATAAGGTTCTGAGCTCAATCAGCAACAGAGAGTACGCGAGAAAACGTGTCTCGCGGAAGACGGCGCTTGGTGGACGAGGCATTGAAGCCTTGAAAGGCATGATTGTTGAAATTGAGATCCTTAAGAAACTAAAGCATCGTCATATTGTGGAATTCGTGGGGAGTTATACAGACCCTAGATATTTCAGTGTGATAATGTCTCCGGTTGTCGAACAGGATCTCTCTGCATATTTGAAGATAGCTGGCAGTGAACAGCACAAAGAGATACGAACCTTTTTCGGTTGCCTTGCCACCGGACTTCAATTCCTCCATGATAATCAGATCAGGCACAAAGACATCAAGCCGAGCAATATCCTAGTGAATAGAGGTAATATCCTCTTCACCGACTTCGGCTTAGCGCTAGATTTCACCGATGCAAGCGGCAGTACTACCGTTGGGACGGTGAAATACATGACCAACCGGTATTGCGCTCCGGAAGTGGCGCTGCAGGAGCCTCGGAACACGTCTTCCGATATCTGGTGTTTAGGCGTAGTCTTCCTAGAGATGATCGTCATTCTAAAGGGCAAAACAGTCAAGTGGATAGATGACTTTCTCACAACTCATGGGTCACAGTGGCTCTATGTCCGCTCGAATTTCGCTGGACTGGAAGAGCTTCTGGCTGAGCTGGAACAGACAGAAAATCTCACTGACAATGAGGTCCTAGTCTGGACGCAGCAAATGCTGCAGGAAAAACATACATCACGTCCGACGGCAGCCAGCTTGGTTACGTCAACTGCTCGGCCTTATAGTCATGGAGGGGGTGATACCTTTTTCTGTGGGAAGTGTTGCCGTGTGCTTGATGACACAAGTTCTGATACTTCAGGTGACATTGAGATGGATGATGTTCTAGGTGAGTTAGCTCCCCGCTTGTGGTAACTAGTGTCTGATAAATACTTTGCTTCAGAGCTAGAGAAGGCTTCCTAGCCTTTCCCAGGTGCACAGGCTGAGGATTTACTACGAAGTACACAGATGCTCTGTTAGCACCTGCATCAGAATGTGCTGTTGCGGGGGTTTTAAGCAAACGAGGATATGATCAGGTAACATGGTCATCACGGATCTTTCCCTGGTGTAGCCTAGCACATATAATTGTAGGTTTTGTCGCTTCTCCCACCTTCCCTAGCCAGATAAAGAGGAAGCGACGGGACAAGTACTATATAAGCAGCTGATGTGGAGGCCGCTTTTGCCAGTGAGCATATTCCATGAAGGAGATAATGTAAGACTTAACGACTTGATCAAAAGTGATTTATACTCCGCACATATCCGGTACAGTACTATACATGATACGATGAAATGGTGCGGTCGTGACGCATTTCTGAGAAATCGGGTAGGAACGTCTCATGTATTGTATTGTAATCATGTGTATCGTACATAACGCAGAGCAGGACTGTGCGCACTTATCTAGGACGTGGATTTCTTAGCAAATTCCTTAGGTACATCGAGGAACACTCGTCATCCAACAAGAGCATTCGAGTAGATATATAGATTATATTCATAGCCGTAAGATAATCCTATCAATGTCTTGATGTAAATATCGCCAAGTGAGAAATCCCTAAACCGGTTTTGCCTCCTAGGTGTACCTTGAACTGGAGATTCATCTATTTATTACCTAGCTATATCATTTTTTGTTATATTCAAAATCAGATCTTCAATAATGCTCCGCGAACATGTTCGGCCAACTTCMCCCTCCACAACCGATGCTCATTAAGCAGGTACATCTCTCCTCGTCGCCCAAAGCAAAAATTAGCGACACCTCCAGTCACAAGTATTCTTCCCAGAAGTACTCCGCCAGGAGACCAGACGTTGACACCATCACCGCAGCCGCTGTAAACGTTGCCGTCCATGTCGCATTTGATGCCGTCGGGAATACCGTTATCGGCAAAGGCGAAGAGGCGGCGGTTTGCAAGGAATGGCTCGCCATGTCTGGTGATTATATCGAAAGCGTATCTGGAAAATTCATTAGTGTCACTGTTTCCAAAAAGGATAGAAGAATATACATAGTAGACGGCCTCTCATCCCTCGTCGTACCACTTCCATGAATCCAATCCGTATCCGTGACATACAACGTCTTCTCATCCGGCGAAAAACACAATCCATTCGGATGCCCAAACCCATCAGCCATGGCCCGTATACTTTTACTGGCTGGATCAAAACGATAAACCTGAGGCGGCAGTCGTAAAGGAGGGCGATAATTCTGCTCAAATCCATAAGGCGGATCAGTGAACCAGATCGAACCGTCTTCGTGAATGACCACATCGTTGACGGAGTTGAATTCGCGGCCGTGGTAGTTTGATACCAAAAGCTCGACATTGTACGGCGCAGTGGCTTGCATGAAGTATAATCCACTGGGTCTGTCCAGAGATCCCTGGCCACAGAATAGGATTCCATTTTTGTAGTTGACGCCGCCGTTGCCCATGGGCACGGCGCTAGAGTCGATTTCTTCGCATACTGATTTGGAAGGGTCAGAGTCGTTGATGGTGACCTTGGAGATTTGGACGCGTTGTTTGTGACTGGGTATACCCGGCTTGTCGCCGAAGCGGTTGCTGGTGATGAAAAGCTCGTTGGTGGATTCGAAGAAGACACCAGCCTCGTGTGCGAAGGGGTAATTGTTGTTTTCGACGAGTAGTTCGAGTTTGGGTGAGTCGCCGAGTATGTTGCTGAAGCGGTTGTCATGAGACACGAACGCTGAGATATCAGACATGTTCAATTGTTTACGTGACTTGATTATTTTCAGGATACGCTCAGATGTGTAACTATGAAGGAAAAGTTAAACAAGTGTTATGATTGAGCTTGGCGGTAGAATTTGGATCCGGCTGATGCGGGGTTGGATATTTGGCAGGACAGACATCGGAGTTTTGTCCGATCCAGGTACAAATTACGGTTTGACGAATATCTGCACAGCCAACACATAATCTATATGCTAGATCAACGCTATGTATATCATGTATCTATCAAATACCCTTTCCACTGCTTCCCACAATATCCATCCATCTCTCAGTCTCTTTGGTCAAGACTTCAATACCCTCTTGCATGACCTGGGTCAGAGGCTTGTGTATATTTTCCTCAATATGAGCTTGCCAGGGTGCTAGGAGGAGTTTATTGACATTTATTTTGGAGACTCCGGCTTTGACGCAGGATGTCATCAGTTCGGGGGTGAAGTCGTTGGTGCCGTGAAGAACTAGTCGGACGCGCTTGTTGATTTGCTTGTAGATTCCTTGAAGTCTGTACCAGATCTAAGTGAGTCACAATCCTTGAAGACGATAATGGTGCAGATTACCTTTCAAAGTCCAATTCAGGTCCCTTTGGGCCGTAATCTCCATGGATGTTACCCACAGCCGGTGCAATTGCATCGACATCGGCAGAGATGAAATCCTCGACATCCTCGGCGCTTGTCAAAATCACTGAACGACAATCAACAACCATCACAAAAAGCATTCATAGCACAGGGAATACATACCTGCTAAATCGCCAGTATCCATGATTCCATCCTCACCGCCCTCAATACGACCGGTTTCTGCTTCCACAGCTATTTTCTTCTCATGGCAATACTCTTTCAACGCCTTGGTCTTTTCGATATTTTCTGCCCTCTCATAATGACTCATATCCACCATGATAGAGTCAAAGGGGTAATTGTCCGCAGCATACTTGATCTGTTCTGCATTCTGTGCGTGATCGAGATGCACCGAAATAGGGACTGATGCAGACCGAGCTGCTGCGGCTGCTGCGTAGACAAGCGAAGGAGTAAGTTCAAGGGCCGAGGGAAATAATTGGAGGATCAGAGGTGATTTGCGGCTGTTGGCTGCTTGGACAAATGCAGTCACATGCTCGACGTTGTATCTGCGCAATTGTAAGTAATAATCAACAATGCAGAAAGGCAGGAGACGGACGCAATGGCTGCAATCACTCCATATCCGCCCTCTTCGGCGGATCTGAGGATTTGCAAATGCTTGTTTGTGTCTTTCCAGCTCATTTTGACTTTTGATATCTACTGATGTTCTAAGTTATTGTTAATTTGCAATTGGGTTCTTGTTGTTATTGAATACATCTCACATGCAATAATTGATGCCTTGCTGATCAGGCCACCATCTTCAACAGATCGGAGCATCTCCGGAGACCCATACGTAGCTTCTCATTGGCCATTGCCATGTGCCTCGTCGCGAACTCTTTTCGAGGGGCCCACTTTGTTTGTGATTCGTGAAATCTCAATACAACTCAGCGAATTCGTAGTTTATCGTCTTTAGCGAAACGCAGTATTTTGAGCGCTAGGAAGTCTGGTAAGGCTGCCAGAACTCAGGGAATCTATACCTGCATGCACAAAATTTGAGAAAATCTGCTCATGATCTCATGCTAATACAGTCTGCAGGGTCGGCCTTTTGCTTTGTTCCTGTAATGTTTCGTATTAAATACGGTTAGTCATCCGGGGTCCGCCCGCAGCGAATTATTCTCGCCTCCCCAGGTCCGCGAGACGATTTAACCAAGAGATGAGCTACATCATATGCAGATTACTTTTGTGCTATCCTTTTGCCGACAACCTCGCAACGTGCGCCATGCACCAGAATGACAGATGTAGACACTAAGGCGGTTCGGCGCAGGAAGCCGAGAAAATCTCGCGGCAGGGGACTCCGCACTACTACCGGCTGGTCTGTCATCCCCGCATCCATCCTAACTCGAATTGTTGGTGGATCTAATGTGATATAGTCTTATATGCAAACAACGTCATGTGAAGTGTGACGAAGTTCGGCCTCAGTGCGGTCCTTGTCGCAAAGGTCAGCGACCGTGTACTTATGAGCCGTCGACATCGGCCAGTCAGTCTCAGTCCGTGGACCACCAGGACGCACAAGAGGCGCAAAATGTGCAGCATGTACCGGATCTACCATTTCAGCAAATGGTCATAGAACATACGAGCGACGGCGGAGGCAGCAACAGTAGCAGCAATAACAACAATAAAGACGACATTAACAATATAATAATTCCATCACCGTCGGTCATACGCGACACGAACATCCAGGTGGACTCCCCACTCTCATATCGCACAGCTGGCATTTCTCCCGGTAATACAGAAATCTCAACTGGCCATGCGCCGTACAGCTGGTTCGAGCTTCTCGCCGGGGATGTAGCCAATCTCGATCAAAATTTCCTTCTGTCGCCACTGGGCGAGGCAAGGGTACCAGCCACCTCGCAGCCTTCTATCGAGCAAGGCTCACCCTCTAATCCGCTACTTATACCGCGCAATTTACGTGAAAAGCAAAGCTTTCAAGCTGCAGCATTTAGGGATATCCCTATCACTAACAACAACCTCCCGCCACCGATTGAACAGCCAGCAGTGATCAGAGATGAGAGGTCCTGTTGGACTACCCAGGAGCAAATTCAGCTCAATAGCATTGAGTGTTCAATATTTACACATTTCGTCCATCATATCAGCACATGGTTGGATTTTTTCGATCCGCTGAAACATTTCGGGAATCTTATACCACATCTAGCATTATACAACGTCGGGCTCATGAAAGCCTTATTGGCACTTTCGGCACGACATATCTCTCTATGGGAGGAAAGAACGAGGGTGGAATTAGGAACGAGCAATTATGACACGGAAGAAGTCAACAGCATCAGCCGAGACACATCGGTACAATACTATTACGAGACACTACAACATCTCCACAAGGCCATGCACTACAAGTCATACACACGAAGCCAGGAGCTACTCGCGACAGCAATTTTGATTAGCACATATGAGATGATCGATGGGTCGAACCAGGACTGGGAACGACATCTCAAAGGCGTATTCTGGATTCAGCGCTCACAGGACAACGACGGAGAATCGGGAGGACTCCGCCAAGCGGTATGGTGGGCATGGTTACAGCAAGATATATGGGTAGCTCTAATTGAACGACGTCGCCTTTTCAGCTTCTGGCGCGCAAAACGGCCTCTTGCAACACTCAACTCCCCGGAACTCGCATGCCGCTCCATTTACCTCTTGTCGCAATGCATAAACTACGCCTCGAACGAAGAGCGGCAAGGAAACACAATTGATCAGCGGTTTCAACGAGGGAATGAGTTACTCCAAATCTTGGAGGATTGGAAGCAACATCTTCCACCAGAGTTCGGTGCGCTTCCTATAGCCGATGTGCAGGATATGCTATTCCCGCCAGTCTGGATTCATCCTCCGTCGCATGCAGCTGCCGTGCAATCGCACTACCTATCCCAAATCCTTGTGCTGACCCATCGTCCGCTGAGCGGTGGTCCTATAGACTACAGCATTGTGCAACGCTCGATACGAAAAGCAGTCGAGATTGTATGCGGTATTGCACGAACAGTCGACAAGACTAGTACGCAGGCGAATTATATATCGGTTATGGCTCTCTTCGTAGCCGGCACAACGCTGCATGAGAATCGCGAACGCGCCATTGCGCTTGACTTGATTGATTCGTGTGAGCGGAGAATTGCATGGTCAAATCGTTCGTTGCGAACAGAGTTGGAATCGGAATGGCGTCAGATAGACCATGGGGAGAGATCGGGTGGCACTTTTCGATTGATCTAAGTAGCTAGTTGTATGAATACGATACCATTTTCCAATGTACACAAAATACAATGTGATCGATCCTGTCATCATATGATTCTGTTTGTGCCCTTTGCCCTGTCTCTTTCCTTTGTGCTCTTTGTTTGCACCTTCCTTACCCTGCGCCTGGGGCGTTCCTTTTTTCATTATATAATCCCATGAATTGCTCCTCATTCTCCCTTTCCAACTTCATCCCTCATCTTCTTCGTCTTCCTCCTCATCTTCCCCTTTTTCTCATCTATGTATACTGCCAGCCAACGCTTACTATACCGAAAAAGCCGGTCAAAAAGCGAAAGAACGCGTAAACGAACAGAGTGCTTGACTAAACAAATGACAGAGAAGCTGCGCACATACTACACTGAACATCTTGCTTGCAGAATCTTTTGCCACAATATGGAAGTGATCAAGCACAAGTCTTCAGCATTATTTCGATTATATGCGTGGGTTCTCACAAAATAAATTTCGATGGGTAGAGGTATTTTATAGCTGATTTGTAAAAACTGTCGATAAGCCCTAATGTCTTGACAATCCAGCCCCATTTTAGAGACTCATGTGACGCTGAAACCTATTCAAACGACCAAGCAAAAACAGAATGTCGGATATCTCTGACTGTAATTATTCATCTGTTCATAAAACAACCTCCTGCTTCCATCATGAACTTTGACGACCAAACACTCTAAGCAATCCATGTGACCAATTTAGCCCGTAGGAATAGCACCAGCTTTCAAGAAAGCTTTTCTAGCCCACATCCACCCGAGAACAATTTGTCCTATCATAGCATTAAATTGGGCATGAGGCCATGTGATTCAACAAAACTACTCACCAGTACAACTTGCGGCATATACTTGGTAGCAAACTTCACTCCACCAGCTTGACCTCCGATCCACAGCGTCCCTGTCGTACCTGCAAGAATCTTATCCACGAGCCTCTGGGCATGCTGCGCCGTATCTACCCTATCAATGCCGTCATTATAAACACCATCTTTCTCCGAGATGCGATCATGTATATGCTGTTCCAATGACTTGTAGAGAGAATCGTCCGGAAGTTTCCAGTTTTCAAAATGCTTCCAATTCTGTGCGTTGCTTCGGACTACACCATTGACCACTGAGAAAGTATTGACGCCGAATGGTTTCAATTCGACTCTCAGAGTATCCATGAGTATTTCCAGTGAGCGTTTGGACGCGGCTAGGACACCTATATTTCAAATACTTAGTACGCAACGACCGTGTCTGTACTTGGAGTGAAAAAAGCTCACTGCAATAAGGAATGTTTGCATGTGCTGAAATACTAGAGACACTAACTATCGTCCCTTTCTTCGCGATTAACAGTGCGGAGAATTTCTGCGTAGTCTCTAATGCACCCCAATAATTCGTATCAAACATATGTTTTGCTTCTGCTATATTTGTGTCCAGCGCCGGAAGATACTGGTTTATCGCAGCTTTATTTATCAAATAGTCAAGCGATCCGTTTGTTTCTTTCTTTACTGCGTCCACTGCGGCATCGATACTGGCGGATGAAGTTACGTCGAGKGGTAGGAGCGTAACCGAGGGAAGTTGTTCCAGGGATGCCATTTTGGAAACAGTACGCGCCGTTGCGAAGACACGAAGGCCTTGCGACTGGAAGGCTTTGGCGAGTGCAGAGCCGATTCCGCCATCGCTGCAGCCAGTGATTAGGACGGTCTTTTGCTGTGCCATATTCACTATGCGTTCTCTCGTATTTCCTTCGAGGGGGTCACTTAGGGTCAATAAACTTTCAAAGAGCAGAAACTGACCCTTTTTATTATCAGCCGAAGTACCGCTAAACATTCAGCTGAACTTCCTCCACAGCTCTAGTTTTTTTTCAATAGGCAGTACGTTTGAATGCAGGGATAAAATTTGAAATGGCTGTCAAGCTGTCAATCTATATTGGTGGCAGTGGATCCGAGCAACATACAAAACTTGATACAATACGTAGCTAGCTGTATTCTACAGGGATCAATATTAGAAACAGAGCGCAGATAGCCAGACCAGCGAATAGGTATTCAAAAAATATCTTAAATCAAGGAACTATGCGTGACAAAGAACGAAGAACAAAGAATAGCGAGCAGGGCCATCAAAACGAACAGGGATTAAGTGCCCGTGCAACTTACTCGTGCTACCCGAAATGAATTTTGTCCCTCATGTCGAACGAATATACTCGATAGTTGGTAGAGAATTTGCTCGAGTCCAAGGATATCATGTTTTATTAGATTTGTCTCCTATGACTTCTCTCAATATCATTGATTGGCTGTTCGAAGCTGAAAATGAATGAGGCCTGATATTGTCAAGGTATATAATATTAATACACGTGTCATTTAAAGCTATCTCGCGTGTCCTGGTATACGTACAAAGTGCATGGGGAGTGGCATTGGAGTAGCTCCATGCGAAATATGAGACACAAAAATACATTCTTTTTAATTACAGGTAGCCATGTATGTATGTACATGTATTGGCGGTTACTTCACGGCTATACAGGATTATTCGCCGATTGGGAGAATATTCATTGTTAAAAAGAATCGCTCGACGCTGGAGTCTAGATAAGCATCTTGAATTGGAGGCACATGCTTATAGCTTTACTGATTTGTGGATATAGAATACACAGTACGCTATTCTGTGCTATATGTAAGAAGATTATTGGCATGCATTTGGAAAAGCATGACCTCAACCTTAGAGATACATTAGTCTCTGTATCTTCGCTGAATCATTAATGTGGCCATTTTTCTACTTCACATAATCTAATTGTCTTACTCCTGATCACGAGTGAGGTAAATAATAAATCGGCGAAATTTCCATACGAAAGCGCACCAAATACAAATAATTGTTTTCAGACCGCTTCAAACCCATTTTAATGCCCTAATACGGAGTGAATCACGGCTTACTTGATGAGTTCAAAAGTCAGTATGATCCATTGGATGTTTTCTATGCGTTGGAAGCAGTTGGGAGCAGTTGGGAGCAGTTGGAAGCAGTTGGGAGCAGTTGGAAGCAGTTGGGAGCAGTTGGAAGTGATCGCTGGGAACATTGGAACGATGATAGACTTTGCAGGTTGTAGTGTTATTTGTTCTATCATGCTTATGGCAACATTAATTATAATTCTGGATCGGTAGACAAACCCCTTTAGTATTGCGGAATCATTTTGGACGACTAACTGTTACTCTTACGGGACATGACAACAACAATATCGGAGCAGGCTGGAGAACCTCTGTATGCTCAATACCAGCATTTATATGAATTATTTCAGTAGTGAACGCTATATGTACAAATATTAAGTGTAGTAAAATCAAATATGACCTGTTCTTTACACAATAAGACCCATATTAGCAACAAGAACGGCCAACAAACCACCTTGAACAGGTCGGTTGGCAAACTGATATACGTAACTATACACAAGTCAGAAAATAAATCATTATACGTTGCATCATTTAATAACGAATGACGACTTACGCTCCAGTTTGAGTCTCGTACAAGTCACCGAAAGGCAACCATTCAGAAGTAGCAGCGGCCCAAGTGGCAACGGCATCAATCATATCTTGACGAGTAGGTTCGTTGGCTGTGGCAGCTGTCCAGACCTGCCAGTCGGACTTGGACCATTGATGACGTGTGTCTACTGGAATACCGAATGCTTCCAAAACAGACGGGTAGAACTCGCTCTGTTGGTCGTAGATAGATTGAGGGATGATGCCGAGGTTGAGAGCTTTGTCGGCGTATGCGTTGTAAAGAAGACCTTTGAGACTCATATCAGTATATTTATTCTGTAGTTACATCAGTTAGTACCTAGGTACACTCACTCCAGGTGCTTGAGTTTCCATAGTTCAACGTAAGATGAGGAAGTTCATCGGTTGTGGCGTTGGCGAATCCGATCCACTGAGTGACATAGTCGGAGGCAATACTGCTGTAGTTAGAAGCATCGGCAGTGTTTCCAGTCAAGTTGGCAATGACTGACATCGCCTGGATACCTACAATTCCCTTGATGGCAAGATTAGTTTGGTTGGCTAGAGCGCCCTCAAAGTCATCTGTGGAAGCTTGATTGGCGGGGATCAAAGCATCAGCGACAAGGTATTCGGCCCATTGGGATAATAATTTATAATGCTGTTCAAGATAGCTTGTATCCTTTGTGATGGCGTAGTACATCAAGGTCATGATGATCATATTGCCAGATTCCTCAAGAGGCATGGCTTCATCATTGCCGGCAGGGTAACCAGTTGCATTAGGGTAGTGAGCGCCAATATCGTGCATGGAATAGGTGTTTGGGTAAAGGCCGGCTTCCTGGTTTTGAAACAAGGGATCCAATAGCAATTTCAAAATAGTGGCATTGGTGTAGATATAAGCCGGATGCGCGGGGAAGATAACATCGACAGTGTTCATGTTACCGTCAGAAGATATTTCCTTCAACCAAACAAGCGGGGATTCTTCGGTACCAGTCCACTGGATACCACCAAAAGCGTGGCGTAAGCCAAGAGTAGTCAAAATAGCATAGTTCTCGCCGTTGGCGTTCACGGAGTCTTCCTGTAGCTGAGCATCCAGAGCACTGGACAATTCATAAGCGGTAGCATAGTCTGTTTGGAAGAAGCTCAACTGTAGAAAACAGACAATTTAGCTAAAGTTCGATGTGAAGAAACTACTTTTTTCATAACTTACAGCATCAAGCTGGGTGTTAAAGTAGTCGAGATACAGAGAAGTCTGAGGAACGACACCGGATGAGGTTGTGTACTGAATAGGCTCGTCCTGACATAAGCCAATGGAGAAGACGCGAGATACCGAGCTTGTTCCGACGCTACCAAGATCAAATGCATGAGCGAATACTGGCCAGGAGTTGCTGATGGCACGATAGTTGGTGTCTTGTGTGTTTGCAAGAGATCCGCTGTTGATGAACTGAGCACGAACGACCGAGTCTTCGCCGTTCTGGTAGCTGTAACCGCTTTGCGAGGTAGTAGCCCAATACCAGTTGCCGAACTCAGTCTGATCTGAAATTTCCGTCCAGGCCTCTTGGGTTTGACGGAAGATTTGATGGTAAACCACATCATCACTGGCGGTACCGTACTCCCATTGAGCAATGTTGTTGGAGTTGCCAGAAACCCATTCTAGAACATTGTGTTCGCGATCAGCAAACCTGAATTTGCGCTTTCAAGATAGACCTACCAGCACTAATATCGGAATAAACCTGGACTGTATGAGTATTGCCATCGATAGACTCGACAGACAAATTCATGTAAGAAAAGACCAGAGACTGACGCTTCCAGTCATCGGGAGTAATGGGAGAAAGGAAGGTAACGGTCAATTTGATCGCGTTGTTGACAGTCTGCGTGTATATACTCTGTGTAGCAGTGTATTCATAGTTTGTCTGAGTAACCAGATTACTCAAGCCGCTCATATCGCCCATGAAATTGTAGGTAGTACCGTCAACCCTAATCAGGCCTTGCCAGCCAAGGGTTCTGCCATTCCAGAAACTGGGCCACTGGCCCGCAAGATAGCCTCCATTACCACCACCACTGCCGGCCGGCTGCCACGTACTGAGATACGGTGATCGGACTGCCAATGGCTGGGAAGGAGGCTTGATTGGGGTGAATGTTGATGTGGCTATAGCCGTGGTCAGTGAGGCCAACATGGCCAGCGCGCTAGTGAACTTCATCGCAAGCGAAAATTGAGCTATGCTCCGTACGAGAGTGTGAAGGGGTGAGAAAAGCGATCGTATGGGATCAATATCCAGATACTGATTTACTTTCTACTAGATATCAATGCCATCGGTCGACGAGGAGCAAGAAATTTAGTACTTATACTCTTAGCCTCATTCCGAGCTCTTCCTATACGCAAGTGGTATACAACAGTAATGGAGACCCCTTAATGAAAGTCATGTCACAGCGCTAAAAACGCCCGCCAACACACATGGCGTCTGACAACGGCAGGTATTTAAATATGACTGTCACGGCATTATTACGTGGAGCTACAATTTATTGTGGCGGATAAGGAAAATAAGGAAAATAAGGAAAACATCGGCTTGCATTACACACTCTCAAATGATGCTGCTTTGTGATGTGATATTCTACTTAGGTGGGTATGGTTCAATTGCACCATCTCAATGTAAATATAACTAGTATGGAAAGATGTATTCTTGAATCCTACCTACAGACCAGACCTTAAGGATTGTCTGCACTTATACATTGCAAGAGACATCCAGGAAAAGCTACAGCGCAAAGATTATCTAGCTCAAGAAAATAGCTACATACTCTGATATCCACGAAATATGCCTTTTCCATGACCAAATCCCAGCATAATGTTGAGGAATCATGGCATAGTGTGGTGGATACGCTTTAAATGCGTCAACTTATGACGTTTTCGGCAAACTCAAAGGCTCAGCTTTCGCCAATCGGGAGAAGTGGAGATGGATTTTAACAGTAGAGAGAAATGAAAAAACCCCCCCGAAGTTAGCGTGGTTCAGTCAGGCTTGTATACAAAATCAATGTTGCATTCATCGCGTACAGTCATCCCATATGATTTCGCAGATTACAACAAATTTTAGTTGGGCATGTGGTGGTGTTGGTGAGGGGGGCAGAGAGTGAAGCTGTCCCACGCCTAGAAAGTACCCACAACGCCGCCCCAGACGAGCTTATCCTGATAGGCGTGGACTTTGGAGTAAGCTTGACTTTTTTCTGGTTTAGCGGAAGATCAGCGTACGGCTGAATCGTTGACTCGAAAGTACGTATTTTTAGAAATCATATTAGGAATCTTTGTATGAAGGGTGCCTATTGTATTCGGTCCACGAAATTTGATGAAGTTCAAACATTTACACCTTAACTTCGTGCCAGGAAGATGAGAAAGTTCTAAATTGTTAGTCATGTATGATTACTTGAGAGCAGGGTTGCATGGCAAGAAGCTTAGCTCGCGCCACAGTGTCGGTCTGCCCTCTAACTAGAGCTATAAGTGTAGGCACTAGGCGTAGATTGTAAGCAGTACGTACGAAATCAGTGGAGTTGGCCTAATAAATCTACTTTCCTAATTCAGGCGGGATTTTCATTCATCTTTCGAGCCTCTCATTGTTGGACGAGATTTCTGCGCATTATTTCGGCCAACCAATCTCGTTTGACGCTCGCGATTCAATCCGCGAATTTCTCTCTTTGAATTTAACCCAATTCCTGCTGAGATGCTCATGACTCAGATCCTTGGAAGGATCTACCCCACGATTCAGCTCTGATGTACTTCTTTCTAAATTTGTTTGCACGCGTCTAAATATATCAACCTGTATCCTGCAAGCAATGGGTCCACAATTTCCGCATGTGCTATCCTTGAACGGAGAGAGTCATCGTGGCTGATTCTGTAACCACATTTTTTCAGCCACCCGTCTTGGTTGTTTCAATCAAGCTGTGGGTGGTAGTATCAGACTATCGGTTCCTGTGCTAGGGCCTGTACGAAGAAGACACAGCGGAAAGTGTGCCTAAATGAATCAGTCTCATAATTGGAGAAATAACCCACGATCGCTTCACGGAATAGCTAGCACTGTTGGTCGTTGGCTCGATGCACACTTGATTTCCGTCTATGCAAAGTAGGGAATTTCGATTGTCGATCCTGCAAGTTTACTTCACGGCAAAGACATCGAGCTGACTTTTGAATCTCCAATGAACAAATCATGTATTGTTGGCATTGATCAACCGGCGGCTTTTCTTGTCTTTTGATTTAGTTGTCTAATGAGGAAATTTCATAGCATCTGGTGACATCATGGTGCGCCTCTGAATAGCCCTAACGATCCGAGAGGTTCGGAAAATTTTTGGAGCGAGTCGGTGAGTATAGAATTTTGTATAGTATTTCTCTTCTTTTCATCATGTGGATAAACCTTCAATTCATTTGCAGTAAGATCATTAACGAGTTGGTACTCCACAAATAACAAGACTCAAATCCAACAGCGCAATAATTGGTCAAAACATTGACCTGTCAGCTGAGCCCATCACCTAACATAAAAGTGCATAGCCGGCTTAGCTAGAGTCGATTGATAAAAATGGTTGTTATTCGGTCAATAATGAAATCGCCAACCCCAAAACGGATCTTATGGTGTCAGCAGAAAAGCCACATTCCTTTGAGAATCTCGGGCCGTCCATCATAGATCAGTCACGTTTTTGTATACAAGCAGCATATTTGATATTATAAAATTAGATGACCGGCGACACCGATGTTCCATTCGTTTATAACAAGATTAAGGAGAGATGCATGAGTTACTTAAGTGGTCATTTAGATGGCTCAGGACAGTCCAGCCCAATCTTGAAGTTGAGGCGACATCGGTAACACGCTAGGTAGTCAGCAATTTCTAAGCATTTAATTAGCTCAAGATCGATCCAATGGAATTGCGAGATTGGGGGTAAGACTACTCCAGACTCCGTCCGTAGTAGCAATACTGAGCACTACTTCTCCAGGATCTTCTGTTAAAGCGCCCCGCCACTATGTAGTTTGTTTCCCTTGCGGCTCCTGGTTATAATTTTACCAAGTGCTTCCCCAAACGGATAGTTTTCTGTGTCATCCTCTTCACCGGCACTTTCAGAAGCATACTCATGAAATGTGAGAAGTGGGCGCGATGCGACCAAACTTGTGTACAATGTTTTATACTAGCCAATCGGCAAGCTTTCTGGATGAAGTAGACAACAATGCTCGCCGTGGAATGCGTGTTCGCTGCAGTACAACCTTGCCTATTCAATAATTCAGTGGAGATACCGGACATAATTCTTGGAGAAAAATGATGGATATATTCTCCAGTAAATATCCGCAGTAAATAGTGGAGTCCAAAAGTCTAACTGGTGAGGGGAGGGCCGAAAACAGCTTAATATTCGCCAAGATGCTTAGGAAAAATAAAACTTGTACGATGTAACATTCAGCAAACCGTAGTATCTTGGTAAAGTCGCCGGCGACATAGCCTCGACACATGATGAATCATGAATCTCAGCAACACGGAGACATGACTCGACCTATAAAACCCCCCAATGTCCTTCCTTTGATATAGCGTAGCTGAAGAATCTGGAAAATCACAGGTGTTTCTATACATTCCTTACCTTACCAAGATACACCCGGGTGATCGACCAGCCATGTTGTTCTCTCGACCAGTCCTCGACCGCTTCAGCAGCGTACTCGCTCTGAGCCTTTACGTCACCGGTTCCCTGGCTGGACCATGTGATATTTACTCTTCTGGCGGCACCCCCTGTGTCGCTGCACACAGTACTACTCGCGCGCTGTACGACTCCTTCACCGGCGCCCTCTATCAGGTTTCCCGTGGCTCTGACGGTGCTACTACCGATATATCCCCTCTGTCCGCTGGCGGTGTTGCCAACGCCGCTGCCCAAGACACATTCTGTGCCAGCACCACCTGTCTCATTACCATTATTTACGACCAGTCTGGCAATGGTAACCATCTCACTCAGGCACCACCTGGAGGCGCTGCAAGCGGTCCTGACGCTAATGGCTACGACTACCTTGCCAGCGCTATTGGCGCACCAGTGACCTTGAACGGTTCCAAGGCCTACGGCGTCTTCATTTCGCCATTCACCGGCTACCGTAACAACGCCGCTGTCAAAACTGCCACCGGCGATGATCCAGAGGGCATGTACGCAGTTTTGGATGGTACCCACTACAACACCGGCTGCTGCTTCGACTACGGCAATGCAGAGACCAGCAGCGATGATACTGGCAACGGCCACATGGAGGCTATTTACTTCGGCACTGGTGATGGCTCTGGCCGTGGTACTGGTTCGGGTGCTGGTCCTTGGATCATGGCCGATCTCGAGAACGGCTTGTTTTCTGGTTATGACCCTATCAACAACGATGCAGACCCGACAATCACCTCACGATTCGTTACTGCTATAATCAAGGGAGAGCCCAATCAGTGGGCAATCCGTGGAGGTGATGCTACCACCGGCTCGCTGTCGACATATTACAGCGGAATTCGCCCCGCTAATGGTTACTACCCAATGGTCAAAGAGGGTGCTATCATTCTCGGTACTGGAGGTGACAACAGTGACCGTGCCCAAGGCACCTTCTACGAAGGTGTCATGACCACCGGCTATCCTTCCGATGATACCGAGAGCCAAGTCCAAGCCAACATTGTCGCCGCTGGATACGCCACTACATCCCTCATCAGCGGCCCCGGATTGACCGTTGGTGAAAACATCGCCCTACGCGCCACCACATCATGCTGCACAACACGCTACATCACCCACACCGGCTCAACCGTGAACACCCAAGTCGTCACCTCATCGGACGATCTTACCACCAGACAAACAGCCAGCTGGACCGTCCGCACTGGTCTCGGTAACAGCGCCTGCTACTCCTTCGAATCCGTCGACACCCCTGGCAGCTTCATCCGTCATTCCAACTACGAGCTCATGCTCAACGCCAACGACGGCAGTAAGATCTTTAGCGAGGACGCTACCTTCTGCCCCCAGTCCGGTCTCAATGGTCAGGGCAACTCTTTCCGTTCCTGGAGTTACCCTACCCGTTACTGGCGTCACTACAACGCCGTCGGCTACATCGCTAGCAACGGTGGTCCCTTTGACTTTGACAGCACTACTTCATTCAACGACGACGTTAGCTTCGTCGTCAGCGTTGGCTTTGCTTAATGCCGTCGTCAAGCTCGCTCGTCATATTTTATATAGTGCAGTTCCCTTCCTGTCTTATGCTGTGCAAGAACAGGTTATGTACATACCTATGAACACACTATTAGTATATATTGTTAATTGAATAGATTTTCATATGATATGCTGATTACGAAATCACAGAATCATCTGATAGTAAATTTCCAAACATAACGTTGAATTTATTGCGTACTACCAGTTTTCTGAACGACTGGATAGATCGTCATTGGATTTATTGCTTGCTATGATGGCCCTTTTGAAAGGCTAGTACCTGGGCTGGTCGTTCCATTGCACGCAAGGTGGGGAAAAAGGTGAGCCCTAAACCATATGAAAGCAACCATTTTCGTAATATCCTATCAGGTACATTACCACGAGAACCAGAAACCAAGGCATAGATCTAAACTATTTCGAAGGCAAGTAAGTGGAATCGAGGGCCAATAAAAGCGGCACCTTTTCGGCTAAGATCATGATGAAGCACAACACTGAAGACAGGAGATAGCGCATATTCTGTAAAGGAGCTAAGAATACATGTAAGATCTTACATGCCTGATGGCTTAGGGCTGACGAGGTCACCTGATAGTGATAGTCCTATTGGGATACACGATGATCAGCTCTATCATTCGTTCCATAGATCTGAATATACTTCTTGATAGCACTGGTCTGAGCGCAACGTGCCATTCAATGCGCATACGCGCCAACCTCTCAGATCTCTAATTATGCGGGGACAAACTCTATACTTGCAGGGTATCCTTCTTAGGTTGTATCCTAGAAATTTCTTTACGGACCTCACATATACCCCATCCTTCACCCCGCATAAAGATCCGGTCTAGATACTTAGCACTACCACCGTATTACGTATTAGAGGAGTTGAGTCAAATGGAAATGGACTAGTTGGCCTGCGACCTGTATTTTCAATAATGAACCGTGCACCTTTTCGTGCATGATTGCGATGCGAGATCAGTCCTAGTTGATTCTATGCTAAAATGAAAAGAGTGTTTGCGATTTCGGGCTAGGCTTCTGTACAGAATTGAGTTTATATATTGAAGATATGCTGGGGGCATTTCTTTCTAGTGTACAATACTATTGGATACCTGGAGACCTGTGTACTTTTCGCCGCCCGAGTGAGAGTGTTGCAGGTTGTGTATAGCTCACATATATGTAGCTAGACTAAATAGTATAGATACTACAAGTATGTCTAGACGAACGATAAGGGAGTCGTAAGACGTTATGCAATTCTAGTGGTTGGAATAAAGTTTGGTATGTCCCAGCGTGACGAATATCAAAATCTGCATGAACTGTTATCATTTCAGGCGTGTCTGTCATATGCATCACATTGGTAATTAGACAGCACTTGGTTGCAGGCATTCAGCATTCATGATTGCAATGTTCGCAAGTGTAGAGATTGAATTTGAAAGCAGATCCATTCCTTATGAATGACGAACAGATTTGCGTTACTAAGTCGTGCGTCTAGCTTCACCACACTTATAGATAGCACGACTTCGTCTAGAGACCCATATTCATTCTTCCTTTTTCCGGGGATCAAGTTGCTCCATATCCTCGGGTCTCACGACGCAGCTCATCACAATGCCCCGAGCATCTGGGCCGAGACCAACATGAACCTTGTCGCCAATCCTCCAGGGTCCGAAGACCAATGACTGGGAGTTAATCATATGACAGGATCCGATGAGATGGAACTGTTCAGTCTTGGCAACGGACACATCATGGCGCACTATGTCGTACTTTTTATGGACAACTAGTCGTTGCACTACATATGCATCATCACTCGCTGGGTAGAGGGCACGGCTGGACAATCGCTCCAATAATGACAGCCACTCGTCTTGTTCGATATCAACTCCAAGGCGGATACCGTTGCATGATGCATCGCGCACAGGCTTGACAATCCACTCGTTCTTGGCGAGCGGATCTTGTTTGGTATCTTCGAGCAGTTGCTTGAGGGCATTTGATCCCGGGATTAGAGTTTCGGCGATACCGTCACGAAGAATCTCCCCCTCTTGAGATAAAAGCACGTTCCGTCGTACTAAATTTGGAATTTCATCACGGACAATACCCAGGATTCGTTTGTCGTGAAGCAGAAAAATGGTACGAAAGTCGTTCACACTACACGTGGCCAATTGTTTCAGAGCGGTGGAATTAATATCAGAGAATTCCTCTTGGAACAGTTCAACTGCACATTGCTCGACTTTGAGTAGACTCCCACCGGTGCTTGATATGTTGTTGCCATTCCCAGAACCGCTGCCACCGACGTCCGCGTACAATGACCATCCCGTTGGAGAGCTACCATCTTCTTCCAGCTGCAACTGCGATGGCTCAATCTGCACCACGTCCAGGCCAGTGGCGTTTTTGTATTCATGGCCAAACAAGCGCGAATCGACTCCGGGCCATTTCTTGTGAACGTGAAAAACCGGTTTCGATCGGTCGTAACAGTCGAATAGTGTCTCCTTTGTGTCCTATTTTGGGATGAGGTTAGTCACAACCTAATTGAGGCGACGGCATTTGCATTGTCTCAAAGACTAACCTTTATGTCGTTCGGCGCTTTGAAGCCTATCCGACTTGCTCCAAACTTCTGCGTGGCTTCGCAATGCAGACCAGCAATGTAAAACCCATTGAATGGAATACGTGCATTTATTTCGCAAATTTTCGCTGCTTCGGTATTGCGATCTTCGAAGAGTATATCTGTTCGCCACATGCCCGACCGTTTACGAAAATCAAGCATCTTCCTCGGTCCTGACTGACTTTGCTCCTGGCCGCTGATCCATTTAATCACCTCCTCTTCGTGTGATTCCAACGGCATCCGCGACGGAAAATTGGCTTCAACGTCAGTGAACCATCGCTCAACAATATCGACTAGAGCTCGGTCGAGCAGACGGTGTATCGAATCGAGCGATTGCGCGAATTGTCGGTTGATGCAGATATTGAACGGCGACATGCGATCATGAAGAGGTATTGGTATTTTTGCTGGAGCAAAGAGCGGTTCGACATGTTCACGCACGGCTTTCAGGTCGCGTTCGAGGCGACTGTTGTTCGCACATGTTGCGGGAGCGATTGCATTGCGCTCTGCACTGAGCGAGAGGGAGACCTGTTGGATGGAGGGCGCTTCGGTCATTTTCGCGTCGACAGGAATGTCGTCGTTAATGGCGTGATATTACGATAGAAGCCACAATTCCTTGAAAGAAGCACACAAATATTGTCTTGAATTACGCGCCATCTCAGATGGAGATTGATCACATGCAAGACATCGGAGTAGGCGTTTGTTTTGTGACTTATGTAGCGTCAACAAGAAGCGGATCCTGCGATGGAGACTCATTCTGCTTGGCATATTGGAAAGCTCTGAGATGATTCATCGTGGAGGGTCTCTTGAGAGTGTCATAGTGCAGGTTGAGAAGGCAGAGCTGAGCTGGAGCTGAAAATCAGATGATGCGTCCAGTCTCGGCAAGAACGGGTCGGAGGAAACAACCACCCGCCTACTCCGTAGAACACGCTTAACCCCGGTCAGCCTGTTTCTTCAGGCATTCATCAGCCATCGACTTAAGTTTCAATTTACCTGCTCGCTTACATCTCACTCATATCGACACATTCGTACACACCGCACAGCCCTCCACCTCTGTTATATTCATCGGCCAATTGCCGTGAAGCAATCGATTCTCCTCTCGCGCCTCTCCGATGGAGAAGCTAAATGTTTATCACTTGCCTCTTTGGGCTAGCTTCGCCCTGTTTAAGCACCGATAAGCTCAAGCCTTTGTTAGCCGCCATGTAACCTTCATCTACTAACAGCAAATGACAGCCATCGCGTGCCTGTCGACCATCCTTGCAACTTGGCCGGAGACAATTGACCTGCCAGATTGGTCGTTTCTCAATTTGTTTTGATAAGACTCGGTATAATATGGAACCCCGCACTCCATTGTCCGACCGATCAGGCATGGTATTATCTGCGGAGGAGATAGCAATGCGACAGGGGTCGAGTCGCGCAATCCTTTAAATCCCGCGCTCGCTTCTGGAATGTCGACCAAAAACAGAGGAACAATCGACTAGGACTGAAAGTTGAATACGATCGGTGACTCCAGTCTTTGTGCAATCATGTTCTTCCTCAAAATTGCCAGCGTCTCTGCGTTGACGGCTCTGGCAGTGGCTGCTCCGTCGCCTGCCAGACATGTTCTTCACGAGAAGCGTCACCGTCCAGCGACCGATTGGGTCAAGGGGACTCGCATTGAGAGCTCCGCCATTCTACCGATCCGCATCGGTTTGACCCAGTCGAACCTGCACGATGGTCCTGAAGTTCTAAGTATGTCTACCTTCTTATACTGTATAATAGTCGACTAACCTAATTTGATACAGAGGCGGTGTAAGTGGATTGAGGGAAGCCGGAATACAGAACAATCACTAAAAAAACAACAGCTCCGACCCCCGCTCCGACAGATATGGCCAGTATCTCTCCATGGAGGAAGTTCACGACTTGTTTGCACCGGTGGAACACCACGTCGAGAGCATCAAGGAGTGGTTGCACCATTCGGGCATTGACAAGTCACGAATTGTGCACTCGGACAATAAAGGCTGGCTTGCGTTTGATGCCACGACCGAGGAGGCTGAGCGTCTATTCCAAACCGAGTACTTTGAACATGAGCATGCGGAAAGTGACCGTGTCCGTGTCGGATGTGATGAGTAGGTTGATCCCGCTTCGGTGCACTCCTCAATGCTCAATTGACCTACAGGTACCATCTGCCCGAGCACATTGCCCAGCATGTTGATTACATCACTCCTGGGATTAAAATGACCCAGGCCGTCAAACGTACCGTGAAGAAAGAGAAGCGAGCAATCAAGGCCGGAGCTTCTCGCACGTCGATCCATGCACCAGTCCATGACCTCACCCCGGAACATGGTCACTCCGGTGGCTCAGACTCGGATCTTGCAAACTGCAGCTACAACATAACTGCTCCTTGCATTCGTGCGTTGTACGGTCTTCCCAAGCCGACCAACAAGCCAAACCCGGACAATGCACTGGGTCTCTACGAGCAGGGTGACTACTTTGCCAAGTCTGATTTGGACCTTTACTGGAAAAACGTCAATCCCGATGTGCCCGTGGGTACTTACCCCAAGCCGCAATTAATCGATGGCGCCAATTACTCTGTTCCTGCATCTAGTTCATTAAACTCAGGAGAGTCAGACATTGATATTGAAATGGCGTATGTCATCTTTAATCTTTTCTAGAAAGCAATTTCTAACTTCAGCAGATTCTCCTTGATTTATCCTCAAGAGGTTGTTCTTTACCAAGTTGACGATCAGTTGTATGAACCTGCCGAAGTCGCTACAACCAACTTGTTCAACACCTTCCTGGATGCTCTTGATGGAGTATGCATACATTGATTTCTTGTAAATTCCCTGCTAACGCAACATAGTCTTACTGCACATACTCTGCTTACGGCGAAACCGGCAATGACCCAAGCATCGACCCAGTATATCCTGATCCCCAAGAGGGTGGATACAAGGGCGAGTAACTCACTTCAAACACTCGTGGAGCACCCCAGCTAACGAAACAAAAGGCCAGCTTCAATGCGGAGTCTACAAGCCAACTAACGTTATCTCCGCATCTTACGGCCAGGCAGAAATTGATCTCCCTGCGAAGTACGTGGAACGCCAGTGCAATGAATTCCTTAAATTAGGCTTGAGTGGGGTTACCATCATGTTTGCTTCCGGTGACTATGGCGTTGCCTCGTTCCCTGGTGACGGTGGAAACTCCAACGGCTGTCTTGGACCCGATGCTCGTATCTTCAATCCTCAGTACCCATCTGGATGCCCCTACGTGACATCGGTCAGCGGAACCATGCTTTACCCAGGCCAGGCAGTCACTGACGCCGAGAGTGTCATGCAAGTCAATTTAGGAGGCAGTGCCGTCAATTTCTCCTCCGCTGGGGGTTTCTCGAATTATTTCGAGCGTCCATGGTATCAGTGGGCTGCTATTGAGGAATATTTCCATGTTGGCAACCCGTCGTATCCATATTACTCAGAATTAAATGTCGACTTCAACACCACTACCGGTCTTTACAACCGTATTGGTCGTGGTATCCCTGATATCGCCGCTAACGGAGCTTACTTTGAATCATACTTGGATGGAAAGCTTGTCCACTTCTTTGGATCAAGTTTGGCCAGTCCATTGTTTGCTTCAGTCATCACTCTTGTAAGTTTAAGCCTCTTTTCAACTTCTTCTAAATTCAGCACCACTGACTCCAACCAGATCAACGAGGAGCGCCTGGCTATCGGCAAGTCCTCCGTCGGCTTCATCAACCCCGTTCTCTACCTCAACCCTTGGGCTCTCAATGATATCACCAACGGAACTAACTTGGGTTGCGGCACCGAAGGTTTCCCAGCTGTCAAGGGCTGGGACCCAGCTACCGGCCTCGGAACTCCTAACTATGCCAAGCTTAAGGAGTTGTTCCTCTCTTTGCCTTAAATTCTGTCTTGCTTCTGTATATGATTCAAGAGAGGGCTAAATACGGTCTTACGATAGTGTACTCCCGTATGTAGATACAACAGAGCTAATTTATACATCGTATTACTCGAATCCGTAGGTTTTGTGACAAAGGCCGGTCCTAATATTGACACTAGACCGCTCATACAGTAGAACATTGAACATGGAAAGAAAAATCGCAAGGAAGATATGCACTCTATATCCTACACTAGAGGTCTATATGATTCTGTGGGAGGCTCCTGTCCGGAAAACCTCGTAATTCTCCAAGCTAATATTATGTAAGCAGGACTCAGAGCCCTTTCTCGGGATTGCGGCGCCTAGTTGGGGCATTACTATGTACTTAAGTACGGTCATATTACAGATGTCGTATGTTACTGAGGGTTTAAAAAAATTGGACTCTTAAAAAAAGGTCAAGTTCAGCATCATATACATATAAATGAATCAGGCCTATATACAAACACCTTTGAAAATCAATTACCAGGAAACTTGGCAGATAAATCGCTAGTAAATAGGCAAGACTAATAAGCCCCGGTCGCTTGAACAACCAAAACACTAGCCCTAGACTCCTTGCGCACAAGCGCATCACCTACAGCACCCAGCACTGACCGTGCATCAGGTCCATCACTTGACTCAGTCGACGACGACGATCCCGTTCCCACACTTCGACGGCCGACTACAATAATCTGGTTTGTCTCGCCGCGTGCTTGGCTAGCTTCGTTATCGGCGGCTTCGACAGCAAGTTTGACCGCGTCGCCATTCGTGGCTGTTGAAACGACTGTGCTGAATATGACGCGAGACGAGAGTTCGGATGACAATGAATCACGCATAGAGGCGAAGAATGTTTTGTCATTATCTGCTTCGTTTGCCTCTGTTCCGGTCTTCGGCACGTCGATATGAACAATCGTTGCTGTGACCAGGTGATTGTGCGCGAGTTGGAGGACGAGACGGAGCGCAAAACGGTCATCTGGACCGCCAATGTACAAGAACAGGATATGCTGGTTACGGTTTCCAGCAGTCAAAGAAGCAAGATTGGTACGAATGTTGGGAAGAGATAGCGTGCTGTTGGCGCGGTGAAGCGTGTGACGTTCCTGACTTGGCATGTCCAAGGCTCGATCAACGAGGATACCCACAGACACGTTTGAGAACGAATTGACGCCACGCAAAACATCAGACACGAATGATGGGTAAGGTGCGTTTGTATTGTCTGATGCACTCTCCGAGGACCACACACTCTGACGATCGATCATACGGCCACTAGCGCTCCATGGCAGCAAAAGGAAATTCGAGCTAGTATCGCGAGCCATGTCGAGTACTGCATCGGCAAAGGAGCTTTCAGGTATGACTGAAACGCGTCCTTCTGAGGGGATGTTATTGATCTGACCGAACGATCTGAAAACATTCACAACTGGGTCCCAGGAAGAATACTCTTCAATCTCGGAGACTTTCATCGTACTTGACAAACGGTCTGTAAGTTCCATAAGACGGATTCCATGGGCATGCAAAAGTGGCTTTTTCTCGGCCTCTTCAATGGGCTGATCCTCAATGGATGATTCGGCTGCGGTGCCTGCTACTCGTTTCGAATAGTGTTCGCGTGGAGCACTCTCGCGTGGTTTACCGTCGGTGCCGAGAAGTCCGATAAAGCTGCACACGTTTGCAACACTGTCAAGCCTCAGGTAGACAGTCATCCGTTCAATCGGCTTTGCGGTCGGCTTCTCGAGAACTTCGTTAGATGAAGTTGTTGTAGTCTGGTCTCGCACATTGCCATCCCAGTCAATTTCACCTCTTCTCCAACGGGCAACCTTGTCTTGGTACCATTTAGGATACAAGGCCAATGTGAGAGGCGTGGTCATAAACGTAGTCACTAAAGCCATGACGACAAACATAGTGAAAGTACGTTCGCTAAGAATCTTGGCTTGTCGGCCAATATTCTATTATTTGTAAGTCATATATCGTACGTTTGGAGGTGGACGACTTACCAAAACAATAAGTTCTACAAGACCCTTGCAACTCATCAACACACCTACTGTAAAACTTTCTCGCCATAAAAGGCCAGTTAGTTTGGAGGCCACTGTTCCTCCAATGATCTTTGCAAAGAAGGCGATGGCAATGATTCCGACGACATAACCCCACACAATGCCAGAATCCAAAAGACCCAAATTTGTTTGAAGACCGGAAAGAGCAAAATATAATGGCAAAAAGACAGCTGCCACGAGATCCTCAATCTTCTCCGTTAATTTGATAGCAAACCCTTTCTCATGTGGGCAGATCAACCCGATGATGAATCCACCGAAAATAGCATGAATTCCAATGGCTTGGGTGAAGAAGGCAGAAGCCAGGACTAGCAACAGCGTTACTGTCACGGCCGACTGGCTCGGGCCTTTTTCGAGGCTGCCGGTTTTGCGCAAGTATCGTACGAAAATAGGTCGGACCACGAAGAAGAGAAACAATATATAGCCGACGGCAACTAGCAATACGTATAGCGCCGTGATACCGCTACTGGCATTCACAAGGGCTATGCAAAGGGCGAGCAAAATCCAGCCAGTTACATCATTTCCGACACCTGCTGATAGGACAATGACACCGACATTCGTATTCAACAGCTTCAATTCGGTCAATATACGGCAAAGAACTGGGAAAGCCTAGCGGTCCCGTTGAATTAGTACCATGTATCTCAGAACGATGAGGATGATTTCTAACATACGGTAATGGCCATAGCCACACCAACGAAGAGCAGGAAGGTTCCAAAGTCGACAGCCACAGTGCCTGGATCACTGCTGAATTCATGATATAAGCCATACGAAATGGCACAACCTATCAATCATTTATTAGCTGAATAGCGACAACAGAGCGATACTACTGACCTAATCCAAAAGGCAAGATCATGCCCAGCAGTGACACACTGGCGGCGATCCTCCAGTTGCTCACCAGAATGCGCACGTCAGTTTCGAGACCAACCAGAAACAGGAAGAATACCAGTCCCAAATTGGCGACTGCATTCAAAGTTGGAATTGAAGCTGTTGGGAAGATCGTGTTGGTAAAATTGGGTATATGGCCAAAAACCGACGGGCCTAGGAGAATGCCTCCGATGACTTCTGCGATAACGCGGGGTTGGCGGATCTTGGACAGCGGCCAGTGGAGAAGCCAGCAGAAAATGATGATGATACCAGCCTTTTAAGAAGATTAGGTTACATGCATGAGGCAATGGAATGAAGATTGTACCAACCTGGATGATGAAGATCAATATGGGGTTGCTGGAGTCATACGTTGCCGGGTTCTTGCCGCTCAAGATCCCGGCCTGTGCGACCTTGGTGGATGTCGAGTTTGACGACATCTTCTGCCTTGTTCTGCTTCGTCGCTGGACAGGGATAATGCGTCAGGGGAAAAAAAAGGAGATTGTGGCTCGAAGCGACGCAGCACAGGTCTTAGTTGGTGTTGTGGGAGATGAAGCTCGTTTTAGCTCCAAAATTCATACTGCTCCGGTTGCAGCTAGTATTTATAATGACAGCAGCATTGCACATGAAAGTTAGACGGTATGCTATTTGCGTATAAGAGTAGATGTCACAGACTAGCTGACCCAAGCATCAGCACCAGTGCAGAGGAAAAAGAAAGAAGAAAGAAGAGAGCCAACAAGAGAAAGAAACCTTTCTGGAGCGCCCTCGCAGCTTCAGCTGATTCGAAATGGTGAAATGCGGGATGGGGAAGGACCCGGTCCACCTCTAGCCGAAAGCGGACTGGCGTTACGTGGGTCTGCGGTCACCACGTTCTGATCTACTGGCCAATTGGATTATGTATTCGAAGCGCCTTGTCTCCACCTGTTTCCGCGTATTGAAACACCAATACACACCGTACTGCTGAGCTGAGTCGAAAAATATCACTTTTGGGCCATATTATCGCAAATCTTGAAGTATCAATTTCATGTTATCTCATATCCCTGGGAGCTCATATAGCTTCATCGGTATGTTTGGGTTGGCAATACAGCTCGGTGCTCGGTGAACGGGTCCGTTGGCCCGTCGGTCTCGGTGGTTGGCCTTATCAGTTTCTGTACGTACGTACCGTCCTCTGTAAGATTGATACGCACTGACAGCACAGTCTAGCCCAAAGCAGCATGATTCCACTAATACTAAGCTCTATTATTGTAAAACGGATATGCTTCACCATGGGAGACAATCTATATATATAAAGGCTATTCGTATCCTTTGCTATGAAGGCGGAATGTTAAGCCATAGCCCAATAGATATAGACGGCGGCGCTGACTGTGCCACAACCAGCCTCGCAAATTACATTATTCCACGTCAACTCTTGGAGGGGGATGGTGTTTGAAAGTTCGATATGAAGTCTGTTGCGATTAATGAATTCAGTCTACTATGTATGATAGCTCGCTATTAGAAGTGAGTGACTCCGACACTTTCTCCACATTGCCAAGTTCCGTTCTGCGACGGATTCTGGAGGGCGTTGGCGTCGACGCTCTTGATTGGCTTGTTAAACCACTCATGTTGGACTCGGAGTCTGCGTGAGTGTGATTTATCATGTGCGAGGTTAAAGTCTATCTACATCTCATCGTGCAGACCCAGCATCTCTAGCGAATCTTTCCACAACCGCGCCTCATTCTCAGCGTCGTACATCTGTCGAGTCCATCCCACCCCGAAGACGTCGTAATCATCAGGCCCTCTCTGGGATTCTGCACAGTCCTCTAAATATCTCCCCCCTTTGCTCTCCCATTCTGTGCCAATAGCTGCAATTACAGTTGTCGCAGCTCCCTGCTCAGTGCTTTTCAGAACATGTTTGAGTTTCTCCATGATCATCGCAACGATTTCCGGGCTCACATTCCGAGAAATATTTGTCGCGATACCACCGGGATGGACGCTGGTCGCATGCAGTCCATTCTGGCCGTAGCGGCGCTCAATTTCGTTGGCCATGTATATCATAGCGAGCTTGGACTGAGCATATGCGATACTGGGGTCATACTCTGTCTTCTCGAAGTTGTAGTTATCGCTGGTAGTGAGGCCCACCGAACGTGCAGCAGAAGAGGAGACATTCACGACCCGGGATGAAAACTCAGGAGTTGTGCTGGCTATCAATGCGGGTTTAAGAAGTTCGAAAAGTAGAAAATGACCGAGATAATTGGTAGCAAACTGAGCCTCGAATCCGTCGTCCGTCAGCTGAAGGTTGGGACCCCCCAGGATTCCAGCGTTGTTTATCAAAATATTGACGTGATGCTTAGATTGAGAAAGAATCTCAGCTGCCGCTACTTTGATACTGGTAAGAGAGGAATTGTCCATTTTGACCAAAAACACACGATTCGACTGTATAAGATCATGCAGCGTCATCTTGGCCTTTTCCAGATCGCGGACAGTCAAGAACAACGTTGCTCCTGTGGCGGCCAAGGCTAGTGCTGTCTCAAGGCCGATACCACTTGTGACACCAGTAATGACTATTACTTTTCCGATGAGTTTGTTTTCAAGTTTCTCATCCTGGACGATCTGGAGAGCCGTTGGCCGTGCATCTCCAGGGCCTTGAGGATTAGCATGGGCAGCGGCGTAGCGACTCATGTTGGCACTTATCGTGCAAATGATTGAATATGGTAGAAGGAGTGATAAGTCAAATGCTGTTCTGCATGGCTTAGTATTTATATTTGATTAGAAGTTCTTTCTAGATCTCAAATTCTGAGGTGGCAGCTGTTTGCCTAATTTGGAAGTATGCGGGTCTTTACCAGCTTGCGGCCGATCGGCGGCCGCCATTTTCCATTGATTGCGGCCGCTCCATAGGCCACTTAACTTCCGCAACTTCCTCTGTCTTCTTCTATTCACTTTGCACCATCCAGAAATTCGTGAGAACGTCTGGACTGTGTAAACCGCTATGCAATCACCGGACACTGACTCTAGTGTTAGCCAAGCGCGTCAAGTCTGCAGATCATGCAAGATACGGAAACGAAAATGCAATAAAGCCCTTCCACGATGCAACCTATGTATAAAGTGAGTCAGTACTAGGCAATTATTGCTCCAATTGAATATTGGCTCGTCAACTTATCCTCATTGACAGAAGGAATTTACCGTGCGAATATTCGCGGCCGACTCCAACCCGCCATTCCGCTTTTTTGTCCGCATCCAGCAGAATCCAATGGATGCAAGCTTCCGCAGAAGAATATTCGAATGAACTGTTTGAGACGCAATCCATCAACTATCCGACGCTCTTGTTTTTAGATCCATTCATACTACAAGATGGGCAATTGGAAATCACCCCGGCCGCTGCGTCAATTCCGCCACTTATTCTCCGCCTGATTGGGGATGTGAATGATATTCATGACACAGCAGCCAAATTCTTTGACCATATCCATCTGTGGATGCCGTTCATTTCCAAAAAACGTTTTTACGATATTCACCTTCGGACATTACCTCCATCGCAGTCCGATGTTGTCCTGCTCTTACTTTGTCTCAGACTCATAACGACTTTGCCGCCTGCAAGACCACGCGATGCTCGAACTCCTTTGTATTATGCTGCAAAGCATTTCTTTCTTGACATTGAAGGTGAAGGTTCATTTTCGATTCTCGTTTTACAGGCATGCATTCTTTTGGGACTGTACGAAATAGGACACGGTATATATCCCGCCGCTTTCTTGACTATCGGTGCCTGTGCTCGCTATGCACATGCCCTGGGTTTCAACGTCAGTAAGACCGTCAAGTCACGAAAAGTCCTTACATTAGTCGAGGCAGAAGAACGAAGAAGGGTTTGGTGGGCAATTGTGATTCTGGATCGGTTCGTGATCAAACCGCATTTGTGCTTCCCACTCGCTGAGACTACTGGAGATTCGTGAATATTGGCTGTCCAGGAAGACCCTTTGCGACCGCAGAGCCTGAATTAAATGATTTGTTGCCGGCGGACGACGCAGAATGGGATCAGGGGGTATGTTTTGATAACGACATCTAACTCTACTCTCCCGTGCTCATCAAATGTTAGATTGTCAACCCCGACAACCTCTGCACATTGCTTGAGCCGCTCACTGGCCACATGAGTAGATTTGCGTTGCTATGTCAAGCTGCGAGATTGTTAGGTCAAGTTCTCCAGCATCTGTCGAGTGGCACGGCTGAGGACGATGATGTGTCGATTCAACTAGATCGAACTCTTCAATCCATGCTTGCTGCTTCCTTGGATGTCGAAGTTCCCGACGAGTATCAGATAGCTTTTATCTACAGGTTAGTCATTCACATTCTATTGGAACAGCTTATTTAAACTATTACAGCTGCCTGGTAGCGCTCCAATATCCCTTGTTATCATCTCCGAATGTCGTTTTGGGCGAGCGATCCCAGCGCGCACAAGAGGTCATTCAAAAAATCATAGCTACAGTGAAACTCAACCTGACTGACAAACATTGCTACATGGGACGGAACCCAGAAGACATGTCACCTTGGGGTTTATTCTTCGCGTACAGAATATGCGCATATCAGATCGCCAGGAATGGTCAAGGGACATACAGTCCAGACTTGGACGAAGTCTCCAAGAGTATGAGAGAGACTTTTGCTACAATAGATAAGAGGTGGAACCTTGCAGGTAGTCATCCTTTTTTACATCTGTAAGGCTACAAGCCGTAACTAACACATTATCAGGTGTTTATCTTCAACTACTTGAAGCCCAAGAAGCGATGAGATTTTCTTGACTTGTCCGTTACTGCCTTTTCTCAATCGACTTGCCCTTCTATTTTCCTACGTGGATCTATCTAGAGCATATGCAAAATATGTCTTAGGGCACGTTATCATTAAAGTTATATTAGTCAGCGTTGGTCGCTTTTCTAAGTTTTCAATCAAGGTCTACGTTTCTTTTCTATAGATGCTTCATGTAATTCATCAAGGTGTCATTAGCTATAAATTGCAAGCTATGTCATACAACACGAAATATCGTTGGTAATGAAAATAGTACAGAGTTAAGAGAACGCTAAAAGGAGGAAACCATTCAATGATGCGCTCTCATTTGAGGTCCTTCACACTGAAAAGTTTATTCAAGTGAAGATGAGTCTACTCGAAAAGTCTCTGAAAGTTACTCGGGTATCTCAAGCACGTATCGTCCCACAATCTTGCCTTGTTCTATCGACATAGTGTCAGTAGTCTGCCATGCACGATTACAAGAGCAATAGATGCACTCACCCATTAGATCAAAAATACGAGGAAGATCCTTCAGCGGAGCAGTCTTGAACGGAGCTTTGATTAGACCTCTCGCAAAGAAATCTATACACTCCTCACTGTCCAGCCGACCACCGACATAACTGCCCTTGATATTGATCATGCGTACCACCGTACTGAAAACAGGAGCTTTCAGATATGCGCCTGCTGGTAAACCGATAGCGACGACTGATCCTCGGGGTCTGACGTATTCCGTGGCTTGTTGGAATGGTTTTTCTGCCACCGCAAGAACAAGAACGGCGTGAGCACCAAGTCCTCCGGGTGTCGCTGCTTTGACATCTTCGACGACGTCTTTTGATGTTGTAAAGTCAATGTATGCCTATTGAAGTTTAGTATTTCCCTAGAAAGAAAACCATTGGATAGGAATATGGATTACCTCTGCTCCCATGCTCTCACAGAATGCCCTCTTTTCATCCCCACCATCAATAGCAATCACACGAAGTCCCATCGCCTTCGCATACTGCTGCGCCAAAGATCCCAAACCACCACCCGCACCTACAATGGCCACCGTCTGCCCCGGCCTTGCGCCAGACTCCTTCAGTCCCTTGTAAACGGTAACACCAGCGCAAAGCACCGGCGCAACCGCATCCAGCGGTACATTTTTCGGAATCTTAGTCGTATGAGCCGCTTTTCCAATCGCATACTGCTGAAACGAGCCATCGACCGTATACCCGGACAACAACGCATCGGGACAAACAGCCTCATCGGCATTCTTGCAGAACTCGCATGTAAGACAAGACCCATTCAACCATTTTATGCCTGCGTGATCGCCGATATCCCAGCCCTGCACTAATTCGCCCTTCGCCACGACGACGCCGGCACCTTCATGGCCGCCTACGAAGGGCATCTTGGAGGCTAGTGGCCAGTCGCCCTTGAGCGCGTGCAGATCTGTGTGGCATACGCCCGAATATTTGATTTTGACTAGAACTTCATCGGGCCCTGGTTTTGGTACGGGAATTTGTTTGTAGATAAGTGGTCCGCCTTTTTGTTCGGCCACTTGGGCCCATTGCAGCTCTGGGAGGGACATTTCTGATGGTTTTTAGAGTCAATTGATGTTGTCTTGATCAGTGACTTGTGTAGAGCTGACATTGTGATAATGTCAAACATTTGTTCTTATATGAACAATCGTGGCTGTCAAGTTGTCTAACCATCATCAGGCCACTGCAAGCATCAACTCATGACGTCACGATCAGGAGGTCTCGAAAGGAAAAAACAAGACTCAGGATGAATTGAAATACGGTCATATAGTGATTTCTAACAGGTTTTTGATACGCTTGGAGTACGTAGGTATGTTACTTTTGGACACGGTAAGGCTTGGCCACGATGAGGATCGATCGGGTTGTGTAACGTAAATGCTTCGGCGCTGTATGCAAGTCTCATGCTATAGTCACACAATGGAGAGCTGAGGCTTGATTATATCAAGGAATTTTATCCTCGACATTTAATTAGTACTAGACTTGTGGTCTGCAGTCGACAGGCACGTTGTGCATCTCCTTCATCGAGGGAAATGCCCATAAGAAGCCATCATTCGATGCTCCGAGATATTTCCGCGCTTTTCCCCGCCTACGATCAACCAAGGAACAATCGCAACGTTAGAACATTCTTTAGGACTAGATAATATTGAAAGAATCGAAAACGATGTAGAATCCTTCCTCTTTCTTTTCCTTACTACGATTCTGAGACTTTGTTTTGTGTGTTCCAAGGTTGTTCTAACACTTACTTTCCCAACTGACAGCGAAGCACTCTGGAAAACTATACAGCTCGGTATATCTGTTCGCATTGCAAGGAATACCTCAAAGCGCCAGCATAATATTAATTTCGGGGCATATGGAGGTAAATTATCGGTCAGAAGAATGCCAAAAAGCTGCATACTTCAGTCGTCCACTTTTCCATTCCATTGTTCAAAATTATTACTCAGTTGTATCCGCGCAGGGTCGACCACGACTAGGTAGGTGGTGCAAAGTTGCCCAGTTGGTGCCCTAATTATTCCTAGCGTCATTTTTGCGAGCAGCTACTTATGCACTACTCGCGCACTCATCATGGAATATGCATATCAAGGTTGAATTAGAGAGGAACAATCTCATCGAACAGCGACATCTAAAAATATTCCATGCATCTGCGAACTGGTAGAAATGTCATCTCTTGTCGCGCGAATGCCGCTAGTCTCGCATCCTTGAATTATGGCCTCGACATGCGTCAGTATGGTATCCAAAATATTTTCATGCAATGTAACACACACTGCTGATTCGTAGCATGGAATTTCGCTGCGATCGGTATATCAGCCACCCGCGAAAAGCAGCTAAAGCGACCATTCTGTGGTTCTTAAAGCACTAATTGCGGGCGAAGTGCATTGGTGCCCGTTCTAGCAAAAAATGGGTGGCAGTGCGATGAGATGGCTAGTAGACGGCGCGCTAAACGGCTTGCTATTATTTGCTCAACTACATTATACCCCTGCTACATCTGTCAACTAATTGACTGTGCCGTATTTTCGTAGACATCGAGGCATCACAAGGCTCTCTTGCAAGGGTATCTTTTTATGCGAGAATGAGACATATTCATGGGCTAAATGGCAAGCAGACTGCAAGAAATCACATAAAAGTTGGGAGTACCTCTGAGATGTCGAACAGCGAAAGGAACGAATCAGTAGACTAATAACGACAAATTCTTTCCTGGAAAGGTATCAGCAGCATGGATAGCCTCGACATACTACAAGTGCCTACGTCGTCACCCTTTTCATCGAGTAGGGATAACACCTCCGGACGCTCATCCTTACCTAGGAGGATAAATAAAGTTGTCAAGAAGAAATTATACAAACGTACTACAACACAAACATCTCCAAGTTCCTCGACTCTCCGCCGAATAAGCTCCAGCAGATCGTCGCTGCCTTATCAAAACCGGCGACATAAATGGCTGAAAATATATCCCAAAAACCGTGCTACACCGTCCCTAGGGAATTTCATCAACAGAAGAAGATCTCAAAGGTCCTCTTTGAGTACGACAAGATCGATTACCTCTCCTGTGGTAGGTTCAGCTAGACGATCTTTGAATACGAACTTTGCTCCTCCTGGGCAAACATCAAATTCCACTGGAGAATTGCCATATACACCTCAGTCTGAAAATTATCCAATATTAATCGAAAGTGATGACGGCGATGATGATGCAAATCCTTTTACACCGAGTCCGATTCGTGACTCGCCTTCATATGGAAGAGGACCTCGACAGCGACGTGCAAGCTCGAGGGCAAGGACACTTCTATTATACCCCGCATTACCGTCAGAAACATCAACAGAGTTCAAACACTGCCAAGATACACTGGACGACACGACTATTGATAGCAAATTGATCAAGAAGCTACGAGAAGGACCAAAAGCTGAAAAGTCGAATGGAAAGCTAGCCCTTCTCTATACAGCTATGATGGAGGGCGAATACGGTTACGTGAAAATTGGATGGACAGAGCAGGACATCCAACAACGCATGAATGGATTAAATTCCCCGGTCAGGTATCCGAGGATCTATAATGTGCCAGACAAGACCCCTGGTGGACAAAGCACATTCAGAAATTGTTTTTTTGCTGAACAGATCATTCATCTGGAGCTATATAATTATCGGCGCCTTGCAATCACTCGGAATCAGTCGGAATGGTTCGAGATAGACAAAGAAGAAGCGCATCGAGTCTGCCGTAAATGGCGGAAGTGGCTTATACAGTGTGAGCCATACGGTGAGAACCAGGAACTCACAGAATTTTGGAGGAGACGCCTGTATCACATGCAGAAGTTTGACGCTTATAATGCTGTCGAACATGGATGCCTTCACGAGCGTTGGACTGCATTTCTGAACCCGAGTTGGTGGGACAAGACATCATACAAGGTCATTATTACCTGGGAAAAAGTTTTACAGTGGTACACTTGGATTCGCGATAACTCTCAAATCATTGCACTTCTCATTGGGATAATCTTATGGGCTTGGAAAGGCTTTGTGTGGTTTTTGCTTTGGATTCTTATCGTATGGGTTCTTTCGACTGGGCCGTCCACAACACCCAAGGAACAAGACAAAAGAAGTCGAGTCTCTCACTAGCTGAAAGGGGTGTGGCAACTAAAGCATTTTAGGCGTTTCTCAGGATAGTATTTGTATTGGGAGTTATTATACATTGACTGAATTTCTGAATATTTTGCGGTTTATGCTGTCCTTGAGACCCGCATATTCGAACTCATTTCACTTCTGAATTATGTCCATCCAATAAATTTTTTCATGGGCATTGGAGACTTGTTCTTGCCATAACAGCATCTCCGTTCCAGAGTTAGGGCTAGGGCTTGCTCCATTTCGGCTGAGCTTTGTTAAGATTTCTACCCGCGCTGACGTCAAAGTTCTTTTCCAACTCTTACTTCCTCATCATGTTTGGAGCTCCATGTGTTCTGGAAAATGGCTCGTTGATCCGCTCTATAATAGGCATTTATTTTTGGCTTAAATAATTCAATCAATATGGGAAAGAATTTTCTCATTACCGGCGCTGCCAGAGGCATCGGTCGAGGACTGTCGCGACTTTTGCTCCAAAGAGGTCACAGTGTCTTCCTTGTTGACAACAACAAGACTGAATTGGAGCACACAGTGAAACACCTCACTGAGAACGCCTCGGGTAGCAATTATTCCACTGCATTATGTGATTTATGCGAGCCATCACAAATCAGATCGGTCGTCGAAGCGGCGGGCAAATTCTTCGACGGGAACCTTGACGTGCTAATCAACAACGCCGCATATACTGGCGCCGTTGGAAGCACACCCTTCGCCGAACTGAGTCTCGATACATGGAATAAAAGTATTCAGACCAACTTGACCGGCGCAATGTTGATGAGCCAAGCATGTCTGCCAATGTTAAGAAAAGGCGCTGGACGTGACAAGGGTGGTTCTATCATCCACATGTCCTCAACGCGCGCACACCAATCCGAGCCAAATTCGGAGGGTTACGCAGCGACAAAAGCTGGACTCATTGGGCTCACGCATTCGATGGCTTCCAGCTTGGCTGGTGATGGCATTGCTGTCAATGTCATCCTACCTGGATGGATCAATGTCGCCAATGAATGCAAAGATGGCGGTGAATGGGAAGACGGTCTGTCGGAGGGAGACCACCGTTGGCACTTTTCAGGACGGGTGGGTAAAGTTGAGGATATACTGCGTGCGGTTGAGTACCTGGCTGATGCTGAGTTTGTTACTGGTACGGAAATGGTGGTGGATGGAGGTGTTACCAGGAAGATGGTGTACCCTGAGGAATAGGTCTATTTGTAGGGCGAGCCCGTGATAGAGAATGTATAACGGTCTATACATCTATATTCTTGAGTGATAGTGAACAAAGATGACCTTCTACTGTGACTCACTCTATGACACTCAGCGCAGACATATTGGACGAAGACAGTCACCATGATAGTCAATATATGCGTCAGCGTTTCGTAGATATGTGTGTAATAAAGCTCCCGAGGTCGGAGGCGAAGAAAGAATACCAAACCAAAAGTAGAAAGACACCACTTGCCCTCCATAGCCACAGAAGTAGCCACGGTGAAGCAAGTTCTTTCGTTTGCTTGTCAAACCGGGGCTTCGCAGGACAAAGCATACAAAATATCTGGAGTATCTAGATTCTCCAACGACATGTCGACCAGACTTATAGAGCCGTCTCCAAGACCCGACATTTCGAGGAGGTTGTTAATAGTGACTGAACCTTGTGATGGGGTCCGCCGTGACGCAGAAACAATGACAATGTGTGTTAGAGGTATAATATGAAGCCTCTTTCGCATTTTGATGCGTCTTGTATTGTATCCATCATCATTGAGTTAACCCTGAAATATCAAGATATCTTCGAAGACCCAGATCATCAACCTGGTGGAGCCCTTCATTCGAGATGAAGTATATTACTCCTGCCTTCTTGACAATAATCACGGCCACCATTGGACAGCATCTCCTGCCGGCCATTCAATCGGTCCTATTTTGCAGCAATGTAGCGTTTCTTTTCTTGTTCGCCTTTCGCTACTTACGACTGATTGTCCACATCATATCCTACTGGGTTCTGTATCGCCCAACGCCAAATCCACAAAAGCCACGCTTTCGTCCTCGCAATGTGACCGTTATTGTGCCCACAGTTGACCCCGAGAACGAGAACTTTGTGGAGTGTATCTCGTCAATCATTTCCAACCATCCAAAGAAACTCATCATCGTCGTCCCAAGCAAGGAAATGGTCAAGTTGACCGAAAAAATCTTAGCTTCGTCACAACTCCGTTGCAAAAAGGTCCCCATATCAGTATTGCGAGCTGTCCAAGCTAACAAACGTGTACAGGTCGCCTGTGCAATTCCTCAAGTTGGCACTGCTATCACCATTATTGCTGATGACCATGTGTTTTGGCGTAGTCCGAAATTTCTCTCCACGATTCTGGCGCCCTTCGAGGATCCAAAAGTAGGTGCTGTCGGGACGAACAAACGTGCCCGTCGTACGGAGAAGGGCTTTACTGCTGCGGCGTTTTGGAATATGCTTGGTGCTGCTTATCTCGAACGTCAGAACTTTGATGTTAGGGCTACGAATGCGCTTGATGGTGGGGTCTTTGTCAATTCGGGACGTACTTCTGCACATCGTACCTCGATCTTGCAGTCCCCTGAGTTCTTAAAGGGATACTTGAATGAGCGATTCTTCTTCAGTCTGTTTGGACCTCTTAATTGTGATGATGACAACTACATCACTCGATACGAAGTACGGCATGGCTGGGATATCAAGATCCAACACTGTGCAGATGGACTGATGGAGACATCGTTGGGCACGTACCCGAAGTTTTTTTCTCAGTGTCTTCGCTGGAGCCGGACTACCTGGCGAAGCAATTCAGCCAGCCTATTTACAGACCGTACCGTCTGGTACCGACAGCCTTGGTGTGTATATGCCGTTTATCTCACCAGCTTTGTCAATTTTGCCTTCTTCTATGACTTTGCGCTAGTCTACTGTTTTCTTCACACTACATGGGCGAGCACGTCTGCAACGGTATGTCTGCTGGTCTGGATCTTTGCTTCCAAATTGGTGAAATTGATCCCCCACTTTTGCAACCATCCAAAGGATTTGATATTCCTTCCAGGTTATTATGTGTTTGGCTACTTCCACAGCGTGATCAAGTTGTACGCCCTGTTCACGTTCTGGGATGTCACATGGAGCGGTCGACAACTTGATTGTATTGATACAGACAAGGAGAAGTGAGTGTCATGCACTTGTGGTAGTGTGGTTTGCTAGAATAGACATCGATATGCCTTCGTTGTCATTCAGTCGTTACAGATTACTGCACGTGTATCTGGCCGGTTTGGATACAGACTTCAATGACATACATAATCTTGACTGAACTCGTCAATAGAGGCAATTAATATTACTAGTAGATGTATAAGGTCTCAAAGACTGATACCGTGGTATGGCACTTTAATCATGGACGCAAGTATGAATCCCCTTTCCTCCTCCACCCAACGAACAAGGACAGTAGTCCACCAAATCCAGCCATAGCAGTCAAGACACGCATCAAGTCCGCGAAGCTTGATGCATACACTTGCGCAGGTGAATAGTGTACGTTGTGTATTCTCAACCGCGTACGAAAGGCCGATTCGGCACTAGCAATGGCAAGACAAAAACCAGCCGTTCGAATGAAGTTCGCAATTAGGGAGGCATCTCGCTGAGATCGTGACCTTTGTCGAGACAGCTCTCGAAGAGCGGTGTGGGTAGCTGATATAGTGATACCATGACCCAGACCAGTGACTAACATAACAACGACACAGACGCGTAGCGTAGTGTGTGTATTGAAAAGAGTCAAACTTGCAGATGAGATGATACTTAGAGCCCATCSGAGCCATAGAAGCCAGCGATAGTGATATAGTTTCGTAGGTATTAGATCAATTACAGCAGAGACTAACAGCATAGTCACGATCATTGCTATGAGAATTGCTCCGATTGAAGTAGATGATGATTTTTGTACTCCTCGAAGGTATGCGGGGATGAAAATCACTTGCACCGCAATCTGGCAGATGTCAGTGACAATCCCTCAGTTGAGCTAGTGGACTCACCAAAAGACTTTGTATCAAAACACACAGAAACGTGATGGGCGAGACCCCCAGTATCCCAAGGGACAAAAATGGTCTCGATGCTCCAGATCTTTCGTACACCATGGTAACAATCATTCCCCCAGCTCCGGCAACAAGAGCTACAAGCACCTCCCATTTCAGCTCTTTCTGCAGACTGGAAGCCCACGTAAGTCCGAGCAGTAGCGCAGACATGCTCGCAGAGAATAGTATAGAGCCAGTCCAGTCAACGTTCATTAGTCGTTTCTTCGACTCCAATGATTCTCCAATAGGCCGGACAGCAAAGGGCGTGATAACAAACAGCAGAAAACAGAAAGGCGCCGATATATAGAACACCCATTTCCATTCATTTTGCTGGAGGAAAACTCCACCTAGTAGTAGTCCCAATATAGCACCAATTGCACTGCTAAGGATTATAACAAAGTTGTAAATTGATCTGCGTCGTCCTGGAATCATATCCATCAACATAGCCGGCGGAATTGATATCATCGCCGCAGCACCGCCTCCTTGGACACCACGACCAGCGAGTATTACTGGAAACAAAGGAGGTGCAACAGAGAGCAGAATTAAGCCCATAGTGAACATGACCAATCCTGCTATGAGCATGTTCCTTCGACCACAGATCTCCATCAATGCGACATGGCAGCGTTGCAGTGTTGCGTTGGCGAGGATGTATACACTAATGGGCCACAATGTATCGCGCGATGGGTTTGAATGGTATTTTCCGGCAATGCTCTGGTATTGTGTCAGATGAAGATCCTAAAATATCACAGATGAACGACTTACTGGGATAATTGGAATTAGTATCAATGCATCCATGGCAACCATCATAGCCATAAGAGCAAAGCAGCACACCATCCACCACTCACGCGAGGTGGATATCCAACCTTGTTCGATGAGTTGATCTGAATCTTCAGCTGTTTCGAGCTCAACTACATTATTGCCATCATGATTGCTGCTGTTGAGGTTAAATGTGCTCTCTGAGGCTGTGGGGTAGGTTGCGACAGTCGTTTGATCTTTCCCATGACTTGTGATGCCATCATTGCCCACTATTCTAGCAGTTTCCTGCATTGGTATTGTGTCGGACTGAGATGCCATGTTAAGATTGCGCCAGAGGAAAACGGCATGAACCCTTTCAAGAGAACCACTTGCGCCCCAACAATCCGTAAGATTGACCCTTTCATCACTGTGCAAGGAATATAAATTAAAATCATATGCCATATAAAAACATGAGTCTGGATCAATGTTTGGTGTTGTTGCTTCTCAACTAGGTAATGGAATGCTGTGTGTAACTGACGAACGGGTTGATACACGAGATAAATGCTTCACTTGCTTCAGGCTGTGGGTCAGCCAAATTAATCTGCAGGACTAGAGATGCTTGAATTGCTTCGCAGCCCAGATCATTGGTGGCATTTTATTTTGGGACGGCTTATCAGTCCGAATCTGCAGTCCTTGGAACATTCCTATGCAAGGGGTCCCGGCATTCCTGCAAGATGGCAGCACAAAGTATGTTGATTGTAACACCAATGGCTGCTTAGATATTTTCCTATCTTTTATACCTACTGGTACAGGTCGTATGTGTACTCCCTCTGTATATCTTAGTGCATTCGTGTTATCGTGCAAGATTGATAGAAGGCATCGGAAGATAGGGAAGTTCGAAGATACGATGCTTTTATTGACTTCTAAGGATATGTGCAGATTCACATAGTCTAATTATATTACAATGCTTCCTGATCACTCTCTTAGGCACGTACATGACTGAATGCGCTTCTATGACTGCCTTGTCACAGATATATCAGACGCGAAGAATGGCTTAGCTGCCACATCATCAAAGTGACACAGTAATGCGATCCTGATAGTTTGTCCGAACACTAAGAAATAACATCTCTCAATACCGCCGGTTGATCGTGTGATGATAGTCAGTTTCTTCTCTCTTGACTTCGGGGGTTCACTCCGGTAGCGTGGCCGAGTCGTAATCGTCTCTCGTAGTCGTCTCGTGATCTCATGATAGTTCTCTGTGCATTACTTGAGCTGATTGAGAAGAAGATGATTAGCGTGTATGTCAATTACCCGAATACGAAGCACTTACCACTCGCTCTTGGGACAATAGCCACATTCTCTTCCACCCCGAGGAAAACCCCTGACTGCTTTTGGTCGATTTACTTTTTGAAACTAATGTATCGCTGCTAGCCATGCTCTGTGCATCGTATTCGGTGGCATCTTTGGTAGCATCTGTTTTAGACTGCAGAGAAGCTTGCCGATTGGCCATCACGACCTCGAGGTTGGATGGCTTCAGGCGAAAATTAGGGAATCCGGAAGGCATGTTTTGGCTTTGCAGAAGAAGTGATATGAATTCGAGGTGATGATAGAATAATGATGGAGATCGAAGTTGTAGGTCGCTGTCTAGGCAATATATCCAGCCAGGGATTGAAGCTATTAAGATAGAATAATGTAGTCTTGGATTGTCTAAGTGGGAGCAAAGAATGGAAGGTGCCTCCTGTACTTATAGACATGCCTCAGGCCCGATTAACCACCAAACAGGTAGTGCACGAGTGAGTCATGTCGGGGTAACTGATCATATTGTGCCAACACACACGATATTCAAACAAACCTCGTATTGCAGACCTGTGCCAGTTACTATTTGGGAGGCCGACGTTTCCTTTCTGAGAGGCCGACATTTCCTTTCTGGGAGGCCGATGTGTGAGTCTTAAGAAACGAAGAGGCTGAGCAGTACAAACAGTGCAAACACCGCATAACTCGTTTCCTATTGCCTAATTAGGTGATTACTAATCTCTAAATCGCTTGTAGTGGGTCTTCATACTATCAACAAACGCGCTGTTTGCTCTGTTTGCATGTTTGCTCTTGACTCAACGAAAGCTTCACTTCACACCGCCGACTAAATGTGCGTCCTTGCAGACATCCGGCTCCAGAAATCACACACGTCAAGTTCATGACTCGGTATCGTTTCCATTTCCGTCGCGTTGGTCTGCAACCTCAATCGCCTTTTATCGCCATCTCGCCGAAAAGGTAGCCAGACCGACGATTCTTTGGCCCGCATCGAATTAGGATTTCCAGATCCTTTCTCGCCCACGCTCGTCGCAAACCCAGTCCAGAACTTTTGCACCACATCGACCGTGGGACGATTTATCCCTTTGGCGCCGTAACTATCAGCCCCCGTGGCCGCAACGTAATTGGTCGCATACTCCGGTCCCCAAACAGCCTGGACTTCCCACGTGTGAGGAACAATATACCCCGTGGCTACCTCGACGGGATCGAGAATGTGGTCCCGAAACAGATAAATTGGAACATTGACTTCACTCAGTGCAGTAGCGAAATCAAACGCTGGACACGAGAATCCGACGTCGCCATACATGCTCGCCAATTGGTAATACAGCGAGGACTCGTGTACCGTTACGCCTGGGAATGTCGTGGGTACTGACGAATATAAGCCGATTGCTTCGGATATGTCTTTGGTAGTTAGATCCGGATACTGCGTCGACATGAAGGATTGGATGTCATGAGTAGTATTTGCTTGTGTTGCGAAGATTATGCCCTCCGTGTTGGACGATCCGATAATGAGCGGTTTGTGTCGGGAGAAATTGCCAGCTTTGAGCATTGAAAGTGGCTGATCCGTGAACAGATCGTCATCGATGACGGGTCCATAAGGAAACAATGGAAGGTTTACTTGTCCGGGGAACGGCGGTCGTCCGATGTTCGCTGCTTGTATCTCTACGGACTCCAGAGACCGAAGACAAGTAAGGTCAGCGCAATTAGTTGCATTCAGAAGCTGATAATATTGGAGTTGATATTCCTGGACGGTATAGAACGATGGTATGTAGACTGAAGCTGCGATACCAGCATTCCATCGAGCATTATCAGCTGCATCGGCCTCGGTGTCGTTACCACCATATGCCAAAGTCTGCAACAGCACACTTCCACCGCCAACCGATGTGCCAAATAATGTCACTCTGTCGGGATCTCCTCCAAACTGGACAATATGATCTTGCACCCAACTTATAGCTGCACGTTGATCGTGGATGCCGAGATTGAGATTTCCTTCTTGTAACAACTCATCACTGGCCAGAAAGCCATAGGGACCAACACGGTAATTAAAAGTAACGACGATGACATTTCCATCGCTCGCTTCGACAATGCCGGTACCGTTATAATTCGGGTTGTATTGTTGGACAAATGCTCCTCCTTGGATCCATATCATGACAGGCAGACCATCCGATTCGCTTGTTGCGCAAGAATCGGTTTCCGTAGATCGAGGCGTGTAGACATCTATGTATAGACAGTCCTCGGACATTGTAACCGGCGGCGAGGGAAAAAGAAGTTCGTCGACACCGTAGCATACTGAACCATGCTATCAATCATTTTGTCAGGATCCATAGTTTCAACCTGATTGAGGGAAAGGAATTTCAATGTGCATACCTCCTTGGCCATCACCACTCCAGTTTCCTTTAAAGGGGCAACAGCGCGTTTAAACCGGTTTTCCTTGAGTGGTGGTGTTGCATATCGCATACCTAGAAATTGATTCACTCCATTAGACAGAGAAGTACCTTCATACGTTGCATATCCCAAGTTGACTTGAGGGTTCGATGCAGATGCGATTGATGAAACTGACAGCAGTGCCCATATGGCTCGCTGCGGAAAGTAGAGAAACATTTTTCTTAACAAGGAATTCAAAATATACCAGCAATTGCAGAGGTTTGCTTCTGGCGTCTAAGAGTACATGTATGAAGTTTGAGGAATATATGGTCATGGATCAACCAGTTGACCCGTTGCGGACTCTTGCGCAACATCATCGCGAAGCCTTCAATGTTTATATATTCACAGCTTTGAACCGTCGAAGCACCAGTCTTGGCCTTTACGTACTAATTTCTGTGTACGATCTTCCAATCGGAAAGTAATTACAAATCTTACGCCAGACATTCTACTTTTAAGGAAATTGTTTACAATATCTAAGCGAATTTGAAAGCCCGGCACAATCATATGCGATGACAAATACGGACCTCCCTCCGCATTCTCCGCTATCACCAATCAATATCTACTAGAATCTTGGAACTGTCAATCTACCTAGATACCCTGGATCGGGGGCATTCTTTATACATTTGAAATTCTCGAGATGTAGGCTCCTGTTTTTACTTGTCTGTTACCTGAAAGAGTACGATTATCTGGACTTGCACACTTCGTTTAAAGTGTCCTATAATTACCGATCTTGAGGTAACTACCTAGCATTATGCATGTCGTATGCGGACTTCCAATGGTCTCTTTTCTACTAATAGAAATGTTCTCAGGTCCTCCCATCGCAGGCGCTTCCCTTGAACAGCTTCGACATCAAAAACGAGGAGCAATTTAGCCAAAATCAATCGCATCTCCGCCCATGCAAGGTGGATGCCCATGCACGACCGAGGACCCGCGCTGAACGGCTGAACGGATGCCCGCTCATCCTGGAAGAAAGGGGAGTCAGGATCCGTGGAGGCGGCAGGCAGCCATCGCTCTGGGATGAACGTGGTTGCCAGATGGAATTTCTCAGCGTTGCGGTACAAACTGTATGGCTGCAGCGAGAGCCGTGTCTGCCAATGAATGTAAGCATGATTTCAACTGGTCTATTAGCCATAATAAACTTACACCCCCAGGTAGCCACACTCCGCACACAGTTCTACCACCCTGGGGAACTAGTCGAGGAAGCATCCATGGTACTGGGGGGCATAGCCGTAGACCTTCGTTTATCACGGCGTTGAGATACTGTAGATTGCGAACGGCATCAATGGAGATATCTAGCTCGCTTTTGAATGCTCCGCGCACTTCTTCTACAAGAGTGGCAAGCTTGGCTGGATTCTGGACCAAGTAGTTTAATGTTCCGGTCAAGACAGTAGCTGTGGTTTCGCTGCCCGCTGTTGTAAAAATCATAAAGGTCGCGTCCAGCTCGCCTAAGGGTAAGAGTGTCTCGCTGTTATCGTTGATAAGATGTGACATGATATCAGGCTGCTGAAGTTCCCAGCTCAGCCGTCGTCGTACTTTATCCACAATCTGATTATAATGGTCCTTTTGCATTTCTTTTAGCAATTGGGGAATACATTTCATTGAAAGAAATTCTAGCCATGGGTAAAATCGAGTTGCTGCAACGAATGATGCGGCCTTAACACTGTTGAAGAGGAGAGCAATCCAGGGATGATAGCGAGAGTGCTGGAGACAATCAAAAGATTCTCCAAAGCCTAATTCACCAAATATATCAAAGGTGGTGTAATGAAACCACGGAGCTATATCGATCTCCAACAGGTCTCCGCTCCCGTTTTCCACTACCCGTTCTCGCAGCCGTTGCACTAGAAGGTTTACATACTTCTGCACCAGGTGCTCCTGCGCCTTAAGGGAGCGTGTAGTAAAACCTGGTGATAAGGCCTTTCGAATATTGGCATGTTTATCTGGGTGGATGGCACTTAGCAGGGAATCAGGATGGCCCGGTTGACTTTTCCACCAGGTCGGGTCTTTCAGAAACTGTGGATTCGCTGCGTAAATATCAACCCAACCATGACCATCAGCAATACTAATCTCACCAGGAGCCGTTCGAACCAAGGAGCCATATCGGCGGTGAAGCTGATCGAAGTCGTGAACAATTGTTCCTCGAAGGAGAGCCCAAATAAAGGGGATCCGCGTGGCGGACCAGCTCCGAGGCCCTGGAACATGAGCAAGTGGGTGCCAAAAAAGATTGTACATAATCTGAATGAGCGTATACTAATTTTTGAACTCTCAGTTAATCTCCATATCATAACCAACGGTCAGGAACCTATCTTACCATTAAAGATACCGCAAAGGTGACAGTTAGAGGGCTGAAAACAGTGGTAAACAACATCTTACTGCAATACAATCAGAATGAATATGAATACACGATGATGTTAGTAGTTGGCAGGAACTGGTAGAAATATCATGTGTTGGTAGCAATGAGATATGAGATAGAACAAAGGGAAGCAACGCGCCAATAATTATAGAGTATATTAAATTGGGTGTAGTGTGCTGCAGTACATTGCATTAATCACCTAATCAATACTTGCAGGGATTAGTTACATGAATGAAATTACTGGTATTAGGTACGCCCGATCCCTCATCGTTATCATTTGCTAGCCATTCATATGATTTGATTGATCCAGAAGCAAAGAAGTTGAAAGAACGCATGAGCAGGAAAACGATGTTTTATTGGTCTGTCCTCTTCTCACTTCTACATGCGATTCCTGTCCCTTTTATATGTGTGGTTCCCATACAAATCCATGACTCCAATTCTGTCAATCTATGTGTCGATAAACATTCAAGAATGAGCTCGAATTAGGGGTAAAATAGTGCCAAATAGTGTTGTCAAATAGATTCACACGCCATGTTCTTTTTCAGCGTAGTCGTAAAATATGGCCATCACTGGCATGAGGGCCATTCTAACCGAAACAAGAGCTCGTAATTCATGTTCACTCACACTCAGCCACTATTTCTTAAAGGTGGTTCGCATATACTACACTAGAATATTCACAGTTGAATTGAACATCTCACTCCTATACCCTGGAAGGAATAGCATAATGTAGCCTCAACCATTGCTGTCTGCGCTCTCTGCTATTGAAAACCTTTCGAATTCGCTGTTTATCGTATAAAATGTCGTCTAATAGATTATTTCCTACGAACTTCTGTCATTCTGTGCGGCCCCCTCACATGCAGGGTATCTGGGTTGCTCCCCGAACGGGGCCGAGCTCTCTACCTACATTTGCAGGTAGAGGGCCAGCCAAATAAGAAAATAATATATGTCCGTTGTCGGGTATCGGCGCGTAACTTGTACGGTCACTTACCGAGGGACATCAAGTTACGTGCATATACAGCAGCTTACGGGTAAAATACTACCAATGCAGGCAGGGATTCTGATAACTGTTTGTCCCCCCCCAGTCACCACCCAAAGAGTCAAACAAAGGAGCTAAAAGCGATGTTTTCCCGTGAGGATCCAGAAGAAAACATCGCCAGTCTCACTATCACCATCCTCATCAATCAATCTTATATCTTTTTGTATCATCGAGAAGAAAACATGGGAGCCTAATTCTCCCAGGTTTTCCCTTCGCGCCCTGGCTTCCAGCTCGAAAAGCTCTCCTCGCAAAAGGAAAGGGTGTTTATTTTTACTGGAGCCACCTCAGGCATTGGCTTCAAGGTTGCTGTAACCCTTTACGCCAAGGCGGCAAAGTCTATATCGCTGGTCGCTCCCAAAAGAAGGGCCAGGACGCTATCGAAGCTATTCTACGCACTGTGCCACAGAGTAAAGGCATATTGGAATTTTTTTCACTCTCTTTTCCTCACTCTGGTGACTTGACGACCATAAAAGACTCGGAGGATGTCTTTCGAAGCTATATGAACTCTGAATCCATCGTGCAGTGACCCCGAAATCGACGGCTGCGATGAGAGCGAAGGAGGATAATGGAACTGGGCTGGCAGAGGAATTTTGGGAATTTTCGGATAAAAAAACGCGAGATTATTGTTAATGTACCTATGTCCCAACTTGCTATTTTTGCATAATTTATACTAGCTCTGACGCTGTTAGCTGTCATGACGAGCTCTCTTTTCGACCATATGCAGTTGACCAGATATACCAACTACCAACCTCTTTTGATGATATGTAGATATATAGATATATATTGTATTCTATTAGGCTTTTAATCGAACCTTTGTATCCACTTCAATTGCTATGCATCCGGTGAACCCTGGTTACCTGGTTCTGTGAGCCACCAACAACCACTTGTTGCCTAAAAATGAATGCATTGAAGGATATTTAATGAAAAGCAATGAGCTCAGTAGCACTAGGTAGAAAACCGTGAAGAATCCAAAGATGCAGGTACTAATCTCCTTTTCATGTCACGTCCTTCTCGACACTCACCTCGCCAGACATTCAACTGGCCATATTGGAATTGGTATCGGACGGGTTTAATGCTGACTTTGGAGTGTGAAGGAGAGAAGTTTTAGGTCCTCAAGTCTATTCTCTGTAAACACTCCCTGGTCTTTTCAAAAGCGTGTAATGACTACTTTTAGGCACGATCGGAGTTCTCGAAGACTCATCATTGGAATAATAGGTTATTGAATCAATTAAGGAAGCGTCAGCCGATGTGATATCGGTCACTGAATTTAATGTAACAGCTTTGGGCGCATGCTTGAGTCTTGACATCATGTACGAAGGAACATACAACGCTAACATCTCAGGCAGTACAGAGAAATCGGAATATGACAGTGGTCCTGGTATTTAAAACTTAAATTAAAAAACTAACAAAAGACTGTAAATATAATATAATAAATATTATACTTATTCTAATAAATTTTCCTCTATACGCATCGTTAGATATCAGGGCATGGTATCATGTATCATCAGAAATCAGCCCTAAACTCCCTAGCATCACCATAACATCCTCACCACATTTCCACGCAATAACGCATGACAATATGATTGCCGAAGTACATAGATGTTCGCTAATCAAAAATATCCACAGAAAAATCGCAATCTATAAACAAGCAATCCCAAATTTTCTTTACAAAAATACAGCAAGACCAGCTTACTCGGCTGAAGAAGGGCCGAGGTTCAATGTCATGCGGACGGTCTCAGGGCAACCGTGAGTGGCATGGTCGTCGGTGGGGATGAGATAAGCATCAGCACAGGCAGAGTCGCCAGGCTTGCAAGTGGCCGAAGGGCAGTTGCCGGAGTCATTGGAAGTAACCGCGAAACCAACGGTGGTGAAGGTAGAGTTGCTACCCATGTTGATGCAGGAGAGATCCCAGAAGATGGTGGGGTCGGACAAGGTGTACTCGTATTGCAAGACATCGGACTGGTCGGGGGTTGTGGAGATCTTGATGGAGATACCGCCACCGTCAGGGTTGAGGCGCCAGTCCTCGGAGTAACTCTGGCCGCCGGGGGTGAGAGTGACCATCTCGGCATCAGCTGTATTGCTGACGGACCACAGGTAGATGGTCTTGTCCATGTTGTTGATGATATCGACACCACCAGCGGTGCTGTTGTCACGACGCTCCATGGCAGTGGGGAGAGCAGAAGCCAAGGCACCGAGAGAGGCGATGGCAGCAATGGTCTTGGTGAACATCATTTTGTATATGTTGTGGGAAAGAAAGCAATCAAATGAATGAAGAATTGCAGATAGTCTGAAGGAGTGACTATTAAAGAGAGTGTTGGTCAAAAAGACAGCGAATGTAACGAAAGAATGAACACCCTTCAAGGAGAGCTTTTATTGATGTAAAATGAATGAGGTGGACGAGGAGAAGAGAGAGAAGACATGATCAAGGACTCATGGGTCATTTTATACCATTTGACTACAGACGTTTTCTCGGGACGAAGGATGAAAATTTTCATTTTTTCCCTCTCGTCCTCTTTGATAATCAGCCGATCGACAGCTGTGCTAGCACATCCATCCTATCACAGCCAGGAGAGGGCAAACCCATTGTTTGTTCTCTCCCTGTTCCTATTCTTGTTCCTGTGCCTGAGTCAAAGCCCGGGCTTCAACTCTAGAACGTAGCTTATGGTCCATGGCGCTCGATTCTCGACCGGTCTGTGGAAACTGCGCTGATTAGCTGCGGGGAAGCCCTACTCCAGTTTTTGGCTACTGGTTGCAAATCACTTTTTTATCCGAGTGACCGAACCAGGGTAGAAAAATTGAGCGAGCGAGAAAAACTGCGCAACAATATTGCGACTGTCCTATGAGAAGTAGTGTAGAGCTTCTGGAAGCATAGAGAAATGAAAAGACTCTAGACCCATGGGTCCATCAGGCCCATAATAAAAAAGCCCTGGCGCCGGCTCGACAAATAAGGTTAAAATAAGTGCTACAAACTCCACTGTTGGCGCTCGTAATTGGCAGATCAGCGACGGATCAATCTTTAATTGATCACCCAAATACGCGAAAACTGGGGTATCAACACGTGTTGTGACGGAACCGTGGCAAGAAGTGAAGCCCGATGTTTTGAAAAAATTGCGGCGTCTGGACAGAAGTGGTAGTTCACATGAAAATCAGGAACTCCACCCAAAAGTGAATAAGGACCCTCTACGCCCCTCATCTAAGCCCTGGTCTAGACCTAAAAGTGGCACAATAGGTATGACGCGCAATCACCTACCATATATGTCACCGGTATCCGGGTTGATGGAAGGCTTATATCGGCGGTCCGTTTAAAAGCGCTGTGAGAGCAGGAAAAAAATATGGAAGAACAAAATATATTTTCTACAGCTCAGATCCGCTAAGCTGATTCCAAAATAGACGACGAATTGAACAATGCTATATACAACGAATATCCATGTGCGACTTTGGCGGTCCGTGATCCGTAGGCAACGAGGTTTCAAATTTCGAAACACCCCGCTCTAGTTGTACGTAAACAGGACGAGTCCATCAGGGTAGACACTGATGTTGTCAGAGTACTTCGCTTCGCTTGTGCCATCCACTTCAATCATGTTAGTCACGCCAACCGTATTGAGAGTGTACACTCTCAGACCGGTTGTCGAACCCGCCACACGGAAAATCTCGCTCTGACAGGCTTCTCCGTTACCGGCGTTTGAGCAGGTTGTGCTGTAGTCGTCGAAAAAGCTGTATAGACCAGCTCCGTAGATGTAGATCGTGTTGCTGTTGGTAACGTACAGACCGAGAGCATCACAATTACCGGAGAGGCAGGTGCTGTAGTTTGGATCGTTCAGGGTTGCGTTGTACGCATAAGGACCTGACTTGGCATCTGGGCTTGGTTGATAGTAAGGAGTTTCGGTTTGGATAAATCCAGCCACCACATTGGAGGCCCCGGAAAACGAGTACTGATAGAGCGAATGATGCTCCACAGCGGTTCCATACCTGATAATTGTCAGTATTGGTCCATAGAAGGCGATCGCGGTCGGTGGGAATCTAGAACCAAAAGATTGACGCTAGAAGGCCCCGCTGCTGGGTTTGAGAATACTTACAGAATGATATCGCTGCCTTCAATAAGAGCACCACGACCAGTGTAGATTGAGATTTGAGTGTTGGAAGCATCGTCGATATCGTGATCAGCAGTCCAAAACCAGTTGTTTTCTAGGTAAACGTTCTTTGCCGAACTTGTGATGTGCAGCGACGTAAAGCCTGCTTCACAAGCAGCACTAACGGCTGCGGTTTTCGGGCAGTTGGCGACTTGTAAATCAGAGCCAGTGAAGCCACCAATACGAGTGTGAACGTCCCAAAGACCAGATCCTTGGCTTCCGTTTAGATTGTACTCGATCAAGACGGCACCAGCGGCACCACCTTGGGTGCTGACGATTATGTCAGAAGCCTCGATGCTGCCAGAATCGCCGGGTTTACCAACTTGCACGACCGGGTAAGGTAGCTCGATGTTGGAGAACTTGCTGCCACTTCCCATAATCGTGGGATAGGATTCACCAACAACGCGAGATCCAGGAGGAATGTATATAGTGTCGGTGACGCGGTAGATACCATAATCAAAGAATGCGATACTTCCAGAGGCTGCTGCGGAGTTGAGCGCAGATTGAATGGCAGCGGTATCATCAGTAGAACCGTCACCCTTTGCACCTGAGCTGCGCACGCTTACCACGCTGCCTGTCCCGTAAGTCTCATATTGGGGCTTGCTCTTGGTGAAATATTTGGATGAACCACTTGCCAACAACCCAGAGGGACGTGAAGCAGCGTTAAAAGCGCCATTCAAGACACTAGGTCCTGTAGGAGTGTACTCATGTCCTTGACCAAACCCGGAAATTGTCGTGGTACCACCAGCCAAGTAGACGCCGTTGGGACCTTGGATCGCAGTGGGCACATTGTTCAATGCCACATTCTCAATAATGAGGTTACCTGCGCCAACAGGAGAGGAGCTGGTAGTCCATGCAGTCTTGAGGAAGGTATTGGTGTTGGTAATGGTGCTGTCAATAATCGTCACAGATCCTGCGGCAATAGCTGAGGATCCACCAATAGAGAAGTCAAAGGCAGTTGTGCAACTGCTAATGGTAAGACCCGAGTAGGTCCAACCCCAATTCCAGATCTGGCTAATGGCGGTTACAGCATTGGAAATGGCGACATTTCGCATGGTGAATTGCTGATTGCCAACGTTTAGACCATAGAGACCACCAGTAATAGTCACATCAGTGAGGAAACCACCAGAACCTAGAGACCAACGTGTTAGCGTCTTGTGTACGTGCAACTTGCTTACAAACTGGCAGCTGTTTCTTACCATTTTCAATAAAGATACCCTGCGCTTGAGTACCGGAATCGGCATTGAGCTTGATTTCCACATTCTGCAGACTTGTGGCCTGAGCAGTAGGCCAATGGATACCAGTCGATCCACCAGAAGCCGGGATGGCAGTAAGATCCAAAACTAAGTTTCGGATTTGACGATAGAAGACGTTTGTCGATGTCCAGCCTTGGTTACCGCTAGATTGGTATTGATCTCCATCAATCAAACCGAGACCTGTAAAACCTGCAGTTGCCTTGAGAACAGCGGGAGAATTGGGGTTACCGATCAATTGAGTGAAATAGTAATCAATGATTGATGACGAAACAATGTAAGTACCGGCAGGGAAGTAGACGATAGCTGGAGTTGTCGAGGATGTCTCTCCGGACGAAGGACCGAAACGGCCACCACCGCTGATGGCGCTGTTGATAGCGGCAGTATCATCAGTCACACCATCACCTATCAAAAAGCAGTTGTTAGTAACATGATCCCGTTTCCATTTTCCTCGCTTTTGAGAGATTATCAAGTCCACTCACCAGCAGCACCATAGTCTTTGACGTTTCTAAACACAACGTATCCACTCTGTGCATATGGTGCATGCCCTTGATGGGCGATATCAGCCAGCCAATACGATGGATCGCTCACAGCTGCTGCATTGAGGGCATGTGCTTCTGCAGTGGCTGACGCTACAGCTGCAGCTGCAGTTCCAGTCGGTCCATCATAGTGCACATAGTCGGAGAACTGCCTGAGGGCAGAGCTCACTGCACGCTGCACTTGCGGGATCTGAAATTGCTCTGCGCCTGTACTGGCTAGCAATATGCTAGATGCAATCAAAGAACGGAAACGCATTTTGCTCCGAGTCTACCGCCGGCAAAGTTCTCGTTCAAGCAAAATCAATCACTTCACTAAGACGGACCGTGTACTACTCAAATAATCAACTCCGAAGGGGGGAAGACTTCATTTGTACTGCTCACGGGTCTAGTAATCACGTCACTCTCACCTTCAAATCTCTTCTTACTTCAGTCAGCAGGCCCGAGGTGGAACCCATGGTAACATCGTGGTTGATCAGTAGCTCGTTGTGTGAACTGTGTTAGCTGTGTGGGAAATAACCGGCTTTTTTACTCGATGATACCTACATTCAGGTCAAGATGGGTACGACATAGTAAGAAAATTACACATCTTGAATCTTTTTCCTCCTTACTGTTCTTCATCAAGTTTAGTGCTAAACATTCTGCTTGGCTCGATGCTCCGCGCAGGCATGCTGGCACCGGCGCCACGAGCACCAATGCCTCGGACCACGCATGTGTGGAAACGCGTCTCCAATCAATCTGCCCCAAAGAGTCCCTTTTCCCCGTGTACAGTCACATCGTGATGAAGACAGAGATCGGTTCCTGGTTGAGAAGGCCAGGACCTTTTAGCTATTAGTGTTACTACTGTAAGGCTCTAGTGTGCAGTCAGGAGCGACGATAATCAAGGCGATATCAAAGCCGTGATTTGAATCCACGAATGAGCTACTTGATAAATATTTAGTGCGATGGATCATTAAGCCACACACTAAATAGCCCCATGGGACATTGCAGACATCTACCCAAGTGCCGGCCAAATCATCGACTCCGCATTGTATCCCCATTTCCTTCCATACTACTACCCCGCCAAGCAAAATAACGATGGAAAAAAAGAGGGAGAACAAAAGCTCGGCATATCATCTGATTAATACCGGTTGTGCGCAGAGCATCTGACTGTCAATTCATGCCCAATGATGCGACGGACCCATAGTGCCTGGTTCTGTGCGTGAAGGAGCAAATGACCATTTAACGCCACCATCAGCATCATGCTTCTCTAGTAGTTGGTACTGTAGTATTTGAATTTTGGACTATCGTAGAACACTCATTTCTAGAATTAGGGCCGCGAACTAACGGATTAGCATACGAGTTAATCTACAAGCGAGCACACCGGTTGGTGAGTCATGATATTAGCGGATTGGTGCAGAAGTTTAGCCTGTTTAGCATTGTCACTAAGCTTCAGCCACTCACTTAGCCAATGTGGGCATTTACCCAGTTTGGTGTGTCCATCGGACAGTCAACCAGTCAGATAAACAATAATCGGCTTTAGCCTCGGTCTTGGAGGTGCTGATCCCCCGCTGCAAGTTTATTTGATGGGCTCCTGTTTCGAGCATTCTGCAGGTTTGTGTTACCGGTAGATGAGAGGTCGACAAGCATCTTCCATCTTGTCTGGGGTAGTATTCTGGGGTACCTATCACAACTTACTCTGTACAATGTGTATCTAACCTTAATAATGATGTAGTCATACAGCAATCTTATGCAAGTGCTGCTGGATTCTTCTTCGTATGTGAGTCACAGTGATACCTTGTCCATATTATCTACGACCAAGTCGCAAATACACGCCACGTAAGGCCTCGACCCTACAGTAGCAGAACAAGAGGGAAATAACGATATCGTTTGTTCACAGCATGTATAGTTCATGCAGGTGAAATATTTTAATATCTGTTTAGTTATGCAAAGTATCATGTATTACTGGTACAAACTTAAGCGTGCTGGATTTTCCGGGACACCCACTCGCGAAGAAGATTGGACCGTTAATTTAGGTATGTTACATGATCTTAGTCAGTCTACACAGAATGCGTGTGAGTCCTATGACTTGAAACATGAGAACGTCACATGATATGGTAAATTTTCTAGTATCCTTCGAGTCATTTGAAAACATGTATTGGTTTGTACATTTGTATCACGTTGAGTCAAGCGAAGTTTGTCGAGGGGTCACGACTTGAGTAACCATTGAAAACCCAAGCCTATGTCGGTCGGCTCAATTTACAGTACCACGAAATAAGTGTTCGCACCCCTGTGCGGGTACTAGGGTTATGGGGGGTGCGGACACTTATTTCATCCCACTGCATGTACCGACATATATCCACACAAGCACGAGGGACTACATAACGAAACGATCAAGCACCAGTCGACTGTTCATGATTTTTATAATCGCTTGGATATGTGCTATTGTCTCAAACTATACCGTTATCGCTTATTGGCCAAGTCGAGATATGCATTTTGCTCGCTCAGGAATACATAGATATACTTTGCCCACCGTGGCAATCTACCAATAATGCACTATGATGGAAGCAAGTAATCATCTCGGCTTCGCGTTCCGCTTGCCACGATATATCAGCATCGGAGAACTTAAATCCCAGTATATAACTTTTATCCGTAATTACATATTTTCCCTCATCTCCGATTTCAATAGAGTACCTAGTCAATTCTACTGTTCGAGGGATCCAAATCGGTAATAAAGGATTGTTCTATATCTGAGACGCGGGTTGAACTCTATAGAATAGCCCATATTCTCATCTACAATATAATAAACCCTGGACGCAGAAGCAGACATGATGGCGGAGACACAAGAGTATGGTCACCGAGCCCCAACATCAGAGTAGGTATCAGCTGAGCTAACACAGACATCTTGAAGGCCCATCTCCACGCCACAATATAAGCCTCATCCAACAGAGACTATGAAAGCAGCCCTATGGATGGGTCGACGACAGATCGAAATCGCCGAGGTTGCCAAACCTTCCATCACCGAACCAGCCGATGCTATCGTTCGAATTACCCATACCACGATTTGCGGCTCGGACCTCTACATATATGAAGGCGATCTAGACAGGTCCATGGAGAAAGGCAGGATTGTGGGCCATGAGGCTATTGGCTTTGTGGAGAAGATTGGGAGCGCCGTGAATCGTCTCAAGGTCGGCGATCGGGTTATTATCCTGCCCATCATTGCCTGTGGACATTGCCGGTACTGCGAAAACCAACAATTTGCATTATGTGATACCACCAACGGGTCCAAGGAGATGGAGAACAAGTACGGCTATCGACTTTCGGGTATCCTCGGATCTTCAGAACTGATGGGAGGATATTCCGGCGATCAAGCCGAGTATTGTCGCGTACCAAACGCAGATTTGACTTGCATAAAAGCACCCAATGATATCTCTCCGAAGAAGCTCTTGGGTTTGGCAGATGCCACAACGTCTGCTTGGCACGGATGTGAATTAGCCGAAGTTGGGAAAGGCGATATTGTAGGTGTTTGGGGCTGCGGAGCCGTGGGTTTGTCAATCCAGCGCCTTGCAAAGTTGCGTGGAGCTAGTAGAGTATTTGCAGTCGACAAAGACCAAACTAGATTACAGATTGCGAAGAGCTTTGGCATGACCCCGGTCGATGTGGTGGCACATCCCAATGTGTCCGACTACATTCTGTCGATCCAGCCTCACGGGCTAGATTGTGGTATAGAAGCCAGCGGGTTCCGTAGCATCAACACGCCAAAGCATGCGGCAATGCGGTATATGAAAGCCGAGTCTGACAGTGGCGATACTGTTCATGCAGTCCTGAAAGCTACTCGCAAAGGGGGGCACATTGCACTGATTGGTGACTTCTTCTGTGGCACCAATGACTTTCCTATCGGAATGCTTATGGAAAAAGGAATTACCGTAAGAGGCGGGCAAAATTTCGGTCCAAAGGTATGTACTTTATTTTGAGAATACCACAGCATGTGATAGTGTTTTGACCTGATTTTCACAGTACTACCCACATTTGCTTAACCTCGTGATTGAGGAGAAATACGATCCTTCATGGATGTTTACGTACGATGGTAAGTTCGTTTGACATGCATCCGGTCTGGACAATTTTTTGATGCGTAGATTCCATGTTTAGATGAGTTTGAGAACATTAGCGAGGATTATCGACTATTCGCTCGACATCAGATTCCTGGCGGACTCAAAGTCTGTCTAACAACAAAATATGGTCGTCAAAAGTATGGATAATAACTAATCAGTAGAGTGAAAAGAACGGATTGAAAAGTTGTACACACTTATACTATGCAGCTCAGTGGCCCTGCTCAGACAGACTTTATATGCACTTGGTCGAAACGGCTGTCTCCCCATATCAATGATGTAAAATCAGCATTTGCTGCATGCGAGCATCTGTGCGAGTCTGCACAAATCCTCTCGCAACCCAGGTCAGATAGCTGTCAACTGTATATCGATCAGTCCCTTTCGCTATCATATGCCATATTAAATTTCCCCATGGGGTAAAATCGGCCCATTTCACTTGTAGTCTGGTCAGTCAACCAATTCTCTGAGGGCTTGTAAACGCACGTGCCGCGCACGGCCTGGAAGGAGCCAGACTTGATATTTAACTAGGGGTCAGATGGAATATACTACTCGTCGTTATTATCAGCACCGTCATATTTTCCTTATTCTAGACTGCTAAAGCCATCGATTGTCTTATTAGTCAAGGCTGCACTGCATACATCAGCTACAAATCATAAGTGATCCTCTTCCCCGACAACCATCAATATTACGCGCCGAGGACAATGCGTCGATTCAATAGGAGAGTACTTTCTCGATCTTGCCCGGACATAGTATTTCCATCCACACGCTTCAAGACAAGCCAACCTCTCTCACTGCCCAGGATATTGCCTCTACCCCATCTGGTACTTGGGCTATGGGTGTGTGCTGCAACATCTCGGAGATTTCTTTCACAAGATTTTTCCCATAGGATCCAACCCACCACGTCATTTTGGTATTTTTTCCCATTCGATCAATAAGAGCACCAAAATATAATGCAATCAGTAGAGCCATAGGCTCAGCTTGTTTCACAGCCGTGAAGAACTTCTGATTCACTGCGAAGACTATTGTCCAACAATAGTTTTGAAATACGCCTCTTGCATTCTCGCTAAAGCTATATTTGATGTGCCTAATAGCGGCTTGGTATATCTCATTTTCGCCCGAAGGTTGCGTAGTCACATTTCCATCATCGTCTGTAGCTCGGATCTTGATTTGGTAGCTAACAGCCGTAAGTCTCTCAAGAGCGGCTTGAGTTGACAGATCTAGAAGATGGAAGAATCTTAGATCCAGTCCTCGGAGTAGTTCTGTGTGACATGGGGGTCTAGAATCTCCTTTGTTGTCCAATAGTAAGTTATTCGCACTGACCAGCATATCGAAAGTTGTACAAAGTAGCTTGAATGGCGATGAAGGAGGGGTAATGATCAAGTTGAAGACCGTCAGGAAAAAAGAAAAAATGTACAGTAACTCCACGTTCCTCTGACCGGTTGTGCTGAGGTAGAGATTCATATCACTCATTGCGCTCGTATGATATTCGAGTGCTAGTCGCGTGTAGTCTTTTTGTCCTGAATAGACCAGATCGGCCGCCGCGATTGCAAAAAAGCTTTTTAATAGAAAGCCATTTGCTAACGCAGCTCGTGGCAAGCTTTCCCCGAGGTACTCCACATCCTGTGGGATGGTATACAAGCCCCATAAGGTTCTTGTAAGCCATCGGTGCATTAATTGCTGTTCCAATCGCCTATCTAGCTCCATCGTGCTCGAAAAAGCACAAGGCGAGCCGCTTAATGACGTATTGAGTGGCTGTCCTATAGTAATGGCAGACTCCTCATCATTTTGGGATCTCTCGGGTGGTACGTTGTTCGTTGCTATTTGATTCTCGTATTCCATAACAATTTTCGTTGCACGCCCAGTTTGAGACCAATGTTTTCTGGTCGCCTCTGCCCAAGATACTCCTCCGGTCATGGACTGGAATCGGTACCTTTGCACTCCAGAACCCACGCAGGAAATATTGAGACGTAGACACCGCGAACACTTCGGCTGTAGTAAGTCGCACTACATAAAAAACCAACATCAAAATCACTTGATACTCGATATAATTGTCTCATTCACCGTATCTTAAGACCCACCTTCTTCTTTACCCTTTTGCAGGCCTCACAAGCCTTGCTGGATGGGACTCCCGGCATCGCAACGAAAACGACAGTAATTTTGACATCCAAACAGTCTATTTGGCGCAGTCCCACATGAAAAGTCGATTACCTGCCATCCAAGAAAATGCAGAACCATCGTAAGTCCACTGAAGAGAATCAATCGACAAAAATATCAGCAGAAATGGCCCCGGTCGGCGGTCATCTTGGCAGACGCTAGGTGTAAGTATGCTACCCAATCGTGGACAGCTAGCCGAGACCAGGGTCATTTAGTGCTCCGTGATGTTGGACTGTTTGCTGTTGTAAGTTGTAAGTTGTAAGTTGTAAGTTGTAAGTTGTTGTTGAAACTTGTTTTCTGCTTACTCTGATTCTAGTCCCTGTATCGCATCTCTAAGTGATGATCACTACTCTAGAGCATCCCCGTTGTAGGGTAGCGTCAAAACTTTACGATAACCTAAATCAAGATAGGTTAAAGCAAAAAAAAAGAAAACAAAGACAACAAAAGAGACAGAATTCCTCTGTGAAGGGGTTTTTGGCACTGTCGTTTGAAGCAGATCAGAGCGATAGTCGGTTATTGCTATGGTTTTTCTTCTATGTCTAATGGTGACCAAATAATATACAGCAAATGAGGAAGCCACTGAACTTTGATAATGTCAGGTCCCATTGTTCTCTAAGCTGACAGTTTGGTCAGCGACAAGACTTACGTCGACTCGATGACAGTTTCGTAGATAGTGAAGTAATTGCACCCGAAATTTAGATCTAAGCTTCGTAAGTTCAGGCAAATGATGCATACATGATGAATCAGAGAACTTACACTTAGTCTAGCCAGATGTGTAATCGTACCACGCCACAAGGTTGTGGCGCCCTCATTCGAAAGGATGGATCTCAAACAATTAATAATACCGGTGTAGCGTTGTCGACGGTCGATGACCTGAAGTCTAAATTTTGAGTATATCAAAAGGCATAGCCGCGGATACAGCGATCACTCCTGCTAATTCACTCGCAATAACAGTTTTGTCTTCGAGGGTCTACTGTTATGACTGATTTGAATCTTTCAGGCCCGCAATTGATTCAACAACATGTTATAACTGGTGTTCGTGACGGGAAGAACACCGCGATATAACCCTTACACTCCTTCAGTCGACACTATGGTCCAGCAGAAGTGCGGACTTGCATCCTTTTGATGAGCAAAATGCCATACTTCCTGAGTAAAGATGAGAGATGCCAAGTTCGTGACTAGTTATTGATGAGAATATGTAGCGCTGTTTGATGGGGGGGTTGACAATTGCTAAGGAGTTTTGAAACATTCAGAGGATACTGCTTCGTGTTAGATAATTGAGGGGTTATCGGCAAGTGTATGCTGTAATCTGCCAATGCTGTTTTACATGTGATAAGACTCTCTACACCACCGGCCGCGAACCCAACCAAAATTGACTGCGCCGGCGAGACTTCTTCTTGGGACATAACCTCACTTGGATATGATTAGGGCTAACTGATGTTTAACTCCAATATTCGAGAGAGAACTTGAAGATTGGATCTGAGACAAGATTATACAATAAGATATTAAAATAAATGTTTTTTAAAGGATACTATTTATAGAGAGAGTATTTACGCAAGTGATGATACTTATTTCGTGACTCTTTTGGTCGTTATCCCATTATTTAAATCCAGGCGCACAACCTAGGGTTTCAGACATCACTTCTCCAATTACTTAACAACTTCGATACGAAGGAGGCGTGAAGTTGTGCATTTCCGGTCTATGGAATTGTCCGTGTATGGTCGGATTCCTCCGGTCCACCCCTTGAGCTTCCCCGCAGGTATGAAACAACGCGAACTGTCTCTAGATCTTTACATGCTAGAAAAGATCAATACGTCAAGATTATATTTCATTCACAGTAAATTACTTCTCAATAGTCGTTTTGAGAGAAAACACTTCACTAGACAGGCATGGAATATAAAGAGAATCTTTTCCCCAACGGTGGTTGGGATGTTCACCACCATATCTTCGATCGTATGTTTTGAGAGATCCGCATGTCCATACTTTTTCCATATTGCTTATCTTTACTATGCAGCTGCCAGATTTCCCTATCACCCAAACAGACATCTTACTCCGCCGGCTGCAAAGACCGAAGAATATCTTGCTTTTCGGAAGAGGCTTGGGATAACCCATTCGGTGCTAACACATGGATTATCATACGGCGACGATTGCACCTCCCTCGGCACATTTGTGCCCGAACTCGATTCTAGCAAGACTAAGGCTATCGGAGTCATCGACCCATACATGATAACCTCAGAAGAAGCCGAAAGTATGCGTGTTGTTGGTATTTGTGGGATTCGAGTCAATCTATATCGATACCAAGCAATGCATGATATTGAGCGACAAAAGACCGCTTTGCGTGATCATGCACAGCTTTTGCAAAAATATTGCCCTCGCTGGAGTATGGCATTTACGCATATACACCCGGAATTTTGGACCGAGTTGAAACCGTTCATTGAACAGGAAATTACTCCCACCGGCATCCGGTTGGTTACTGATCACTTTGCATTGCTTAAGGGATCCAGTATGCTGTCAACTGAGAATCGTGGTAGTGAAGGTGATATTGACGTAACGCAACAACCGGGATTCCAAGCAATCACAGATCTGATGCGAGCTGGCCATCTCTTCATCAAAATCAGTGCACCATATCGAGTTAGTACTCAAGCTCCAGATTACAGCGATCTAAAACCATTAGTGCGAGCATTTTTTGAAACAAACCCAGAACAAATTTTATGGGGAAGTGACTGGTATGTATTCTTATGAATTATCCTTTTTCAAGACCCATGTTTGGTCGTTAACTTACATGCAATCTCTCCGTCACAGGCCGCATACTCCACACATGAAAGTACGCACGCATGAAGAAGCAATGTCCATATCGCCCTTCCTTGAAGTAGATGACTTTGCTTGGCTTAAGAGTTTACGAAGCTGGCTTTCTGACGAGGAGTGGAACTTGTTGATGGTTGCAAATCCTAGCAAGTTCTACGGGTCATAGCACGCATTTCAGTGACGATTCTTGAAAGGATATTCTTCCTGAACGAAAGCCTGTTGAGCCATCACGCAAAATATCAGATCACCTGTTGCGTTCTAAAGAATAGTCACTAGAAAGCCATTATTTCATATGTCTTTGTGCAATAGTACCAAGTAACAGGCTTCTCAAAGTATTCAATTTAATCAAGTCATGCCATGCGTTGCATTGAAGGTAGCAGATCTTATACAATGATGAGATCTAGACGCCTATTTTTGCTACGACCGTATCGAACGCACTGCCCGAAATATGATTAAGTAACTCAGTATAGAAATCGCAGGGTAAAGCATGCGACATCCAATTAGATCAAGATTTAGTGGATTCCCCCGTGAGTTGAGACCTTCTGCCTGGCAGTAGGCGCATCCCATAATATCTATACCAACAAGATATCAGTACATATGATACCTGGTCTCCAGGACTAAGAAATATCTTATTACAATTACTTTTCAGGTTCTTCAATCACAACTACTAAGCGGTTTCTTCTTTACTCTATTCTATAGGTCGGGCCCGGGTGGTTTATACAACGCACCCACAGGTATCTTGAAATCAATCGGATTCGATGCCTAGTTAGTGTTGCTTTTCACGGCAGTGTATGGTACAATCGAGCTTTTGTTAGTCTTCTTCTACGCCTTTTACCTGCTTTGGTCGCCGTTCACTTCTCATCATCGGCTCCGCCATCGATTTCTTGTGCTGAATTTATCTCGCAGATTATCTCGGCAAGAGTAACACCGCTAATGCGACGACCTCCGGCAACATTTTTGCCGCTGCTATCGTTGCAGTAGCAATGTGCCTCTTTGCTGTGAATTATGGATTCGTACGGGCTCCCGAATTGTAATTCACGGTGACCTCTGGATCCTTCCCAAGGATATCCTGGTGGGAGACCAACACGATGTTGTAGTTGTACCCCCATTATTGATGGAACAAGTTGCTGCACTCTGTGAGGAGCGCTTCGAGATTGATAAAGAGACATTCGCAGCTCTGCGCGCAAGGAGCCGATGGGGCGGACGATCAAGCGATTGCGGAAGTAGCAGCGACAAAATAATTATGCTGGATCTGTCGATGCCGACAGACCTTTGTAGCGCTGAATTAAATGGATCACTTTATTCCTGAACGAATCGATATCCCGTGCAAGTTCCTTGGCTGGGCTTTTTGGCAGGGATCGTAATGGCATTTTCGAGGTTGGCAGGGTCATCATTTTTGCCAAAACCCCCTGGCGATGCTGACTTTACTATGTATAATGTCCTCTAGATAATAGTGCTTCGTGCAGAAGGTGCGTGGTATTAAACCCGAAGGATGGGAACAGACTAAAAATAGACAGGAGCAATACGCTTAATTCTGGCGAGCGCAAAGAGAGCTAAGCCTCATCCGACGCGCCGCGCTTTCCCCAAAAGAGTTTCTGCTCAGAGGGACCCGCTTTCCCTCTTTCTTCTCTCGCACCACATCTTAACTTCATCATCTCTACATACTACATACATACATGCCCACTCGAAACTCAACACGCTAATCTTGTAGCGCAGTCTGTGCTGCTAGCCAGGGGATGTTAATTAATAGCCAACACCATGTCAGGCATGCTAATGCATGTTGAAATCACATCGCCTGTCCACAAGGCGCCTCTTGGCTATAAAGACATCGCCGCGTCCACCACAGCAATTAAACTTGTACTTGGACTTGGCCAGCATTGGCATTCGTCCCTAAGCTTCCACAATGGTTATACTCGAAGAAAAGGACGATGGCGATAACAAGGAACGCAGGGTGCGCACTAGTCACCCGAAGGTGCGCACTGGCTGTTTAACGTGCAAGTAAGGCTGGCTCTCCACACTCCCCCGCAAAAGGCCCTTTTTCTCGAAATCTGCTTTATTTCATACACGATTATTGAAGCAATTGCAATCGATGTTGCTGCTGCCTCTATCTCATTACCACTGATCAGTAGCACTAACGAAGAGTAGACGCCGGCACAAAAAATGTGATGAGAATCGCCCCTCATGTCACAGGTGTGTCAGTTCCGGACGAGAATGTGAAGGATACTACGCCAGTACCGATAAGCAAGTCAAAACTACTCGACCTGTCAGACAATATGTTCCTATAATACCCAAAACATCGTCAGCCCAGAAAGCCCAACCAAGGCTGGCTGTCTCTCCCTCTTTAACTTCTCCCGGTCAGGTTGATCTCACTCCGCCTGAACGATGGCACCTGCACTTCTTCCATAATGCTACAGCTCGTCTCTGTGGCGCTTATTACCATGACGAGTTCTGGCATGGGTTGATCCACCAATTGAGCGAGGAGCATCCCGCAGTGCGCTATGCGGTGATTGCCATGAGCGCCAGGCAAACGCAATTCGAGCGTGTTCAACTACGACAAGCCACTGAAACTGAACAACAATTGTTGAGTCTCAAGCAGTGCAACAAAGCTATTGCATCTCTTCGAAAAGTTCTCGAAAAGGAACCACCAGGTGTCGCACGGAATCAAATAGTACTCACTACCTGTGCTATCCTGGTATATCTCGCTCTTTTCGAGGATGACCCGAAGATCGCTGACTACCATTTCCACTCGGGGTATCGGCTTTTATTGGAATGGCAAAAAGATGATTTTGGCGGTAGCTCAAGTGGTCCAGTGCTAATGCGGACGTTTGCTCAACTACAACTACACCGATCGACATGTACGAATCCAACGACCTTTGTGGAGGAGAATGACCCATCACTTCTTTCGCCAGTTGTTGAAGACTCGCGCCCAACGAAATCCGATGTTAATCCTAAGGTCGTCAATCATTTCATAACCGTTCTGGGATGGATCTTGTTACAAAACGATCGAGAAGGMTTTACTCTAGAATCTACAGGCAGATTATTACGCAGTGGGGAGCCTGCAGTTCTTGGTATGCTTCGACTTTGGCGGACGCAATTAAAGCGCTCTGTATTGTTACACGGGGATGATGTGTCTCAGACTGATCGTGACACACTTTCAGTTCTCTCCTTATGGAGTGAAGTGATCTATATCAAATTATCCACAAACGGCCAGCCTGCCTTGAACGAACATTCCGAAATGAGATGCGACCACTTTCTTTCACACTTTCAGCGAGTCGTCGTGCTAGCGAAGTCACTTCTTATGGCTTCAAAATCTTCTTCGGTCCTGTCAGACTTTCCGGTCAAAGGCGTTATCATACCACCCTTACTTTTCTGTGGCTTCAAATGCCGCGATTGGCAAGTCAGACGTCAAGTCAGGCTATTATTGCAGGACTTTAAGGATCATGAAGACGTCTGGGTATCCGGTTCAATCCTGGCTCTGGAAGAAATAACAAAAATCGAGTCTAAAGGAATCGCTCCTGGGGAGCAGATTCCAGACTATGCTCGTGTAGATAGCATGCGTGTCGATATCCACGCCCAAGACTCTCAGGTCTCTATACGATATCGCCGTTCCCAACTACCTCCCGACGAATCAGGCAATTCGTGTATTATTGGCGACGGAATGTGGGAGAATAGACTACTCTCGATTTCGACTAGACGGTGACGAATAAAATACAAGGGTCCGGGTTGTTTGGGGGCGGTTTTGATTAGCACAGTGCAATTAATTTACACAGACCAATCCGATCATAGCATTAGATGAAAAAAGAAGTTTGATGCTAAGTTCTAGCTTGGAAGCGAGTATACATCCGTGTTAAGCCTCATGGCGTGGCACTATGGAAATTAAAGACAAGGTAGTCAGGATCGTTGAATGCGTCTAGAGAGTAGAATTCTAATTTTTGTACGGATCTCAAGTATCTTCCGCCATCAATTGTCCAACAGTAGAAGCGGTTCAATCGTTGGTCAGTTGGAGTGCACTGACTCCTCCCGCTCATCCAGATTTCGTTTTGGTCTTTACCCGGGGTTACTAACATAGGTAAACAACCTGGCAATAAAACTATGTGGAGTAATTGCTAGCTAGAAAATTACCCGTTGTCTCCGAGCTGCTATTTAACCTATCCTCTTTTTCGCGTCGATCTCTCTGTCTAGTCTTCGCTTGAGCTTTGTTGGGACGCTGATTCTGACCTAGAGACTGCTCGCCTTCATTGTCATTTCCTCCGATATCACGATGCATGACATTGATCGACACTTGCCAGTGCTGAGGAAAGTCATCGTCCTCATCTTTAAGATTGCCCAGTCTTCGGGCTAGTTCTTCAACAAACGCGACGCTTCGATGACGACCCTCTTCACAGCATATTGTCACGACTATATTGATATCTTCTGTGTTTTCAGGAGAGGGCTGTTCGTTTATATCACCGTCCCCCGATTCCCCATTTTTATTCTCATCCTGTTCCCCCTCGCTGATAGCTGAAAGTAGGTCACCTCCCTTTTTAACCACATTCAAAATCTCCCCTCGAACTTTTAGCAAAAATGCTTCAACATCGTCATTTTGAAGAAACTCCTTCTGGAGCCGCCGCGACAGACCAGTTGCTTTAACTCGCAAATGGCGTGGCGGATTCGGCAAATGTCGAATGCTGTAAGACAAGGTTTTGTGATATTTTGCCGGGGGTTTCTGTTGCTGCACAATTGGACCGTTGGCATGGCCGTATGAAATAAGTGAGATCTGGACCGATCTTGTGCTTGATGGTGAGGATGCCATTGGTAGACGACTTGTCGGACGATATTTGAGCACCGATGGAGATCTAGACCTCGAAGACAACGGCATTTATACGAAAATTACTGCTATATTCAAGTTGGCGCAGAATGTCAGAGATTTAAGAAGTCACAGCCAATGAATTTAGACCCCCATGCACGGAAACTAATGTGTGATGGAACAAAGGATTTTCCGCAACCACTAGGGTTAGGTTAATAGAGCCAGCAGAGCCATTTGCTAGTGCCTGGCTATGTTGGATCTCACAAGGCAGAACAGAGTAGATAGATCCAGTTCGGAGGAACTGGATATGATGGATATGATGAACGCTGTCTGAAGTCTTATGTCAATATTAGTAAGCTTACCATACTCTTACAGATTTTAATTTAATGCACGCCTTCCTGATTAGGTATTGTGTGAATCTGCCTTGTACGCCAACGGCCCATTCAAGTATAGCTAGGTACATATCCTACATAGCGGCACCTTTGACCATAGCTAGCTTAGCGGGTATATCAATTCCATCACCATAAGGTAATAAGGGTTTGCGCCTTGGGAAGTTTTATCGGTTAGATCATAGGGGTTTAGATTCGTATGGCATAAAAGGTTGGCCTAAACCTCTGCCATTATGACTTTCCTCTGTCTGTAAAGAAAGCTCTTGAATCTCTTTTTTGATATAGCACCCTGCAACATATCATTGTTACCTGGAAATACTAACGACATATACCAATCTTCCTGATGAACTAGCTGTGAATTTTTTAGAGGAGCAGAAATTTAACGAAAACAATATTCGTTTATTTAAGTAAGGAAGAAACCTCGCTGTCGTTAATTGAAGGGGTCTATCTTTTAAAGTGCTATGAACGGACATCATCTACTTGTGCTGACGTACTAATTGCATTGAGTCCTGAAATCTTGCAAATGAACGATTAGTTCAAATTATCGTTGCACCCTTCCCAGTGGGTAGACTGAAAATACGAGAACGACCAAGAGCAAAGGTACAGCCACAGCAAAATAGAGCCAGAAGCGATCGCTCCACGGCGCGACCGTTTCAGACATGCTAAAGAGACTGGCAACAAAACCGAGCGGAACAAAGATCAATGCGATAGCCGTCAATCGCTTCACATTATCGGCTTCTTGGACTGAGCGACGCGTGTCCGTTAATTGAATCATGGTTGTTGCCACAGAACTCAACGACTCCAGAAACGAAGCCCATTGGGCCACTTGGGAAGAGAGATGCTGGATGTCGTGGAGCACGTCAGTCCATGGACCCTTTTCTAACTCTGTGGAAATATGATGCTCAACGAAAGATTGCATGAGCCGTAGTTTGTGTAAACTCTGTTTGCTCCGTCGGCGCCAGGGCTGAAGTTCATGGAGATCGTCAGGTCGGAGCTGTACATCCAAGCGGTAGAGTCGGTACTCGTAGTGTTTGACGTAGCGGCTAAGCAGTAAAGTGTATATCATCCATTCCGAAATGGTGACTTTGATCGGGTAATATGATAAACTGAGCATGGACGGATCTGTAGGGTCGAAACCGGGCATATCTTTGGCAAAATATCGGATGACCGCTTGAGTGAGAGATCGTGGTCTCCACACTATGCTTGCACCCGTGGATATGAATTGCGAAAAGGAGATAGGATCCATGATGTCCTCAAATCCGCCTTGAAATGGAATTTGGGCGTATCTGCGAGTCTCTTTCGTGGAGCCATCAAATTGAATTATATCCGCCGTAGTTGAATCCAAGAGCACTAAACCTAGATATCACTCAGGAATTAGGGTCTCCAAAATCGATAAATTACTGTTAAGTAATAGTACTGGAGCCGAATTGTACCAGGATTGCGCCCCTATGTGGAAGAAGGAAAATTCAATTGATACAAAACAACTTACAAAGCCATTGCCTTCCGTTAACTGGCTTCTTCAGGACCGAACAGCAGCTGCGCACGAATGCGAGATTAGCACCGCCAAGAAGAGGGATCCGTTTGACAGATCGTGCGACATTGCTGTCCAGTTTAAGCTTCTCTTCAGATATTCGCGCGCAATCACCAAGATTCAAAATCCGCTGATAATGAAGGTGCACCGCGTCTTTGGCAGAGAATCTGGACGGTACAATCGCAATAGAAGGCGGTGCTGGACGCAATTCTAGATCTGCGAACGATGTGTCGATGTATGTGGCGAAGAACAGCGGGTCGATATCGAAGGCAGATCCGAGGCAGTCAATCGTCTCTGGTCCGGGGTCTTGTACAAATAGCACTCGGCCAAGAACTTCATCGGGGCTCTGGTGAGCGGTTCTGATGGTGGAGACGAAGTCATGGGGCGTCACTCGCGTCCAGAGTCTCCTAGTATTGTTTTTCAAGTATTCAAGGCAGGAAAATATTCCATCAGGCTGAAGCTTTGGCCGATCTTTCGTCATGAACTCTGCGAGACCATACAGACAGGGATTCAGCCGCATTTGAGCACGAACAAAGTCTTTGTAGGTTTTATCCATGTCTAAAATGCTTGTTGCGAACGAAGTTGGCCCAGATAAGTGGTTTCAGATGATGATCTCCGCACCTCCCATCGCTCGTTGTACAACTACCAAAGGCCCGGCCCCGCCAGCGGCGACGTACGGATGAATGTATCTAGCCGTATATTTTTTCAAACCAATTGTACGGGCCCATTGCTAGTCCTCAGCCGACGCGCCTCGCTCGTAAGTGGTTCATTTTGGATAATTCGATGCACCTGCTAGGTAGCGTCATGCAGGGTAGATATCCTCTCAGCCCCGCTGACTACTAGAACTTGTAGCCTTGCCTGAGGGATTTGAAGCAGAAAATCGCTATACCTTCATCAAATCGGTACTTACCAGAGCCATTTTACTTATCGTGCCTTTCTAACTTTGCAGTGGTCATTACACTAGTAGGATCTGCGTGGAGGCATGGCGACTGATGTTACCGAAGAGAATGCAGAAATCGACAAATTTGTCCATAACTGGCAGGATATCAAGGCCACGTACGAGAATCTCGCCATCGAAGCGCGGAAGCGCTGCGAGGAAGGATTGGTAGCTTTAAAGTGTATTTTCACACACCGAGCGAAATCAATAGATAGTCTGAAGAAGTCCATTCAGCGTCGACAAACCGATCGCATGAAAGACGGCAAAGGACCGTACAAGGATGCAGATGAAATTAAGCGGGACATGGTCGATCTCGCAGGTGTTCGGATTGCCGTCTACTTCCCTGATGATCTAGAGCCGGTTGGAAATTTTATTCGCAAAGAATTTCAAGAAACGCAGCCGGCAGTAGTTTGGGGGAGCCATCAGAGTGGCGATCGTAATGGACGGATTGGAACGCGATTCATGGGCTATAAGGCCACTCACTTTCGCGTACAACTGCGAGACGATGGCGACGGAAAGAACCGGACCAAGCCGGAGCTTTCAGGACGAACAGTGGAAATTCAAGTCATCACAGTCTTGATGCATTCTKGGGCGAACATTCATCACGATCTCATATACAAGCCATATTCGGGAGACCTTACTGAAGATGAGAGACACATGCTCGACTTGGTCAATGGCCTCGTGCATGCTGGAGAGATTGCTCTGCAGCAGCTTCATAAATTACTAGTTCAGCGACTCCAACGATCTGACCGGATCTTTGCAGACCAGTACGAGCTGGCCGCCTGGCTGAAGGATTACGTTGAGACGAATTTTCAAAGTTATTTCGCGGTTCAGCCGCCGCGAATGGAACAATTGAATCTCCTACGAGAGGTACTTCAACTTTTTGAGTTGGATTCTCCGAGAAAGCTACAACCATGCCTCCGAACAGTCCACGAACCGTACTTGGGAGCAGAAAGGATAGTTACGTCTACTATTAAGTCAATTCTCGACGACATGTTCTCGAGGGAAGACGAACGTGTATTCCCACGTTGGGTAGATCTAACGACCTGGGCCCTTCTACAAATTTGTGTCCAGAATATCGTACCATTGCCGCAGGGGAATCCGTTTGAGAATATGCGGTTGAAGACATTCATCATGATCAATTCGATTACCTTAGCACTGCTCATGGGCACGAAGCCACCGAACTTCCATACATTACATTGGCCCTATATTGCAGATGAAACGAATCCCAATTGGATGTTGTTGCATCTGGTTAACTTCCAAAGACCCACCGAAGGGAACAATCAAACCATCGACTATCTGGATCAAATTTGGAATAGCTATCTGAAACGGTTGGATTCTGATAAAACTGATCTCCGAGATATGCCTCCAGAGTCCAGCGACTCAAATACGCTTCTCTGGGTTCTGTGCTGCTCGCTAGCTTCCCTCGGCTTAACCGCCATCCCTAAAGACGTTCAGGGAGATCCAATGGATACTTTCATTTGGCCGGGAGTATTCGGGTGGCCTTCACGCGAGGTGGAAGTGAGATTCGGCATTCCACCCCCACACCCCATGCTGGGATTTTATTTGAACGGAGGTCCTCGCTCGGAACTGCCTGTGAAAAAACACTCAAAAGGTAACCCCAGCAATTCAATTTTCGCATTATCTTCTACCAAATTGTGGCAACGTTTTCGTTTAGATAGCCCGACGGGACAGGGTTCATGGCAATATTCTCGAGTCTCGTTAACCAAGGTCATGGCGGGTCAGCAGTGGGGGAGTTTACAACTTTGGTTTCAGGGTATTCTTGAGGCTAGTTGGCAATCCAATAGGGGAAGGCAGGATAAGGTGAAGAATAATGTTGCACAACCATCACAAAACCAGCGTATGAGTGATGACCGGAAGGAAATGGGAGTTATGACACAGGGCGATACGCGGAAAGAGACCCTCGAGAGAGTGGGACAAGAAAGAGTCGAAAGAGCAAGATTGGACCGAGATAGACTGGAGCAAGAGAGATTAGAGGAGGAGAGACTGGAGGAAGAGAAAGTGGAGCAGGAGAAATTGGAGAAGGAGAGATTGGAGCAGGAGAGATTGGAGCAGGAGAGATTGGAGAAAGAGAGATTGAAGGAGGAGAGATTGAAGGAGGAGGGATTGAGAAGAGAATGGCTGAGCAGGGAAGACGAAGAACAAGCGAGAAACAAAGAGCAGCGGAGGTACATAAATAGGGACCAATTAATCCGGGGTTTTGAAAGACAGAGCTATGACAATAGGGATCATCGTAGGAGAGATCATCACAGGGGCAAGGATCACGAGAGGAAACGTCCTGAGAGGAACGGTGGTACACATGTGAATGAAAGAGAAACGCAAAGACGAAGAGAAAGAGAGAAAAGATATAGGAGAGGAGAAGGCGAGAGATTCAGGAAAGAAGCGCTAGAGCCACTACATGTAGGAGTCCGTCCGTGGGGCTTAGTCAAAGAAGGGATCTTCAGATGGATGAACAAATGATGTCGAGCCGGGTTTGTTGATAGAGGGCCTCTGACTCTTGCGGCAAGATTGTCCCCGTTCCAGACATTTACCAAATTGAGGATAGGGATCCAGAACATTCATCTAAACTCCCAGCAAGCATAGCAGGTTTTCCAACGTGAAAAAGAAACCTGTGATTTGGATTTGAGTGATCAACGGCTCCGCCATCGACAGGCCCACTTTTACTTCCACCCCAAACACGATGTTCTCTGGTGTCGGTGATATTCGTATCTACGATCATCTGCCTACGTTGCGACAATCTTATAACGATTTATTACAACAATTTATCAGAATGTTCATTGGCTATTCACATTGGGAAGACGCAAAGCTGCGAAGCGATACATTGTAGTCACTGAGGATGTTCGCTACAAATAGACTGTATCCTATTATCGGGTCATGATACTATGCGCTTGGTCGAAGAAGAAGATAGCTGTTATCCAGTTCCGGATATTGACAAGACAAAAGAGCGAGCGAACTAATACAGAACTAAATACGAGCATATTCTCAACGCTTTGGAAGTGGAGATCAGGGCAGGTAAGCAAGATAAGCCTTGATATATAGCCAGTTTCGCTATTAGTCAAAGAGGTAAAATGGCCTTTCTTCCGTTTGCTGCGTACAATATGATATATCTTATGGTTTCTGTTCAATCGACCCAGGCAATACAGATATAGTAGGACAACCAAGAGGATGAAACCCGATATGAAGTCAATTTGACAGAAGTCTAATATTTTTGAGAAACATTATACGGATAGAACGAGAAATCCGGGATGGGCGGTATTAATGTGTTAGAGAATGAACTCGGGGAAGTCATAAGTCATGAATATACCAAGTTCCGCACACATACCGTGTCAGTGTGTATAGAACAATTTTCTTCATCGCTGATAGAGTCATAACGATGTTGCTCCACGATAGCCTCCCAGCTTGACGTTACCTGTCACTACCTACTTCTTAGCGTACCACTCCTCAACCCAAGCTTTCATTTGCGCAATTTCCTTGTTCTGGACGTCGCGAACACCCGCGTTTGCATCGCCATTCCTCCATAGCAGGTCATAACAATGGCTGGCTTCGGGCATGACAAAGATGGGATTGGGCGTTCTAGAAGTTGCTGGACCGCCGGGACGGAAGTCTGATGAGATGGTTTCTTCGCGCCAGGGGTCATATTGTCTGTTGTACAATAATGTCAATTGAGGATGTAGCATGTGAGGTGACCGAGAAAATCATACCCTTGGCCCCAAATTACGCGCTCAGTGGTTCCAGTCCAGCCCCCAGTCCAGGCGTTAACAGCATCAGAACGTTTGCCCTTGGCGCCGGCATATGTGTATCCATCATCCGGCTGGAACAAAGTTGCACATACGTGGTAGTTATAGTCCGCTGTTACCAGGCTGGAGACAATAGATGGCACTCCTTTGGGCGCAGCACTAGGGTAGCAAATAGTTAGACAAACGGACCATATTAATTATACTTCAAGTAGTACTTACTCTTGCCATGCGCCGAATGGTTCATTGCACAAAAGCCAAATCCACTGACGATCTATCAAGTTATTAATTGATTTATCGGCATAGAGTGGATTCGAGCTGTTGTAAGTGTCGAAACAGGCTGTTTCGTATTTGTCCGTCCAGTAACCGTAACTGGCGCAATCTGTGATTCAAGGCCTTTGGTTAACCGAAAGGAGCTGGTTTTGCTTTCAACTCATACTTACCTCCAGGGAAGTAAGAGGTGGTCCACCACTGGGCGTAACCTTCAAGAGCTTTAGTGACGCCAACTCCGGCAGCGCTGGCATGGACAGGAGGGGTGGCGTAGACATTCTAAAGGTTTTCATGAGAATTTTGTCGGCGTGATTGATGTGCTCGGCTGATTTTCATACCTCAATATAGTCACAGAATTCATAGAGAGCCCCGGCGTTTTCCCAACTTGTCGTCTGTCCGAGATAAGGGCCTCCCACAATTGCCCTATTGCAACCCGTTAGCATCAATTCATCAACTGTCGCCTAATGATTCGTAAATACTCTGCAAAGTCGTCATCTCTTAGATCTCCCAGCAGGAATTTCTTCTTCAAAGCATCTTTGGCGTTTTCATCTGGTCCGGTCAAGATTGAATCAATGTAATCAATTGTCTTGACTAGATCTGTGCTACAGTTCTGCGGTAGTCGTTCCTGGATAGGAACAAAATATTGCCACTGCAAATCGTCAACATGAGATTGGTGACGTAAATGAGCGTAGAGAATACTCACGTAGTCCCAGATTGCCTCTACAGGTGCACTGGATGCGTGGTAGGCCCAGTACGTGCCAGGCAGAGTAGCTGCAGTCCAGCCTGCTTGAGCTCCACTGTACGAGCCACCGGCAAGGATCCATGGCTATGTGGTCTGTCAGTATTTATCATGGCGACTCATGATTGTAGATGGAATGATACATACAGCATTATCAGGGCTACTTTTGGTAGAGTTGTCAAAGGGAAGCTTGAGATTCTTTGCAAAGTACACGGCATCGGCAAGTGCATTCTTGAAAGTGAGTTGCTGCATGGTCTTGGGTGTCAATGTGGCAACCGGCGAGGAATTACCATAGAAGCGATCTTTTTGAAATTAGACAAGCAACTGCAAAAACCAAGAGGTAGGAAACGGCTTACGCTCGAGAATAAGGCCAGCAGCACCAATCTCCTGCGCATAGACACCAGTAAGTGTCACGTTGAATAAATATCCCTCGAAGCCCTCGGCACTTTCTTCTCCAGGTTGGAACACAACAACCTAGCATCGGAATTAGTATCTACAATCAATCAGTCAAGCTTAAGGCCACTTACCGGAGATCCCGGTCCTTTCCAGTACTCGGTACTCCAGAAGTAACGTTGCTTAAATGTACCTAGCTCTGGCTTGTCATGATCCAAAAGCTGGTCAAAATATCCAGTTGCATACTGGGAGTCTTCGGCTGCAGCTGCAGCTGCAGGAGCTCTGGGGGCTTTCGGTCTGGAGGCTGTCGCAAATGAAGCGCATGACACACCCAGAGCGATGGCTGAAAGCATTGATCGCATCCTGACTGAACGTAGCAGGAAACCTTACGGTTTGTACCCTCGATGTTGCAAAGAACAACAGCGAATAGAATTACTTTTGATTGTTCTCACATTAAGGCATCTGGAACGAGAGGGATTCACAGCATTTATTTATCACCCCAGTTCCAGGGGATGGACTAGCCTTGTAAGCTGTAAACGGGTAGAGAGATGCTACTAGCAAGGAACAAACAGGCTACTAGATCAGTCTATTCGCTTAGACTCGCACCACATGCTGTGCCGGATCTAATGCATGCGACTTGATCCATGTCGCCGAGATCTGTACGAAGCAGGAAGGTGCTTCTGCAAACTCAAAGAAACATTCCATCTCAACGTGCCGTTAGTCTCAATTCGGCTAATCTCCCATGAATAGCTCACTGCTAGTAGGTCGTATGCACTACGTGCATGCATTGAGAAACGCGATATCAATGGAAAAAAGGTTCGGACGGTTGCTTAGCGTGGGACTAAAGACGCTGATCGTCACAACGAGGCTTCTGCACGCTTCGAATACTCGGCGAATAAACAGAAAGAAGTAAGACGAATCGCACGCACTAGTAGGTACTACTAGGTGGATAGTGAGTATAGTCGGCGGGGTACAGGCTGCACAAGGACGAGGCTTCTGTGTGTTTCTAATTCTAGCATGAAATAGAGTATGGTCGCACCCACCGTTGGCGTGGTTTTGGTGTAGCCGGTTGAAATTCAAATCACCAACCGGAGATAAGCGTTTGTTGTAGGGGAGCGAACCCAGGATTTCAAATTCAACGAGCAGGTGATGTTCTCTACTTTCAGGGGCATTGCGGAATCTGCAGGTTGAATTGCCATTTCGTGATCATCCTAGTGTCGTATCGTGGGGTGGTAGTTAGCGGGTCTGTTTATTAGACGTAGATTAAACTTGCTCTTTTTGAGAAAATTAAAAGATAAGAAGCGGAGAGACCGACCCTACACGTAGTAAGTTTTGACCAATATTGATCCTCAACACGGATATTATCGTGCAATCAAACAGCCACACAAAAAGAATTGAAAGAAGGAGAGATATGCAAGTCGTACTGTTGAGACAAAAGAAGACGTTTGTTTAAACTCGCGCCGAGAAACATCTGGCCGATCGATTCGACCGATTCGTGTGCAGAAGTACCGATACATCTTCGTACATTACACTACAGTGTCTCGCGAGTAGATAGGCTTTTGACAGGATTACTTTACCGCTATCCCGAATGTGGTGAGTGTAGCGCGTAAATCCACTCACCTGCTCTTGTTGGATATCGACCTTACTACGTATAAGATTGCTAAGAAAACCTCTTATTAAACTAGTATGTATAATTAAAAATATCCTATAAAAATATTTTATAAGTATTTTTTTAACAGTTAATTTACAGACTTTTAGAAATAAAGAATCACAATGGTCAATTCTAAAATTTCCACAACATCTAAGATTAAGGATACGACCTCCATACTTAAACCAGTCTACATTCCTCTCCACCAATAATTCCAGGCACACTTTGCTATCAAGCGGTACGGAAATACAGCCATTCATCTTCAAGTGGCCGTCTCGGACTAGAGCAGATAAATTGGGCAGCAGATGCTCCAGATATGTGACATGATAGTAGTCACCTTTTGGCTCTATGCGTACCCATGTTAGTAAATTTCTATATGCAGGAGTGTAAGGATCATTCTATACTTGAGGGTATTGAGATATCTTTTAGCATGAAACGATAATGGGACTTATAGACCAATGACTCGCTTCTATAAGTAGTATCTAAGTTATAACTTAATATCGATTGCTAACATTCCAGTGGCTAAACTCATCAATGCGAAGCACCAAGTACAGTTGGAAAAACTTGATAGCGTGATACCTAGCAGGCTCTACCTTTTTTGTGATATAGCTGGGGCTAAGCCTAGTGCATGCTTAGTTGATAACTTCTAAAGTATCTAAATACTTTAAGAGCCCCTCTTTCATAGCTATCAACCAAGACAGCAGAGTCGGATCTCTTTTTACCGCTCAGCTATCGGTACTTCTCAATCAGCTTTGATGCCTGTGTAATTCTCCGTACGATCAATCATTACTGTGAGCATGAGTTGGAATTAAGCGCCTGCCATAAGAGACCAAGAACAGAGTTGGCATTTGTCCGAACTCCCTCTTTAACTCGTGGTTATTATTTAGATTAACCTACCAGACTTTGACAGCCTCTTTGCTACTGTCTGGACCTGCTGGCGCCTGTATGCTTGTTTCCAAAGCAATGCTTCATGCATTCTCACTTCAATTACCTCCAACATCCATAAACACGGTATCCAACTTGCGCCCGAGACTACTAAGCGAAACTTATTCCAAATCGAGATTCATATTTGATATTTCAGCAGCTGAGCTTGCCATCAAGAAAAATAATATACAGAGAGATTTTATCCGACAATTATTTGAGAACGCTTGAACCTTTTTACACAAAAAAGAACTTCAAGAGATACTTAATCCGCTTAGAAGGAAACTAGCATCTTCTTTATTAAGAAATAATCACCAGCAAGACGCCGTTGACCTTTGACTGCAACTATTACGCAGAAAACCACCATTTAAGCTAACTACCACCAACCTTCCTGGACAAACTGCCGATGATTATATGAGGAATGCACCGATATTTACACCTATCAATTATCTTATATTCAAAACTGGTCCGGTAGATTCGAATCTTCCTCAAGAAATCATCTCGAAGGAGACTGAAAAACGCGATTACCGGAAATATAAAAGGCTCACTTTATTTCCTGTCGTTCTCATCACAGATAATGGAATACTATTTTTCAAATCCTGGACCTTTCTACCGCAGGGGATCTACAGTGAGAGTAGCATCACCTTCGTAACAATGGCCTACCTCCCCGGAGGGTTCGTGATCAGCTTCGTGACTAGCGGGAGGTTATACAGCCGCACACTACCGTCGACTGCTGCAACTTGAGAAGATGTAATATCTACCATATCTAGATTCCGCTCGCTTTTTAAAATTCACCAAAGAACCTGCAGTAGAAAAAAAAGTAGAGACCTGTGTACACTCTAGTCATTATACTCAATGCATTTTATTAAACAGGCGAGACAGAGTGTTGAATTAGCAGTGGGAAATTCTAGATATTACTTATTAGGTGGATATGGTTCTAAGTATAACGTCTAATGTCAATATCTCATTGACCTAGGGACCCATAGAATAAATCCCTTCACGATGCTCATGATTCCTAATTAGACAGCCGGAAAAACACATAACATTACACGGTTCACGCAGATTCTTGCCTAAGGACTGCTGTAGTAGCGATTTCCTCATTCCAAATTCTCTGGGTTGCGGAATTTACATCGAGCCGTCAATCTTGCATACACTGGTTAGCTATACACCACGAGTGAAGCGAACGTGATTGGCCAGAAGATTATGCACTGAAAGTCACAGCCTTGCACAGCCAACGTGCCCCTCCCACGTCCAACCTCAACCTCAACCTCGTCATAAAGTCCTTGCAATGTTTTTTTGTTCTTCGGTCCAGACACGTTTTACCACCCCTCAGTTACATACTCAAAACAGTATTTCAGTACATCTAACCCCGCTTTTATCTTCTTCAAAAAGCCCGATCTTCAAAGATGGCTACCGAGGAGCTTGAAACCAAAACTCATAGCGACTATACCGTGGGATGGGTTTGTGCCTTGTCGAAGGAACAGACTGCAGCGACTGCCATGTTAGACAAGAGACATGGCGATTTACAAAATCCACACCGTGACAGTAACACGTATACCCTTGGGTCTATCGGCAAGCACAACGTCGTCATCGCATGTCTCCCAGAAGGCAGATACGGCACGAATGCGGCAGCAAACGTCGTGACTCTGTTGGCCAGATCATTCCCCTCTATCAGATCCTGTCTTATGGTGGGAATCGGAGGCGGCGTTCCATCAAATAAAGTGCGACTTGGTGATGTCGTGGTCAGTAGACCTGAAGGCCAGTTCCCTGGCGTGGTACAGTGGGACATGGGAAAGACAAAACAAGACGGCCAGTTCGAGCGGATTGGCGCACTTGATAATCCACCGAAAGCTCTACTGACAGCTTTGACCAAGCTGAGAACGGACAACGAACTAAATGGGTCAAAAATTTCCAAGTATCTTAATGAGTTCAAGGACAGATACCCCAAAGCGGCGGAGAAATATTTGAGATCGGATTCACTCGTGGACATTTTGTTCAAGGCAAGCTACGGTCATGTCACTCCAGTCAAACCGGACGAGAATGCTAAGATAGAGGACGGTGATGATGACGACGAGGAAGAGGAAGAGGAGGATGAAGAAAAGGATAGTTGTCAATTCTGTGACAAAACTAAGGTGGTGAAGAGGAAGCCCCGAGATATGCGCGTGCATTACGGTCTTATCGCGTCCGGCAACCAGGTTATCAAAGATGCCCAATCTCGGGACAAGCTGAATAGGAACCTTGGCGGTAATGTTCTCTGCGTTGAAATGGAGGCGGCTGGCATTGTGAACAACTTTCCGTGCTTGGTAATCCGGGGTATCTGTGACTACTCGGATTCTCACAAGAACAAGGCTTGGCAGGAGTACGCAGCGGCGGTAGCGGCGGCCTATGCTAAGGAACTTCTGTTTATTGTCCAGCCAAATGAGGTTCAGGGAGACCGTCTCATCAAGGACGTACTTAATGATGGTTAGTGATGCACTAGTGTTAGCTATGACCCCTCCACTGTCATGTTGAAGACCTCTAAGGTCGAAGTTCACCTAGGTGGCAAAGACACGATATATCAATGGACTAAAAGGCAGATCACACAATATATTGCCAATTGTCAATGCTAATGTACTTCTTTTATGGCGTATGGAACACTTGCTGATTTGGATATATAGTGCAGGTAATGAAATGGACTTTGAACGAAATTGCTGTGGGTCAGAAGCAACACGCTATTTTTGAATGGCTGTCTTCACTGAGTCCATCAGCGCGACACTTCGAGAACCAGAAGAAGCGGGTTAGCAATACAGGCACGTGGTTACTTAATGACCCCAAATTCCTTGATTGGTCCTCCAAAATAGCAAAGTGTCAAAGACTATGCTGTTATGGAAACCCAGGAGCCGGGAAAACCATTATCTCGTAAGTCGGAGGAGATGAACTAAGACTAAATAGACTGACTGGCATAGGTCACTTGTGGTTGATCATTTAAGAGAACACATCGTCCCTGGATCGAAAATAGGGCTCGGATACATATACTGTGACTATAGAGACCAGGAAGAACAGACGACAGAAAAAATTCTTGGCGCAGTACTAACGCAATTATTACGAATTTTACCTGAAATGCCAGAGGCTGTTTTGAAACTGTATGGGGATCGGGTCAATCAAAAGAAACCGTTGAGCTTGGAAGATGCAAAAGATCTTTTCTACATCACCTGTGCACAGTTCAGCAAAGTATATGTTTGCATAGATGCACTTGATGAACTAAGAGAACTGCGGGGCTTTTTGAAGTGCTTACATGACGGACCTTCTTCGATTCAGATATTCCTTACTGGTCGTCCCCACGTCCAGGAAACTGTCCAGGAATACTTCAAAGGGGAACAGAGCATTACAATCAAGGCTCACGAAAGCGATATTCGACTATTTATCGAACATGAAATCGGTGGCCCCAATGATATTGAGCCTAAAGCCATGGATGAGAGGCTGAGAATGGATATTCTTGAGAAAGTTGTCGACTCAGCTAAGGGAATGTTAGTGTATTCAGCCCTAGCATCATTGGCAGTATTAATAATAATGATCTACTAGATTTCTGCTGCCTACATTGCAAATCCGTGCCGTCCTTCAAGCTACTACCTTACGTGATCGTGAAGAAACTCTGAAAGAATTGCCGTCAAATCTTGGTGAAGCCTTCACTGGAACGATTACTAGAATACAGCAGCAGCCGGCTGCGCTATCAGAGCGGGCGGCGAAGATCATTGCGTGGATTCATTTAGCAGAACGGCCACTTACTATTGACGAGCTATTATACTCAGTTGCAATTCAGAACGGTGACACTTGTTTTAACCCAAGGGGTATACCTATTAGGGAGACACTGCTAAACTGCTGTTATGGTTTGGTAGTGATTGACCAAGAGACATCCACTGTCCGTTTAGTTCATTACTCCCTTCAACAACATCTCCTTCAGCAAAACGAGATATTCAATCTCAATAAGGTGCAATGGCATAGTAAAATCGCACTTACTTGCCTTACCTTTCTAAAATTCCCACCTTTGACGGCCGGAGAGGCACTGGAGCAAAATCACACAATAGTCACAATTTTGCGCTACGCTGCAATACAGTGGGGTCACCACCTTCGAAGGAGTGAAGAATTGCCTGGTGCAGCACTCGAACTTGGTAAAGAATACCTTCTTGCCAATTTCACAATTCATTCCGTGAGCTTCCGCCTCTTGTATAGAGTGATGTACGCATATCCGTTCTACGAGACGCAGCTTAATGATGATGTCTTGCCTGCTCATATCGCAGCTTTCTTTGGTCTTCGAGAAATTATGCTGCACCTGAGTTCGACAGTGTTGAATCTAGACATGGAGGATGTGCGTCGCCGGACACCGCTATCATGGGCTGCAGAGAATGGACATGAGGCAGTAGTGAAGGTGCTAATTAAGAAAGGTGTTGCAGTTGACTCAGTGGATAAAAATGGCTGGACACCGCTATCATGGGCTGCACGGACGGGGCGTGAGGCAGTAGTGAAGGTGCTGATTGAGAAAGGTGCATCAGTGGACTCAGTAGATATGAATGGCCGGACACCGCTATCATGGGCTGCAGCGAACGGATATGAGGGAGTAGTGAAGGTGCTGATTGAGAAAGGTGCTGCAGTGGACTCAGTGGGCAGAAATGGCTGGACACCGCTATCATGGGCTGCAGAGAAGGGACATGAGGCAGTAGTGAAGGTGCTGATTGAGAAAGGTGCTGCAGTGGACTCAGTGCATACAATGGATCGAACACCACTATCATGGGCAGCACGGACGGGGCGTGAGGCAGTAGTGAAGGTGCTGATTGAGAAAGGTGCATCAGTGGACTCAGTGGATATGAATGGCCAGACACCGCTATCATGGGCTGCAGCGAACGGACGTGAGGGAGTAGTGAAGGTGCTGATTGAGAAAGGTGCTGTAGTTGACTCAGTTGATAAAAATGGCTGGACACCGCTATC